CTCCATTGCTAATAAGTTCCCTCCTAGTAGATATGTTTACAACATTTTTTTTGTACATTATACGTGTATAATTAATTTAACGACAATCCCTGTACAACACCCAGGCTTGTTTCGCAGGAACCAGGTATATAGATTATCTATTACATAAACTCTGTAATGGAATTATCGGTAAAGCTTGATCTACCAAATCACCAATGACGTAATGTAGCTTAACGGCTCCTTGGTAGCAAGTGACTACAACGCTAAACAAATGTTTACATTTTAGGAATAAATAAATTATGCGCTAAATGTACTAGATTCCCTCTGCCTGCCCTGTAAAGGATCTTGAGAACAGTTGGAAATAAATTCTATTTGCTTCATAATTTAATGACCTTTATCCAAGATACATACGTTATGATAATTCATGTTTTATTGTCATTTAATTTTTAATCATATTTTCTGTGTGTAATCATAATAATTGTATTTCATAATCGCATCAGTTATCATAATTAGCACTATAAGTGAATGTGAATGAATATTATGATAGGCATGCGCTATATTATTTGACATAAAACGTAAATCAATAAAGAATTTACAGAAAATAATTTCGTTATAGAGGAAGCCTATGTTTTAAGTTTTTTCAGAGCACATAGGTACTCCAACAATTTGCTATTAACTAAAAATTATATGTCAAAAACAACCTTACATAATATTTAATAGATTTTTTGATTAGTTATTCAATATTTTTATTACGAACAATTTATAATTTACGCTTTAGTCCGTTTATTATTTTTCAGCCGCATAGCTATGTTTCAACTAATATGAGCAGCGTAGTTTTGTTGGTCTTATCGTAGGTACCATTGTTGTTATATAAGTAACAAATCGTTTGTTACTTTGTAGGCATTTCATTGAAATATAAAGTGAATTACGAGTTTTCTTGTGTTACATTATGCGTGAAATTATTCTTAAATCTATAATAAATTGAAAATTTAAAAGAACGCTTTTTTATGACTCGTTATTTAATCAGCCCACCATGCTCTAATAGAAAGTTATCGCCATAATTGTTTTGTAATCGCTTCGAGCTCCAAGGGAGTATCATATCCATAAAAGTAATAAATCAGTACACTCTGAATGAAGGTGTATACTTGAAGGCATATAAACCAGTGTATTTGTCATTTCTCTTAGAAAGTTAGTAATGTAGGCGGTATATAACCCTAGTAATAGCACTATGTATTTATAAGAAACTGGCTGGTTACTCCCAATTTCGTCTGGTTTTGAGATAATCATAAAATAAAAGTAGTCTAGTTTCTCCTAGGGATACACTCTTGTAACTTTAAATTTCATTAAGATCTACCCAGCCGTCAATCGGAAAAGGTAACAAACAAAAAAAAAAAGTTTCCAATTTAATTTTATATATAGCTAAAATTGTATTATTAAAAGTTAAACCTTTTATACTTACAACTATATATTAGGAATCTGGTAATGATTTTTACAAGTAAATTCAAAAATATGTTCGAAATAAACATTATTTCTATACGACTAAAAAGCTGCCGGTATTGAATCTTGCTTGTTATGTTACCGAAGCACTTATGTTATCCAAATGAATGACCTCATCATTGCTCTTAAACGATGTGTGTCATCGTGCCTTGTACATGATGATCGGATTTACATCAAATGGTTTAGTGCTAATCGTGAATAAACATGACATTAGATTTTTATGGAACCGGTTTCCGGTAATTACATATTGTTAAGTTATATAATTTTTTGCTTATGGTGCATTAAAAACTGGTAGCTTAATTGTTATTTAATGTTGTTACGCTATGTGTATCAAATGTCATTTTAATTATAAACATTTCAATGTATACACTTTAAATAGCTCCTAAAATTGTACTGACAAGTAATAAGACATTCAATTATTCTTGATAGACATAATGAGGTATAATGTTATTTGACATAATCATTAAACGGTGATGTACCTCGTTGACACACATTTGTTTCTGAATATACATTGGAATCAGATTATCGAATAGAAATAGTCTTTATTCAAATAAACTTTATATAAGAACTTTTGAAGAATCACATTTTTTTTTATTCTACCACTCATTCGGAACGCAGCCTCATCACAAGAAGAATGAATAATAGAACTTGTGTTACTCTTTTAAAAAGAAATATAAAATTAATAGCCATATATTGCTTTTTTTAATTAATGACAATGAAATACGCTATCTGGGCACCAGTGAAAGAGGAGAGTCTAGAGAGAGAGAAAGGAGGATAAATACAGGTTAGTTACCCCATCTTGACGAATACACCAATATTAACTGTGATGGTTGGTATCCTAGGAGTATCCTAGGAGGGACGGCGCGGCGGCGTGTAGGTCAATTTGGTCTAGTCACTTGACCCATTGGCAATGGGCTATCTGTACCCTATTACTAGTAATCTCGTCTCCCTCACCTGTACAATTGTCCAAACACTGATATATAAGGAACCATAAATAATTTTCAGCTCTTCGTTATCGTGGTCGTGTACGTTACAATAGTGCGATATTTTTTTCAGTTTGCCGTTTTTTTTATACTTGAGAAGCATGTCGGAATAGACTATATTGTGCCACTACTAGCTAAGTCTGAGTGACGTGTACTGAAATGGAGCGTTATTAGGATGCATTTTAATTCAGTATAACACCATAGATACCCTTTAAATTGCGCAGCGTAATACAAATACATACATTGTAACGTATATTGTATTAGAAAAATTCATATACTAAAAATGCAATTTCAAAGCTCATGAAATACATAGTTGTTTATATAAGCGTTGTATACCATAAGTTTAGAACCTTTATCGTAAACATGTGACAGAGTCGGTTTAACGATAATTACGGATACGGGTTATTACAGCGTATTACAGGGACGGCTTATCAAATTTAGGATATGTTCGACATGAGCAAATCATTCACTCAAGATAACTAGTACGTAAATAAGTAGAAATGACTACGGAAACTGTTTTCGAAGACCTTAGTGACTTCCTGGGTACATTCATTAAACCATGTTTGCATGTACATATATGTATATTTATAAGAAAACAAATGTACGTGTTCCCGTTCAAGTTTATCATGTTTAAATTGTAAAAATAAAATTCGACAAAATCTCTAAACAAGACCTACAGATAAAATATTACAAGATGCCTTTATTTTATATTGAGGATAGATGTGACGATATTCTATATTATTTCAGATTAAAGTCTAAATAAATGTACTTAGTTGTAATTAAATGCTCGTTATGAAATGGTAGTTGATATTTTAATATATATAGGATTTTGTATAACTTGTGCATAATGTACCTATCTACCAGTTCAGCTACCTGCTTTACTGTCTCCTATTCTATTTTATATTTTATGCCATGTATAATTACAGTCATCTTTTTGTATAAATAAATTTGCGGCGCGTGAAGAATAAATGAGTACCCTTATCTTTATCCAATTAACATAATATAAGTTAATTTCATGAACCAACAACAACCATTTTCTTGCTTAAAAATATCCAAAACAGGCAAACTTATGAAACTGAACAACTTTCATCAAGAACTATGGTACGATGTATGAAAATAATTTTTCAACCTTTCCAATTGATTACGTAAACCTGTGGTTTTTATGAATGGTTAATTTCATAAATAACTCTCACTGCATTTGCGACTTGTCATAGCATATCACTTTTCCTTGACACCATATATAAATTATATGGTTTTTTTAATTCTGACATTATTATATTCCATTTCTATTGTATTTGCAATTAAGTAAAGCCTATCTACTTCGTTTACGCCTAGCAAATAGACTTTATTTAATTGCAAATAAAATGTAACATAAATATAAGAACAAATATGAAAAATTATTTGCATTGTATTTTCAATAAATTCAACTGCGATCCGTTCAGAGTTCGTACAGTTTATTTTACATATCTCTATTATTTCAGTTTGTTTTTATTGAGTTTTACTCGAGTGGCCGACCTTGAATGCAATCGAATAGGAATCAACAGAATTCACCCCATGGATGTATACGTTTACTTGTGTATAAAATTAATACTATTTTTACGTCACTATATACTACGTCATACGAGTATCTATGTGACCTCGCCATAATGATTTTTTATGACTATTTCCTTTTATTATTAATTCATTTTGCTAATGTTTTAACAAATATACGCGTTCAGAATTATTTAAAATGAATCACGTGCCATTACAATTTACAAGCTAAAATCTAAAATATATTCGTACATTGTTATACATGGTTGAATTCGATATGATTAACTTGCTTCGACGACCCCGGTGATCTAGAGGCTTAGCATACCGCTTTACTTCCGATAGTCGCGGGTTTGACTCCTTTCACGATACAAACATTTATATTCGTGTGTATGTCTGTTTGTATTACTCTAGGTGTTTTATATGTATATATTTACAAAAAAGATGTATTTAAGTTTTGTCAGTTGATTAGACCCACAGCACAAGCTCTGCTTAGTTTAATTTTATAGTATTGTTATTGTTGTTGTTCTTATGAAACACTGCTGTTTAGGACAGTAACCATTAGCGAAAATAAACAGCAATGTTATGCATCTAATGTTAGCTAACATCTAATAAATACTGCATCGCCACCGGAAATTGTCTGTTCTCTCAAACTTCAGACATCAGGTTTTTGTCACAAGGTTTTTTCTATATTGGAGTTGAACACACCCATATTGAACATGTGTTCTTATCTCTTGAAGAACACATTATAATACACAACGGTTTGCCATTTTAAAATTAAATTAAATATAGGTATAGAATCTACATCCTTGTGTATATTTTACTGCAGATATAGATATTACGTTGAGTCATTTATTACTCAGCGTGTCAACAATCTACAAGAGGACACTTAATTTAACATTATTATTAAACCTTTTTTTAATTAGAGTTGCTAATTTCAAACTATATTCTTACAAATACTTTTTCTGTAAAAGAACTATTAAATTCAAACAATGTTTTGTTTATTTGTTGCAGGAACAAAGCGATCGCCGATTATTTAGGCAGCAATGGCTACACGGACGCGCTGGAAGCGTTCAAAAAGGAAGCCGATATGAGCGGTGAGATGGATCGCAAGTTCGGTGGCCTTCTCGAGAAGAAATGGACTTCAGTCATCAGGCTGCAAAAGAAGGCAAGGCTCATTTTAATTGCTGTCTCTAAATCTACAAACGTGATTCTGGTTTCATACGTAATCATTGTTATGTTTCATTTAAAAGTTTGGAAATTTAATTTTTTTTATAAACTACCTTAACTTAATCTGGTCTGACCTAACTACAAGTACATCCATATATTTTTCATGGGATTGATTTGTGTTTGAGTAAAAATGTATGTAGCAAGTTTGATTTAGTAAAGATAAATTTCTTACTCGTAAACATTATGATTTATAATCTAGGTGTATCCTCCCAAGAATCGAATTTTACGCAGCTTAATTGATATTTTAATACAATCCGACATTTCCTAATACGTCTTCTAATTTTATTAGTTACGGTTGTAATTATACGCTGCAATTATAGGATATATTACTATTCGTAATTATACCAATTCAAATTATCGCAAGATTCGCAAGTTCAAGCTGTTCGGTGACAGGAAATTACCGTAATAAATATTTTGCAACTTGTTTGTGGACTTCAATTTAACTATTTGAATATTTACGCCCCGTGGTAAAGAATTATGTAAGTTTCGCTTTCCATAATTTATGACATCTGTAATTGATTCCGAAACGTAAATGGTTATTGATCACATCAATTATGTTAGTGTTCTCATGGCATACCATATATACATTCTCCGACGTGCGGAACTAATATCATTACGTAAACTGCACATCGACACGTCCGAGGAACTGTTACCAAATTCTGTCACGTGTGCGGACTAATTAATTCATTGGAACATTTGGAGTTACCAATGTATATAACATTGGTAACTCAGAAACGTACATGTTTTTATTGAATCGAATGATAAATGAACGAGCGAAACGGATTGTGACACGAATGAATGAATGTTAAGACAGCCCAGGCAATGTGTCGGTTTGTTGTAGCGCTGTCCGACGTTTCTAGGTCACTCACGATTTTCCTAAGCCGTTCTCGGTGGTCTATATTCGAAGCGTGCTCTTCTTGTATCACATCGATATAACGTACACAGTGGGCGATGTTGTTATTGCGTTAGACCAGAGCTAAAAACATTTTTAGGCAGTTCATAGTCAAGTTTGTCTGTTTAGTGTTATTTATTAAACAATCTTGCTATTTTTATAGTTAATATTATTAATGCTAAGGTCGTAGATGATATAGTTGTAGATAATGTTAGTCGGATCTTAATGGAAATGGAAAATTTGGAAAAAATATCCTGTCTCTTACCCACAGAAAGTAGTTCTGTAGCAAAAATCTACAATAATTACATTTATTAATTAGGTTAATAAAAATATATTTCATTGTTAAAGAAATTTTAATAGAATGATATCTGAAATTACTACCACTTTTAATAATTCATCGAAAATCTTCCATTCATATATGGTGAAAATCCTATTCATATTTATGTCTAACGATGTCGATTTCTTTTACTAGTAGGTATACCCGCACTGCATAGTTTTGTATCTAAATAAATGACCTCTTACTTAGATGAATGGTTATCAATGAAGACCTTATACATTATGTATTCAGAACCCTCGGTATACAACTTCAGACTCACAGTAGGAGTATCAGTAAACAAATATGATTTAAATTTATTTATTTACTACACTAAACATATCCTAAACCGATTTGACTTACGGATTTTTAGTACCTTTTATTTAAAGCAGTAATAGAACGAAAAGGTAAATGTTCGTGTTTATAAATAGAACAGTCCAGAATGTAAACGAATACACTTTCAAGGTAAATAGGTAAAGTACACTTCATTTATCTTGAATCTATTTCTACTTGAATTATGTTTCGAGTCGCCTACTAGATGATTTTATAAAGGTTGTCTTCTAAAATGTTAATTTTCAATGTTAATGCAAACAAACTAACGGCCTGATGGAAGAGCGCTAACGGTCATCTGTAGACATGAACAGCATAACGGACATTATAAATTTAATGCAGTATGACCTTTTAATTTTAAATTATTACAAAATATCTAACAGGAGCGTAACAGTAAAAGCTTTTATACTAAGGAGCAGTCAACGGTATGTCCTTATGTAGGTAATAGTAGTCCTAATAGCTTAGGTTTTATGTATAAACATATGTTGCAATTAATTATGGATAATGAACATCATCAATTTTACCATCGCAACCATTGCACCGCTCGTCATCGACAGGGAATTACGATATAATAATGAATACCCACAAGCTACTACCTAAGTGGGTGGTCTTGGACAGTGCGGTTTCAGAGGAGCTTCTTCCCGTGTTCACTTAGATTGTGGAATAAACTTTCTTGCCAGGTTTTATCACGAGACTACAGCATGGGGTTATTCAAGAAGGGTATATTAAGGTTTCTTTAGGGTCAGCAACGCGCACGTGACATTCTGGTGTCTTAGGCGTTTATTGTACGGTAACCATTTACCATCAGATGGGGCATGCTTATTGGTCACCACCGTAATTATTTTATATAAATAAACAATTTTATATATGTATATATATAAATTATATATAAACAATTTACCCAGAATTAATGTTTTTTAATATATTATTTCATAAATATATTTATAAAAAAACAGTAAATATGATTCGGTTATATTAACTTTTTATAAAAATTTGTTTATTTGAAACAGGTTTCTTTCTTGTGTCTTTTAAACCTTTATGTCTGACTTAACCATGACTTACTTTTATAGGTGATGGAACTGGAGTCGAAATTGTCGGAGGCTCAAAAGGAATTCATAGAGGGAGCGCCGACACGAGCCAAACGCACTCCAGCAGAATGGATACCGCGTCCACCAGAAAAGTTCTGCCTTACAGGACACCGGGCAACCATTACCAAGGTATGTAACAAAAATTAGAAAATAGTGTAATATAAACTTGGATCAATGAGTATGGATGTTCTGTTATTTAAGGGACAATTAATTCGATTATCATGAACACTGATTGGACTTTGCTTTTGACAAAATTGCTATGGACACGGTATTCTCCCAAATTTGAAATTAAAAATGAATGTGTATTATTGTAAACAACCTTATTGATGACCTGAGTTTCTTGTCCGTTCTTCTCATCTCGAAAGCATTACGAACTGACTATAGATTTGCCATATCATAAGAGTCTACATGAATAAAAATATTTTTATTTGATTTTATTGTCATGTATTATACATATATATATGTGTATTGTATAAGGATTACGAATAGGCCGATTGTTTTCGGTGTTGCAAGTAATTCAGATTGGATACATTTTTTTTCAAAGTGGATTAACGTATGCTTCCGGTAATACTATTCCCGTACTCATGAACAAACAAGTTGGGTTGTTTTTGTTTAACTGAGATTGTCCATCTGGATAACATATTATCATAATTATGAAAGATTATCAATATTTGTATTATGTTGTAGTGTTATTTATTATACTTATACCCAAACTATATTTATTTATTTATAACTTTAATGCACACAGTACTGTTACCTTTGTAACAGTACATTGGGCGGACTTAACACCATGCGGTATTTTATTTATGAGAATATTGAACACATACTTTTTAAAGTATTTTCATATATGGCTACTAAAAATAATTTTTCCATCAAGTGAATAATTAAAAGACGAAATTGTTACTATTTTATTGATTTTTTTACTTGTACTCTTACCTTTTTGTACATTAAAGTTATAATAGTTTTACCTATTGTGAGGTGTACGTGATGTAACAAAACAGTGCAATTGTTATGTGCAAAGATAGTCGCCCTATAAAATATTGTACCATTTTCCGGATTCCTATGTTAACATTACACAGAAAAGTGCATTCTATACGACTTTCTAAAGCAATGAAAGTTTGTGTCTTTCTACACATTTAAATACGAAATGTATTCAAGCATTGTCTAAGGGATCTGGTATTGTCTTACTTTTTACTCAGCAGTTTCTCTAATACAGAACTCGGGGTTTATCGCTGAGCAATTAATTCAGCTGCATTATCTACGGAACAATATTGTTTTACAGAATTTTCATATATGTATGACGTCCGGTCATTATATTTGAAAATTATAAAGAGAATTTAATTAACTTTTCTTTCAGTGCATTATCATAAGGTTTACTTTGATGAGGTTTCAGAATGCGGCCGTATTTATTAAACTACATGTTAACATTAACGGACTAGGAGGATGGACATGTATTCGATTCCTCGCACTGTAGAAATATTTGTATTTTTGAGTAACATGTTTGTGGTCTGGATGTTCTTACTATGTATGATGTACTTATATGTATTTAATATGTCAGTTGGCTAGTACCCACTGACTAGACTAGAATCGAATAAAGAAAGACTATTCGAATAGTAGACTGAAATCCTCAAATAATTTTTTTAAATTATGACTTAAGGAAAATGTCTTAAGAGTATTCACACGTTAAATGCTTGTGTGTTTCAGGTAATATTTCATCCAGTGTTCAGTTTGATGGTGTCCTCGAGCGAGGATGCAACCATCAAAGTGTGGGAATTTGAGAGCGGCGAGTACGAACGAACCCTGAAGGGACACACCGATTCCGTTCAGGACATCGCATTCGATCAACATGGCAAACTCCTCGGTAACTATTCATTTGTTATTATTTAGAAATAAACAAAAAATATTTATTCATTGTCTATGAATACGATTTAAAACTTAACTTCTGAAAATGTAACTGAAGTTGTAAAATAATATGAATATTGAAATCTTACTCAGTTGCAATTGATCGTCGATTTCTCGTGGTTCCTTGAATGCTTGTAGTTGTGAGAGACAGAGAGTGCTCAGGGAAAATTTTGAGCATTCGTTTGCATAAAGCTACTGATTTTATATCTACTACACTCATCATTCTGGAATGGCAATCGGAACGCATTAATATAGGCGATGGCTGATGATATCTTTCCAACGTATTATTGTATTATTTTGTAGATAACAATGGCTAATATATATTATTATATAACCCATACATATATTTATAATTTACATAACGTTGTGGTAGGTTTAGACTCACGCAGCGTTGTACTATTTATAGTATGTAAACACACCGTTCCTGTTTATTTAGATTACCGTTACATCCAATAGACATGAGTTCCTCATTTTATGGCACGTGCACTGTTTATTATTACAACCTGGGAATTTCTCTTACGAAGTAACAATAACAACTTTTTAACGTTAACATATTCATAATAACTTTCATCAATTGTTATAAATTATATGAACTTGTGTCTAATGTCAATACGTATTTCTCGGTAGAGTATTAGCCGTAGTGGTCAAAATAGCTTATTGAATTTTATTCGCGTAACTCTCAAAAATATTAAAGTAACTACCGGTTTACGGCTCCTCATAAAGAGCGGCAAATGTTATGTTGTATATGCACAACACAGTTACAAGAAAATAAAGTTCGTGATAACTCTCATATTTTGGCACTGAGGAGTCAAGTGTCTCCGTATCCACAAACATAGGTTGTTATATATATACAAAGTTATGTATATATATATATATATATATATATATATATATATATATATAGCAAGGCACGTGTTTTACAGATATAGATCAGACAGATATACCCACACAAGTGACTGTGTACTATTTCATACAAAGTTTTCTGTAGTTGATTAAACGGACACATGTATCTGGCTTGAATATTATTATTATTAGTAACATTGTACAGTTACAATGTTACTGATTAAAAATAAAAAAGAAGTATTAATACTAATAACGGTAGCTTAATACGATAAGACAAGTGTTTCCGATATGATTGCACATGATTGTACCATCATTATATCTTCCGTGTATTTTATACATGCATAAATTCCATATGAAGTGATTGAATTAACTCCATCTGAGATTACATTAAATTCACCCGACCGAAGCTCTTTATTTTATCCTAGCTGACCCGTGCAACTTCGTTTACATCGTTTCCTCGATCGCCCAATTTACATAATATCTTTTTAAATTATAGTCTACGTTATTCTGATTTATAAGCTATATATATTACTGTAAAGTTTCATCAAAATCCATAAAAGAATAACAAAAATCCATGCATCCATACTCATAAACTTTGGCGTGTATAATATAGTAAGTCTAGAGGATGTTTAAAGTTAAATTGTATTTTTTTCAGTATCATGCAGTGCAGACATGTCAATCAAATTGTGGGATTTCAACCAAACATTCGAGTGTGTAAAGACTATGCATGGACACGATCACAATGTGTCGTCGGTGGCATTCTCTCCTAGTGGGGACATCGTTTACTCGGCCAGCCGCGATAAGACCATTAAAGCTTGGGAAGTGGCCACTGGGTAAGTAGTGACTGAAAATTTAGAGGTGGTATTTATTATTATTACCATTGATATTAATAAATACCGCTTCTAATTTTTTCTACTCTGATTTCTTAAAGTTTAATTCAATGTATCATTGCTAAGACTCCCTATGAAATGGACAAGGGTGGAATAATTCTAAATTTACGAGAATTACGTTACTGTGCCAGTAATGTAACTCTCGTAATCTATTCGATTGCACGTATGACCTATTTATAGAATTAAATAACAGTGTGTTTGTTATTATTTATTTATCTTTAAAAGTATTAAGTATAATTAACAGTAGTAATAATAATCTAGATCACTTTATTTGATGCTCACGTTCGCATTTAACGAAGTAATTGTGCTAGAAAGAGAAAAAGGTATAATCTGCATTTATTGATCTTCTAAAATTACAAAAACATTCTGCATGCATTTTATGTAAGAGAACATAGTGAATAACAGATAAATGCCACATCTATTTGTATACATAACGTGTTTGTAGTTATAACTTTATATAATGTGGGCCCTGAAACCTTTGTATTCTTTATATATATAAGCTTAGAACATAATTAGTTATCTTATGTTGATACTCGTGTATGAGATTTAAAAGTAACCAGTGATTACTGATTATTTAATTTTACATATATTAAATGTTGTATGTAATATTTAGATACTGTATCAAGACATATAAGGGGCACCGTGAGTGGGTGCGCATGGTGCGGGTGTCGGCGGACGGTACACTGCTCGCCTCCTGTTCCAACGATCAGACGGTGCGCATTTGGAACGCGGACACCAATGAATGCAAGGTACTGCGACACATCACAGCCCAAATAAATTAATATAATAATAAATTTTAGCGCGATGGTATCACCTCATTACTGTAGCGTTATATATGATGTGACGAAGTATTGCTATATAATATATTGTTTATTGTGGAGTCTAGGTAGTGAGTGTACCGATGAAATAATTGTACTATTTTTATTATTGGCTTATTAGTAACGGGTACATTCGACGCGGAGTCTGGACTCACTTTACACTTAACTTAAATCCATTTAATTTGGAGACGTAAACTAATAATGGTCGTAGTAGTAATGGTCTCTAGAGTGTTGACAGAAATATTACAAGTGTAGACACAAAATAATAATGGAAAATGCTGTTGTGGCAATTGATTGACAATTAGAATTTAGTTTTTAGAAAAGTATTTTATATTTACAAAATGGATATCGTGTCAACACGTATTGGTAACATACGAACGATGGCCTCAGTGGTCTAGCTAACTTATACTGCCTTCCGTAGATCTTGTTAGATTCCATGCACGGTACAAACATTTGTATTCATGAGTATTATTGTTTGTATCGGTCTTGATGTTTTTTATGTATATTATATATCTATTTACAAAAATAAAGTATTGAAGTAATTATATCAGTTACTAACCAAAATGCTGTGTGATATTTCTATTATGAATTTACCAAGATATTCTCTATGTATAAGCAAATATTATATTTAACGTTGTTCTAAATTTCATACAAAAAATTACCTTATACTGTCGTATAGACTTTATTTTGTATGTATCGATTATGGCTAATTGTTTATTTTTCTCATATACATTTTCTGTCAACAATTAGTAAATAATACTGGTGTATATGTGTTAAAATAAACCTTATCAAATTGTGACAAGATGGAGCTCCGCGAGCACGAGCACGTGGTGGAGTGCGTGTCATGGGCGCCGGAAGCCGCGGCCGCCGCCGTCAACGAGGCCGCCGGCGGAGACAACCGCCGCGCCAACCACCTCGGGCCCTTCCTCGCCAGCGGCTCGCGAGACAAGTCCGTCAAGGTACTGTTGTAACTGCACACCGATCACCCTGGTATAGCAGTTAAAATTACTGCACCATCTTGAGATGGTTACGTTGTAATGACTATTCGATTTACTTCTGATTATTTTGTTCTATTATTTAGATAATTTCCTTTACACCTATAGTACTAGGGGCTAAGTACTACTGATTAAGGGGCTTGGTAATGTTATATTGGTTTGGTCAAAATAAAGAGAAAAATTACTGATACTCTTTTCGTCTGTAAAGTAGTAGTTATTGCTATTTATACAGATCCTCTGTCTGTAACTGAAATAATGAATAAATTTTGACATAGATTGATACTGTAACATAAGATTCCACTAGAGAGATATTAATAAAATGAGTAAATTGTGATGTGTTTGCGCCAGATCTGGGACGTGAGTACCGGGCAGTGCCTGGCGACGCTGGCGGGCCACGACAACTGGGTGCGGGGGCTGGCCTGGCACCCGGGCGGCCGCTACCTGCTCACGGCCTCCGACGACAAGACGCTGCGTGTTTGGGACGTCGCGCACACGCGCTGCCTCAAGACGCTCTACGCGCATCATCACTTCGCCACCAGCCTCGGTGAGCAACTACCACGTCTATCGTAGTCTGCTTTTTACTACCAAAGACAAATTTGATATTATCTATGATGCCAGCATTTTGCATTTTTTTAATAGGGTTCACAATCTATTATTAGGATAGGATAGGATCTATCATAACTTTGAGGACACTATCCCTGTTAGCTAATTATATTTCTCACAATTTTCAACATCCATAAAAACAGTTTAAAACAATACACTGTATCTCAATAATTCTGCACTACTGTACTATTATTCATTTCATGTGGTATAACATTGTTGAGAAATTATAAATCTGTAGCTTTGTATTAATTAATTATTGTTTTGTTTCAGATTTCCACAGGAGCTTGCCATACGTGATATCGGGCAGCGTCGACCAAACCGTTAAAGTTTGGGAGTGCCGTTAGGAGCGTTGCCATTTTAGTAAACTTAAACTCACCGATGATATCTTTATCATTATTTTTCACAATATTAGCTACAATGAGAGCAATGTAATGTTGCGATTTTAATGTTTAAATCATTTTGGAACGAAGGAATAGTTTTGATAATTTATTGATAACCTTTTCCTCCTTCCACTCATTGTGGCCTTCTCCCGTACACTTGACGATGCTATGTCCTTCTAGTGATTGGAATAATGTGATTCTTGACTCCCCGCGCGCCTCTTCTCTTACTTCGGTGTAGATTCGCACATTCCATTATATTGTAATGGTTCATAGGTAATTTCTGTATATTTTTAGCTATTATGTGACACAAGCATAACTTTGAGAATTCGATTCATGAAGGTAAAATGGATGCGACGTAGCATTTGTCATGTACCCGATCGGAACGATGAAGTGAGGCGAGAAAGCTGTGTTATAATTTAACAGTTCATTAATTACTCTTGTTTTATTTTATAGTTATTTTTTATTGATAAGTGTGTTTAGATATAAATTTTATTTGGTAAAACAGTTAACTTCTTAATAATTTCTTACCTGTCAGTTCTAGAAAAACTTGTACCTTGATTTGTTTATTGATAATTTAGTTTTATTAAATTTGATATTGTTGGTTATTCATGACAATCAGCCGATAATTTAGTGATAATAGATTTTTTATATTGAACACTCATACGCAAAATCTGTCATCTGTTGCTGTATATAATTAATCAATCTTTGTCTCTGCTCGATATGATATACATTATGTTTGTTTGCACCAGTGCTAACATCATGAATGGATATCTATGGAGACAACGAAATTAAATAAAAGTTTACTATTAGGATTGCCGGGCCCCAGAATGTATGGGTGCATGATTTATCATAACAGACAGAGGTTTCATAGGAACTTATTTTAAGTTTTGGCTATTACAAAACTTTAACTATAAGTTAGAGCATTTTATTTAAATTTTTTTAGTTATTTATTTATATTTTCAATGTTTTATTACTATATCTATAAACGAATTTCTGGTCCATTCGAGATCAATATATTGCTAGATGTGTTTAATATTGTCGTGCAAATTTCATTGAGCATTGTCATTTGATTTTAATTAATGTTATCATTTTTGTCATACAAGGAATTACATAAAATGTGTGATATTTAATTATTATTTTAATTTTTCCATCTAAATGGTAGCTAGATGCAAAGATAAATTTAATTAATGGAGCCTATTATGTTGTATTAGTTATTTATTACGCTGATGAAACATTTGGTTGCCTGGTATTTTGACTAGTATATAGTAAGTAGTTGTAGTTGAATATGGTCATACTATTAGAAGCTTTGCCGTTAGAATACAAAGTACAATGTATGGCCAGCAAAGTTTTTGCATGAACTATAAATTTCTAGGTCCCTTATATAATTAAGTTCATTGAGAGATACAAAAAAAACTATGATCATGCTTCAATTTTGCTGCGCATATATTGCGTAAAACATAAGTGAAGGCCTACTCTAATACCGTGCTTATTGTACCAGCGAATCTCGAAATATATATAACTCTATATTGTTAGTACTATTTCACACGTGTGTTGGTAGCGGCAGTATACTCAGTCACAAGGCACGGTATGGAGTTTCTTATAATATCAAAACATCGCTTAATCAATGTAAATTCGTAAATACACACTGACCAAGGAGATTATTGTGAACGTTATGTAATTGGAGAGAGCCTGAGTTGAAAATATTGTTAGAATATGCATGCATATACTGAATATAACAAGAATATAATAATGTGCTAGGTGCCAGGGTGAATAACTACAATATTCATCAATACATTTCTAGTCATTGTTAGCTAATTTCTTTTAAAATAAATAGCGTAAAACATTTCATATTAATCATATAACCTCATGTTTCTCTACAGATACCCTTATTTATTTATATATATATTCTACTAAAAATCTTGCTTTAAAAATATATGTGATATTGATACAAAATAAAAACCTGTATTCAATAACAAGCACAAGCTCTCTCCTTTTGCATAATTAACTTAGCGCTGTATAATCTCGTCGGTATAAGGCAGACGCCCTATTGCTTGCGCTCTATATAGTTATTTACATAAGATGTTTGTATTACAATTATCAAGTAATGTAGGTAATAATTACTGCACTCATTTCAACATATATGCTTACCGTAACCATAATGTCATAAATACGTGTATCTGCAATGTATTTGTATATTATATGCAAAATTCTCTTGAGGCAAACAAAATTTTCGATAAATACTGTCACATCTTACGGAGCTAAGTTCCATTTTCATTGAGGTCAAACCTTATAAACAAGTAAATTGTGGTATTTTTTCGGACTACGTCTCCGTACACGTCCTTAAAAAAATGGAAGGGAATGGAAAAACTAATTAATTCTACAAATAAGATTCGCAAGAGAATTTTGCCCAGTAAATGCTGTATTGTCTAAATTTATATAGAAAATTAATTACCAATATTTCATAGAATTTGGTTCAATATTTTCTGTAAATAAATCAATTAAATATCTAATTTATTTACAGCTGTTCCAATTATTTATCTCCCAATAGAAATATTTACCTATAGGTGTCAGGGGCCAGTACGATTATTGTCTTGAGTATAGTATATATAAAAACTGTTATGCGTTTGAAATATATTTCATTTATATTTCAGCGAAAAGACGAAAGTGTAGTATATTACAAATCCACAATTATGCCTAGTTAGTATTACGGTAAAAGTATCGCTTAAGCGAAGGGTAACCCCCTTCGCTTTGCTAAGTCGGTTCGCTCTAGATCAAAGCAAAAAATAGCAATAAGCCCTATACAATATTTCGTAGTCACTAATTTTGCACCATCACTTTGGTTGCCTTTATGGTAAACCAACTAACTCTGCTATGAAGTTGATACTTGAAAAACATAGGGTTTGTGTACTTTATCTCTAGATCAAGACAGAATTTTCACCTAATTTGCTCCATTTCATTATCTAGTCTCGTTTTGTAAGCGTCATGAAAATGGCAACACTAACCTCGTCGAAAAAAAAACAATCTGCTGTCATATTTCAGAATTATTTGTCAAATGTCATTCATAATTGTCATGTTAACTGCTTTGTCAAATCAAACCCAGTGTATACCTATTTCTTGCTTATTTTTTATTCTCTGTCAATGTTTAATAGAATTGTACTAACGACAACGTTCTTAGTTTCAGTAATTCAATGTTCCGACTAATTAATCCACTTTAAAACATTTACTCATTTCTTTACTTAATTTTTTACTATTTTTCGTGATTTTATCGTCACTGTGTTACAACCAATATGGATGTAGAAGAATGCCATAAAGAATGGGAGGATTTAATTGCGGACTACAAACGTCTGGAGGTATCTACAAAATAGTTTTTGCTTTGCGTAATTAATGATTTTTATTTCATAATATTCTATATTCAAGATGCACGTATCAATGAACAAATAATTGTCAATCTAATTTTGTAATTTACTATAATGTCATGTCATTAAACCTAAACGGATTTAATAAATTTAGGTGTATTGAAATATTAAAAATACGAAATAATTTGTAAATGAGGAATATTTTAGACACTTTTAGATTTTTATACTTATATATGTACCCTAAATTGAAGCTGTCAGTTTGAGTTTTAGAAGCATAGCATACTTTAACGTTTTCGGCATGTATGTATAGGGCGAGTACAGTTTCATGTTTTCATACCCTATAATTTCACTGCTATATCTATCCTTTCAACTGAAACTCAGCTTCCAAACCAAACATTACACAACTTTTAACTTAGAGTTAAACAACAATCATAAATATAGCACTAAGATCACTCTCTTACTTTAGGTAATAGTATGTTATAATTCAAATTGTAACATGACAGCTTATAATACTCCTTAGCTCACAATCAGAAGAGTTGTGTAAACTATTTTTCCTAAGAGATAATAAAGACAATGTGCTAAAAAAATTCATAATAAAATTTGTATATTACAAGTTTTTCTATAACTGTATATAACAGAGGACAATTCACACAGTCCCAACCTAAGCAGAGATTGTGGTATGGGTACTTGACATCTGATAGAAATACATAAGTATATATTTTTGGTGAATACATATGTAATGTATATAGAGAATTATCAGTATTAGTCTGGTCATGCTCATGAATTTTAAGATAAATATAGTCTGTAAATAAAGAGTTTAGGAAAGATCATTTAAATATGCAAACAGATATAATCGTATTTTATTATTGAGTGACATTAAACATCATAGGTACATTCCTTTTTTTTTATATTAACAAATTTAAATGGCCAGTAAGGTACCATAACTTCACGTATCTATTCTAAATGGTATAAACTAATATCTTCTCTTGAAGTGATGGTTCCTTTCCTGTGAAAAGAAATCTTGAATCTATGCATGTACACCAATCAGCCGGCATAGCATTGCCAATCTTGGTTTGTATAAAGCCTTGGTGAACATATCTGCAATTTGGAATTCAGTACCAACTTTAGCAATTTTCATAACTCCTTCAGTTATGGCTTCTCGTATGAAGAAATGTCTTAGCTTAATATGCTTGGTTCTGTTATGGAACTCATAGGGTGGATTTAATGCAAGTTTTAAGGCTGATTCATTGTCTAAGTAAAGAACAGGAATCTTTGATGATTGCTCTATATTTTCAATAAATCGTTTAAGCCATATTATTTCTCTTGCAGCTTCACTTGCGGCTATTATTTCAGCTTCAGTGCTAGAGATTGACACCGACGACTGTAGTTGACTTCTCCATGATATTGGCCCTCCGTAAATACATACCAGGCCTGAAGTCGATCTTCCAGAATTAGGATCTCCACCATGATCAGCATCGCTATAGCAGATTAATTCTTTCTGCGTATCTTGGCTGTATGTGATATAGTAATCCCTTGTACCATTTAAATAACGAAATATTCGTTTCAGTCTTGTAATGTCTGCTTTTGTAGGAGCTTCTAAGTGTCTGGATACAACACCTATCGCATAAGAAATGTCAGGTCTTGTTCCTACCATAAGATATGCAAGGGCTCCAACTGCTTCTCTGTAAGGAAATGTGTTATCCCCATCTTCTTCTCTTAATTCAGACTGTTTCACTATTGGTGTAGCAACAGTTTTACTGTTCTGCATACCAAATCTTTCTAATACCTTCTTGGTGTATGCACCTTGATGTACTTTAATACAGTTAGACTCCTTTTCTATTTCAAGCCCTAGAAAATAATAAGAATTTTTGTTAGTTTGGATTTTTATCTTATACCGATCGATACATTCGACTCGTCATGCTCTTGACTTAAGTCAGTTGGATCATTACAGACTTGAAGTGGAATGATCACTGATTTAGCAGTCTTCTCTTCATGATTACTTTCGGTAGGGATTATATTTTCATCTATAGGATTTAATGTTTTTTCTTCAAAGATTACATCTCTGGAGTTCATTACTGTCAGAGTGTTTTCTATCCAAATGCGATACCCTTCGTCCTCATTGTAACCTATAAGAATACCTTTTTTCGCTTTCTTGTCAAGCTTTTTGCGTGACGCCTTTGGTACATGTGCATAACAATGACTTCCAATAATTCGTAAATGTTTAATCCTTGGCTTTTTGCCATGCCATAACTCGTAGGGAGTTTTCTCCAAATGAGTAGGACCAGTACGGTTAAGTACATAAACAACAGTACTTGTTATTTCACCCCATAAGTTTTCATGTAGTTCCCTTGTAGGAGTATGCATTATAGCTCTGACAGCCTCAACAACTGTTCTATTATCACGTTCAGTTGCATTCTGTTGTGGTGTGTGAGGCATAGTACATCTATGCGTAATGCCTTCCTTTTGTAGAATCCGTTTCACATCATCATTTACGAATTCACCTCCATTGTCAGTGAAGAATTCTTTAATAATGTGCCCTGTAGCTTTTACATGAGCTATAAATTGTATCAGCTTCTCTTGGACTTCACTTTTCTTTCTAATTAAAAATAGATAGCGATATTTTGAGAAGTCATCCTTTAGTAATAGGAAGTAACGATATTTGGCATAGGAGAGTATAAATAGTCCACAGACATCACCATAAATGCATTCGCCTGGCTTTGATGCTCCTTCTCGCGTTCCAAATTTCAAACGATGAGCTTTTCCATAGATGCATCCTTCACATAGGGTTCTGTGAGTAGGACGTACAATTTTTATGCCCAGTTCTCGTTCAAAAATTTTTCTTACATGATCTTTGCTCTGATGTACAAACCTTTCATGGTAGAGCTGTAGCATATCTGTTGTATCAACTGCATTAATATTTACTTCGATTGGATTCAATGGTTTGTTTCGCAATCTTAGTTTATAGAGACCTCCATATTTTTCTCTTTCACCGAGTAGGACAGGTTCTCCATCTAAAATCAATTGGCAGTTGTTTGTTTTTGATATGAATGTGCTATCGTTCAACCAATCTTGAGCAGCTAAGACAGAAAAAAGATTTTTTGTAATTTCTGGAACAAGCCAAACATCATTTAAAGTTATCAGTTGCTTTCTACCATAAATATCTGCTTCCACTATTATGGATCCTTTACCAGTAGCAGCAATAGCATGTCCATTGGCAGTTGTTACTATATGTGACTTGTTTTGAAATCGTTCAAAATTTTCAAATACATCTGACCTGTTTGTGACATGGTTTTAATTGATGTTTATCAATGTTTCCCGTGTAGTTTACTTCAACACTCATTAGCATCATGTTAGCTTTGCATTTATTATTGTAGGAAGTATTACCTTGTTTTGACGTTGATGGTTTTTCTAATGTTAATGGACATCCATCAGCAATCCATTTGCGACAATCTTTAACAAAATGATTGTTCAGACCACAATAACTACATTTCTTTGACTTGTCTTTGACAGTTACCTTTTTATGAAATTTAGACTTGCCTTTACCTCCGGTAAGCGCGAGTGCTTCTTCCATTTCAGCTCGGGACCCTTGAGATTGTAATGCTCGTTCGTAAGAACATAGATCAACAGTTAATTTCTCTATACTACGATCCTTTTTTGCTAACAGCTTCCAACTTGAGATAAACTGGAAATATTCATCCGGACAGCTTTCTAAAGCTTTACCCATAAGAAAGATTTCTGGTAGTTCTTTGACTCCTTCTTTCTCCATTTCAAGGGAGAGATCTCGCCATACATTCCTTAGTTTGGATAAATACGTGCCAATATTATCAGCAGGTTCCTTTACAAATTTAAAGAATGTCACAATTAAATCAAATGCTCGATCTTCTATATCTCCTTCGTAAATGCGGTGCAACTCTAGCCAAGCCTCTCTTGCTGTTTCAAAACGCATTACCTTCATGATATTCTCTTGTGTCAAATTAGTCGTTATAATAAGAAATGCTGTACTATCTTCTTTGGCATATTTTTCAAGCTCAGCAGTCGTAGCTCTATCCTTTTCTACGAAGTCTTTCTCAACAACGTGTAGGAGACCATGACCTTTTAGAGCTAGTCTTATTTGAAATTTCCATGTAACCCAGTTGTGTTTCGTTCAGTGGTAAGACTTGAAACTTTGTATTTCCTTCCATGGTCATAACTATAGTTTAATCTTTTATCCACGTATACGAAAATAATCTGGTGTTAATAACTCTTAAAAAAAAATTTGCAATCGACCGTTACGTGCGATTTTGCAATTATACACGATACTCTGCTTCCATTTTAAGATAAATATAGTCCGGACAATTCACACAGTCCCAACCTAAGCAGAGATTGTGGTATGGGTACTTGACATCTGATAGAAATACATAAGTATATATTTTTGGTGAATACATATGTAATGTATATAGAGAATTATCAGTATTAGTCTGGTCATGCTCATGAATTTTAAGATAAATATAGTCCGTAAATAAAGAGTTTAGGAAAGATCATTTAAATATGCAAACAGATATAATCGTATTTTATTATTGAGTGACATTAAACATCATAGGTACATTCCTTTTTTTTTATATTAACAAATTTAAATGGCCAGTAAGGTACCATAACTTCACGTATCTATTCTAGATGGTATAAACTAATAATGAATACTGATTGCATTATGTGAGGAATCAAACCCACAAATATGTGAAATGGTAGTGTGCTAAATCACTAGACCATAGAGGCCATCACATGTGTTTAATGATAAATATAGTCCGTAAATAAAGAGTTTAGGAAAGATCATTTAAATATGCAAACAGATATAATCGTATTTTATTATTGAGTGACATTAAACATCATAGGTACATTCCTTTTTTTTTATATTAACAAATTTAAATGGCCAGTAAGGTACCATAACTTCACGTATCTATTCTAGATAGTATAAACTAATAATGAATACTGATTGCATTATGTGAGGAATCAAACCCACAAATATGTGAAATGGTAGTGTGCTAAATCACTAGACCATAGAGGCCATCACATGTGTTTAATGAAATATTAGTGTGTTTTAACTACCTTAATGTTATATTTCAGGCTACAAATAAGGAATATATAACAAAACTTGAAGAAGTGGGAGAACTGCAATCAAAATGTATGAAGGAACTGGACCATCAGCGATATCGCATGTCCCTTATCAGTAATGCATTAAAAAGGTCAGATCATTCATCTTAGGACATATTACAATTATTTGCATGCCATATAGATTACTTAGTATCTATCATAATGACCTATAATGACATCTATTGCACATAGCACAACCATACATGCATTATGTATATGTAATAAGTGATATTTTAATAATTGGACAAGTTAATTTATATCCTCTATATAAATTAACGAGACCAAACAATATAGTCAGTCACTTGTAATAAAAAAATTAAATGTAACTGAACTCTAACAACTTTTTATACTGATATGAAATTATTGATGGTAATTTTAAGAGCTCCGTATCATATTTTATATATAGGCTACTTCTTTGTCAAATTTTTAGAGATACCTTACATAAGAGAAGATATACATGAATATAAAAGTATTTTGATCCACAAAAATCTCAGTAACAATTAGAAAAATGGACTGCATAAAACATTTGTAAATGTTAAGGAATATTTAGTTTGGGACATAGAAAGTGCTCAGTCTCTAATTTTGCAGAACTTCTAATATTGATTTGAAATCTGCATCCTAACCAATAAACAGGCAATCATATCTGTTTATTGGTTACAACCATTGTAATAGTGTTCTTAACTGCTAACATACTAAGGTATAAGGACAATTTTTTTATACAATTTGTTTTACAATTCCAAACCAGCTGTAGCTTGACCATATGTTAAACAGTAATGGACATCACATTATTATGTGACACCTATAATATTACTCTTATGTTGAGAGAGGATCATTCCAGAGGACTAAAATGTCATGCCTCTTAGCCTATTAATTTTACTGCTTAATCTGCACTTTATAACCTGAAAAAAGTGGGACTGAGTATGTATGGGGATGTCTTCTACAATCTTTGGTTGATTGGCAATAGTAATGTGGTCATGTATATTAAGGACAACTGTAAAAACATTGTTTAATTAAACCATGTATGAAATCAGATAATAACTGTACACATGTTTGTCAATACATGTTGTATATCTGATAACATTACTCAAATATAAATACCATAATAATGATAATTTAGATAATAGATATGGACTTTATATGCGGGTGTAATTTAATCAAGTTTAATAAATCATAAGTGCCGGTCTTATTTGGGATTGGGATTTAAGCTAAGCTTATCTTCCCTCTTATGTTAGAAAAGTTGATAAATACTCAAACATAGGGATTTATGTTTAGATTAATAATGAAATGCATAAATTTTATTCTAGTTGACCTTGAGTCGATTAGACCTTATATGTGCCTATCCATCAAATGTGTCCATACAATGGACACATTTTTCTATCCATTTTTCTAGAGAACACTGTCCTGCTATGCTAGGATCAGGAGTATCTTTAATTACAGCCATGTAAATGTCCTTTGAACGATATTTAATCCGATATCAAGCACGCCAGTCATACACGGAGTATGTTATTGAATATGTGGAATATTTCTAGGATTCTATCCAATAGTAATTCTCTAATAAAAATTGCATATTTTACATCTTAGTTTTAACATTAAAGTTCTATTAAGATGACATAATTCAATAAATTTTGGAGATAGATAAGTAAAGGGAAACTAAATCATAGTAATGAACGAACATAGCACTTGTATATATTTTCTTCAGTTGTGATGAATAAATAGACAATCTTTGTACTTCACATTAATTAAGTAAATTAATGACTAACGAATCGCGAACTTTGCTCTTGAATGTACCTTCTTACTATTAATTAATACACATAATCTGATATGTTATTTTAATTCCCTGCTGCTAATACGGCAATACTTCAAATATCAATAACGTGTATTTATGTGGATTATCTTACCGTTGTGTTGTAGATTAGAAAAGAAAGGCATCACAAAAGATGAACGTCTGGAGAATTTGGAGAAGGAGATAATGAAGAGGAAAGCAATGCTGCACGAGATAAAAGCAACATTGCCTAAACAGAATAGTCTCTATTTACGCATCATACTTGGGAATGTTAATGTCTCCATTTTAAATAAAAATGACAAGTAAGTAGAGCAGGACCATTATGTATAAATAGAAATAGTCACGTACAATAACAATATACAAAGTCTTTTGTAGCTTGTTGATTTAATTGTGTCAAAAGTATTATCTATCTACAAATTGAACGTGACTTTACCTGCAATCTGACACTTGAACAAAATTGAATTTAAGTCGAATAGTGTTCTCAAAGAAGGTTCAGCCTTAAGTACAATTAAACAATATAAACATACGACTATCACACTGTTACTAGGTATTGTAAACGGGACAGGGAGAAGCTGTCTCATGAGTTTTTTTTTTCATATCACTGTTTCGTTTGCAAACAATTAATAAGAAATATAAATTGACACAAAAATGTCTTTTTTGTATCGGACAAATTTGAATTTGTAACGTCTGGAGTATAGCTCAGGGTAGTAAACCACTAGACCACGACGGTCTCAAAAAAACATATTAACATAAAAGACTATAAAATTATATTACACACTTAGGCGCCTTTTAGATCGGATCCACGCAGGTTACATTTCACTAGAATAGTGTTGAAAAAATAATCTGTCTGAAAGTACTTATTACATGGCCTCTGTAAAGAATTTTCAGATTTGTTGCAAAATAGCGTCACGCTCGTCAGAATGATACACAAGTGTCATCTATTTGACACGATTTAGATTAATACCATAAACAGGGCAAAGAAATATCAAAATGGGTTCAAAATACCTTCAATGGCTTTGTTTATTTTCGGTTGCTTAAAGAAGGAATAGACAATTTTATAATAATAATAACCCGGAATAACAAACCACATAACACCACCTAGTCCCGAACTAAGCAATGCTTGCGTTATGGATTCTGAACAACTGATATAAATACTTAAACATTTTTTTGTGCTAAACCGATATGCCACCGCAGCCGTTAATTTGTAATTAAACTGTCAAGTTGCTCATGATCTAAATTAATTTTTAATTGCTACAAACCTTTATGATCTAAATTTGATCAAAGTCCTTAAATATGCTACAGGTATTTAAGACATACTCATTAGTAGTGTGTTGTTAAACTCATTGATAACGTATTCATAGGTATTTAAATGGAATAAATGGCGGTTCTTTTAAAGCAACTAAAGGACTAGGACTTGCGGTATTAAAATACTTAATATGTATTTTATTATTAAGTTTACATATAATAATGATAGCAAATTGTTTTGCTACCTATCACGTTAGAGTTAAATATTGAGAGGTTCTAAAGCATCGTATTAGTGATTGTAAACTACTTTATATATGCCTTATAGCCACCACTGTGATATAAAAAACAGTTATATATGTTTATATACGTTGCTATATTTTCTTTTTATTTTCAGATTTAAATATAAGGATGAATATGAGAAATTCAAGTTGATTCTCAGTGCAATAGCTTTTGTTCTAGCTGTCACAAATTTATACATAGACTTCAGGTGAGTTTTAGAAATATGAGAGTGTAAATCAATCTTTACAAATAAAGTCACTGCCGCTTTCTGTTTGCTTGTATCTTTTAAATTACGCAATGGATTGTATTCTATCTAATGTAGTTTTCAGCAATAGATAGAGTGATTCAATGATTTTTAATTAGATATTACTGGTGAAATAAATATAACATTTAAATTGTAGTAAAACAATAATAATGGGAACATAATTTAAAAAATACAGTATAAAAATTTTATTAATATAATATTACATATTTATTTACTAAGGTACACTACTGATGTATAAAGTTGTCTGCGTGCTTTGTAAAACAGCATGTTTTGTAATTTTGATTCAGTTGAAGGGCAATGCATATGATAAGGCAGTGAATTTACAGAATATGGAGGCATAACATCTCAACAGTGCTCTTGGATTGGCAATTCATTAGGAGTATCACATCACGCACGACCATCACATTTTCATGTATTTATATACATGTGCGATTACAACTTACCATGAGTTGTGCCATCCGCTTTATTGCCACTCCAACCACATTTTTTTAACGCAAGGAAAAAACGTTATCATGAAAAACCTCTATTTTACAATTTTGTTGAATTTGGCTCAATACATATGTAATATCTGCGTATACTCAGAATATCCTATTCCTATAATCACTTAATACACTATATCCGTATCTTATCATGCATTAACCAACCAATGTTACTAACAAAAAATTATTTGTAAGAAATATTTACTTTTTTAAATAATTTTCGAAATAATAAATGAACAAATATATAAAGGCTGTAAAAATTATGATATAAGTTAAAAATTATGTAAAAAAATATGGTGATTGATTAATGCGTTTAATTGTGACAACGTTACAGACAAATAAACACGTATTCACATTGATTAGTTATATTATCTTTGTCTTCTTATAGGTAAAATTGTTGTAAATATTATTTTGTTATCAATTTTATTTTCTATTGAAATCATCATACAATTTCCACAAACCGCACACTACATCTGTATTGTCAAACAAATTATTCGTGTAAGGTGATTTATTTATGTTTGATGGTCAAAGTACACATAAGTATCTCTGTAGTAGATAGATAATGGAGCAATAAATGACGAGTAACTAAGCGTTGTAATAGAATAACGTAATAAAATATGTAGATTATTAGACTACAACAAAGTTAGAAACTAATAATAAATATGTGTAACAAACAATAGACATACTATAATACTTTTTTTTTTTAAATTGTAATGTAATTTTGTAGTTGTACAAACAATTATACTAAATACAAATGTTATCTTGTGTATCTTATCTAACAATAGTATTTATATCGTGAAGAAATCGAACCCACGATGTGCTAAGCTAGACCACCGTTTATGAGAGACGGTTCGACATGCAAAGAAGCATTATCGTTTGTAAATTTTATATAGATCACATTCGGCTCAAAATAAGACGAAGATGCGTGTAACATACACAAAACGATAGATAAATAACAAGGTCAATTTTTTAAAAGTCGGTACAAAAGGCTCTACTAGCTGTACCCACGACTTTGTCGGCGTGGAATTTAACTTTATTTTTCTAAAATAAAAGTAATCAGCTACCTGCCAAAAAAAGTCCCGTTAAAATCGGTCCAGCCATTTCAGAGATTAGCTGGAACAAACAGACAGACAGATAAAAATTGTAAAAAATGTTATTTTGGTGTAAGTTCCTTATTCATAGTTACCATATTCATATACATGTAGTAAAAATGGTTATTTCAATATTAAAAATAGAGACTCCAATTTTATTTATATGTATAGATTGTACGTGCTGTGTTATGTACAATATTGATAGACCATACATTTTATACGGCATAGTGCACAAAAGCGGGCTTATCTCTAAAAAGACAATGCATGAGTGTATTTTATCAGTATATTGGAAATCTATCATTAGTTAATTCTATATTTATATACATACGTACATAATCTAATGTTCGAGTACATAGTGCGTTGTCTTTTACATTTAATTCTGTGACTCACTGATTCCAATTTATAATAATGAATATTTTTTCCGCTTTACCTTTGGATCGAGTATAGAATTTCGGTATCTATTACACTATTATTAATTTATCAACATACAATAATTTACACACTCATAATTTTCCCTAAACAAGAGTTTTAGGGACGAATAAGATACAAAATATTAATGGCTAATGTCCCAGTGAACTTCGTTGCTACAATATTTTTTTGCATCGATCTCGATCTTATTGGAATTTGTATTCAAATACAATTACAAATATAATTTTTTTTTATCAATAATAGTAATATAATACAAAATAAAACCAATTTAAGAAGAAATAAGGCCATCTATTATTAAATAATCCGACGTACCGATTTCTATATTGAAATTTATAATGTTTGAGTTTATTTTACATTTTAATGTTTAATTTTATAGCGCGCTGTTTAATTTTATAATTTTATAGATTATAGATAAATCAATAAAAAAAACTTTAAATCTTTGTACTTGTTTTTGAGCAAGACTGATGAAGATTTTTATATTTAATAATTAATTAATTAATTATATATATAAGTATATTATATTTTGTTACATAAATGGCCATTTTGGAAAAATAATACTGTGCGGATTCAAAACCGGAATACTTCCATCATTTCTAAATAATATCTCTTTAGTTTTTGATATGTTAGGAATAAAGTAATATTTTATACTACATTGATTCCAGGCCGTTACAATTGATACTCATATTCTTATTGGTATGGTACTACTGCACGCTAACAATCCGGGAGAGCATACTCAAAGTCAATGGCTCGAGAATCAAGGGCTGGTGGCGGCTCCACCACTTTATTTCGACCGTCGTTGCTGGTATCCTGTTAATTTGGCCACAAAATGAACCTTGGGAGGAGTTTAAACATACATTCTTGTGGTTTATTGCATATATCAGTAAGTATCTAAGTTAGTCTTTCCCAACCTTTTTTGCCCCACCTTTTAAATGTATGAATGATTTGAATTTATTAATTTTCTTTTTTTAAATATACTAAAAGTGTATAAAATATTAGCAATAACCTTATAATTCACTTAAATATGTATATATTTTTTTATTTGCAGGTGTAGTCCAATATATGCAATTCAGGTACCAAAGCGGAGTTTTGTACAGATTAAAAGCCCTAGGAGCGAGGCATAATATGGACATTACAATCGAGGGCTTCCACTCATGGATGTGGCGCGGCCTCTCTTACTTACTGCCTTTTCTATTCGGTGGATACGTGTTTCAACTTTATATCGCGTACACGCTGTATAACATCAGCTATCATCCTGAAGCTACTTGGCAGGTATGTACAGATAATAAAATAATACGATTGTAATTATAATCTGTGATACATGTTGTGGTCATTACTGACTAGGTATAATACTGCCTTGAAGAAACAACGATTATATTGTATTTTGTGAAACGTTATCTTTATTCGATATTAAAATTATAGTAATTGAGAATTAAACAACAAAAATGAAGAACGTGATTAGTTTGTTTCTACTGGCTTGAAAATCATATAAAACTTGTAATATTTTAAAATTAACGTAATGTCAGGGAATATTAGAACATTTTTTCAGAAAAAACAAAATTATTTAATATCTTTACATTAATGAATTTAAAAATCACGTTTATTCTAATATATTTCTTAGATTTTCTTGGCATTTAAATTGACAAAGGCTACCAAAGGTGCCTAAGGTCACTGAGTATGTTATCTATTTATAAAGCATATTTCCCTATAACTAACCGACAACAGGTAGCAGCTTTAAGTATGTCATTCCTGCTTCTGGGAGTTGGAAATACGGCGACGATGTTGATGGTCATACCGCAGAAGTTCAGCGAGCAGGTAGAGTCGTGAAGTGGACACGCAGCGAATACGTAACGCATACGCACGCATTTATACGAATGTCGTAGATGAATTAGTGTTGCTCCAACAAGAGTTGTCATTTCCATAATTTATACAATATAACAATATCACAATTCTAATATATTTGTTCTATACTTACAGAAACTAAATGTTAAATAGTCGCTTATTGGAGTTACACTTATGTAGTGGTAAATGAAGTTTAGAAATATGGGTAGTAACTTTGTTATGTGGACCAACTTCATTCAATATAGAAAGTAGTGAATGTTAGATATTGCAATGTTAAATCACACACTATGCGATCTTGTACGTCTTCTGCAAAACTAACTGACTTTTGTAGACTGACTTTCATATGTATAATATTAAGTAAAGATGTAGGGATTATGTAGATGCCAATTCACATTGACTCAGCAGGTTGATGCCAGTTAAGGTTACGTCGTTAAAGGCCTATTACTATATCGAATACATTATTTATTCTTCATGATAAGGTAAGCACGCGTCCTAGATCGCATAGTCTGTAAGTTCAACTGAAGTGGTTTAAGAGTCCATTGTAGAAATATTTTAGTAATGTCCAATCTGCTATATATTACCTTATTTTTATATAATATATAAAATGTATTCTAAGTACACATACATACATAGAATATATATTTATTTTTATATAAACCTAATAACAATTAAGTTTGAAACTATTTTTCTCATGACTGTGAATGTAAACTTATATATTTCTTATTTATAATATTGATATAAACTGACCTATTCTATTGTATTTTGTATAGCAATAGTATAGATTATCTGTTTAAAATACAACTTACAAAGCAAAAATATCTCAGACACAAACTAACCGTAAGTATTGTTCACATGAAGCGCCATTCCTATAGGGCCGTGGCCAGAGCTTCTTTGCCGATGACGGCCAATAGTTACTCGTTTCCAGACTTAGGAAAAATGGTATCAGTATATTGTTTGGCGTTTTAATGCTCATATGTCCCTACTACTTATATAATACAGGACAATTAGTAATTATTCGTTTTATTTAATTCATTTGAGACAACATTAGTCCTTAAAATGAATACAGGTGATACCATGTCTTACAAGTACAGTATCGATCTGATGTTACGTCTAAATACTTAAACTAGAATGCACTTTGAGACTTTGAGGTACCGTATGAGCCACACACTAATCTAGTTTTTATAAAATATATGCAAACAAGTTTTTACCGTTAACAAACAACTGTTAGAATCCTGGCACTCGATGGTAACGGTGCTTCAATAAATATGTTCCAATAACGAATGTGAAGATCTGATTTTTATAATATTCTATACAGAAGTAGTAATAGTAATATTTAAATTGATGTCACAGAACGGTTACGAATTAATAGATATTTGTGCCAAAATATTTTTTTTGTTTCTGTGTGTTGTTATTTTGCATGTATGAAGTTATTTATATGCATGTTCTGTGAGTAGTGGGTGAAATTAGCAGTTTTTATTTATTTGTGGTGTTTTTGTTTAGTTTCAAATAGCACAAGGTTAGGTTATAGCGTAGGTTTTTTTTTGAAAGCCATGTACAAATCTAACATCATAATAGGTGTATAATAATTATGGGTGGTGACTTTGGAAAATTGTGTATAATTCATACGAAGTAAAACGATGTAGATGTAATATAGTAATGCAGAAATTTAGTTCCTGGATATATCTCATTTATATAAAGATCTTTACTTGTTACTGATTTTACATTTAGTGCTGGTAGGTAGTTTGTATTCACACGTTTCGATTTGTAAAATGTGACAAGGATTACTTAAAAGAGCAACAGACAAGTTTCTTGCTCGTGCTTCTTGTGATGAGACAGCTTTGCGAATGAGCGTTAGATAAAAATAATTGTTATAATTATTCAAAAGTGCTTCAATTAAGTTTATTTGAATAAATGATATTCTATTCTATTCTACAATTTATTTATTTAAAAGGAGGACCAAGATATATTTTTTTAATATCCTTAAATGGCAAAAGACTCGAATGATTATATTATTTATTTATAAACGAATACACATTAATTAAATACGATAACTAACCCATTAAGTAGGTATATGTAAGTTTTATCATCACGATATTCTCAATGATGTTAACTGATATTGTAAAGAGCACTTATGTTATTCTATTATACAAATAAGCTCAATTTGCATATGACGTCTATATTATTATTTAATAGTTAGCAAAGTTATGGTATCTATTAACGTAAGTGCTGGATTCAAATCTCATCTCTAATAATCTGTATTGAATGCCGACCTAGTCGTATTTTGAATGATTGACTAATTTGTTGTAGAAATAGAAGGTGGTTGTTCGATATTATATTGAATTTGATGTTATAATTATATGAATAATACTGCATTTGTTAAAGAATTGAGACAGTTTCTGTAATTGACTTCGGTCAACTATCAAGTAAGAAAGATTCATGCTCGGTTTAAAATACAATGTGATAGGAGATTTTTATGATATGAATATGTTTTTGTAATCAATGTATGATTTGAAGTGCAAACATAAGACAGAAAAGAATATCTTATATACTTAATAATATTAAAGGGTGTTACGAAAACTTAAATTTGTGTAAATCATATTCTAGGGTATTATGTGTGAATATGCCTGCTTTTTTAAATTAAAAATTATTGTTATGTCCGTCCCAATTTATCTTTATGTCAAATTTAATTAAACTGTGCTAAGAAAACTGTTCATATTTTAGTCATGAAAAGATATCAAAAAGACAGACAAACATACTTTTATAATATCTTCTCTCAAATCTTTTAAATATAAAATATCATTAATAAAATTATCATGGTGTACCTAGTGTCAAAAGACAAGTGCTACGAATTTCCTAACGAACATGAACCAAAGTCAAATTGAATGTAACCTATAGTCCTTTGTATGTTAGCCACTATATATTAAGGATGCGGTAATACCGCGATGTTCTATAATTGTACATAAGTGATTATATCATCTAAGATATTTAAGATACGGTGTAAATTTCTTATTCCATCACAGTTGTTAATTAATATACAAGTTCGTATAGGAGTACAAAATACGCGATAAACGAAAATTAAATATAGTTCTCAAGTTAAAGGAAAAAGGAGAATTAGTTTGTATTGTTGTATAAAATACATATGGTTGAAGGTTACTTTTATGGGCTATAATGTGTACTTTTTAGATAACGAAGCATTAAATAATTAAATTAAAAGTGTTATAACATTATCACCTAGACTGTACTTAACATGCTTTTTGTAGCATTTTTTATTTTTATAAATGCCTGTCATTGTTAATATGCCACTATGCTGATGTAATAAATTTGTTTTTCAGTTGCACAAGTTTTTTTGAATTATTTATTTATTTTTGCTACGTTTGGCAGGTGTCTTACTTGGCTGCTTTGTTTCTTATGTTGTACTCTTGCAACATGTATACAATACTACGGACACTGCGCAAGAAAACGCGGGGTGGACTTAAGCTGCGGTACAAATTGCGCGCGATTGCTTACCGCCTGTCCAATGAGCTCGCAGTATTGGTACGTGTCAGTTAGATAATTTGCATAAAGGTGCGGGGTGGATGCGAATGATAATATAAGTAATAAAATACCCATTACAATATACTTACAAGTGTATAATGTAAGTGGCAAAATCAATAACTGAATAGTTAATCTACGTGAATATCCCAATCTGCGACGATTAGATTATGATTAAGAAATGATTATTTGGTTTTTGTATATTATTATATTTTGCGCTACAACAAAGTATAATGCATTATTTTTTTTATATCTAAAATTCTATGTTAAAATTGTCACTCGTATCCATGTGTTTGAGTTCAATAAGACCCCTCCTGCATTAATCAGTTAATTATCGTACACCTACTTAATATATCCTATATACAGAGTACAAATTAATTTTAGACATCTCTATGTATTACCTCGATTAGGAGAACATACGTAGTGTGTAATTTTTTTATGAAAAGGATTAAAATAAGCTACAAACGATATCTGATTATGTCAGAGCGGTGAAGGGTTTTGTAGTGTTTGAATAGGCTTAAATGTCCGTCATTTGCAATGTGTGTGCTCGTATGGGATGTTACTGGAAATATTAAAATCTGATGTACCTAGTAGAAAAAATGCGTTATATTATATATGATTAATGTATAATTTAATGAGTCTTCAATTAGTTATTTGACGATTGTATAAGTGAGTCAGGGTAACATGACATTCATGAAATAAAAGCCTAAATATAGTCCGATATGCATATATTTTGATACGGTAAAATTTAGATGATAATATCTTAAGAAAGTATCTACCCTCTAGGGCAGGCAAATTAGTATCATTAGAATTTCATTTGTTTGACGATCTGTAGGATTGCATAAATTGTTGATTAATATTCAAACTTTTAGGTACAAACCTATTTGATCACAAAAAAGTGCGTAATTACATAAAAAGACACGTTTTAGACTTTGTATATAAAACATTTTATACATATTATTTTTACACACGAATTTTTTTTTTCCCGTAAAAAATAGTTCAGCGTATCAAAAAATAATTCTAATTTTAAATTGATATCATTAGTACCTAAATCATTTTGCAGTTTAATATGTTACAAAATATGTTTTATTATGTTGTAATATCACACATAATAATAGGTTTTAATCAGTTAATGACTACAGAAAACAAAGTACTGCACGTCACAATATATAACTCAAATAATGTAAAACATTATTCTAATATTTTTAACACATCAGGAAATGGGATGGCACTGCGCCATAAGTATAACAATATAAACAATAGGGAAGTTATAATTCGGACTGGTTATAATATATTGACGCCTTTGAATGGTATGCAATTAATAAAATTTTCAAGGTATGCATGCACAGGAAGGCAGTTCCTAATGTTCTAACTTTAATTTAAAAAAAAAGCCACTTTAGGTAGTACATACTATTTCGAATAAAAACAAACTATATCGAAATATTGACTGCTAGAGTACAATAGTGGAGATGGGCTGTATGCTTAATTGCCACCATTTCAGCATAGAAAAACTGCCCTTATATTTAAGTTACGCTACTGTGATAGTCAATTGCAACTTATCGAGTTCTTGTTACGATTGCATATTAATTTTTTGTGTACTAAAAACTCTATTCGTTTTATTAAATGAAGCATAAAATATGATTCGAACAAAATGGCTATTTTAGTTTCCAACTCCAGGTAATCGGTGTGATAATCTAATAAGGACTCGTTAGTTAAGTGTACGTTATTATACCAACTGTATATTGACTGTACCAACGAAGTTAGATGAAAAACAAATTATATATATAGTTTGTATAGAAATTCATATTATAGTTAATATCAAAAGTTTATGTGAGTGACCTTAAATCACGAGGAGTATAACTATAGATTTGTATGGTGTGGGTTACGGTAAGTAAAAATATAGAAAATTCGGTTACAGATTTATTTACAGTTCTATTGGCTAAATTACTAATAAATATACACTTCGTATACTTACAGTTTATTCTTGAACATAATTTAAATTTTTATGTCTAAATTCTATTTTTGGTTTCATAGTATTTATATTTGAAAACTGTCTTGACATGTGGTTTTACAGAAATATTGGTTTATATTAAAACACTTAGTGGTACTTAGCTGCAATAAAAATAATTAAATTCAACGAAAAGTCGATTGCGATGAATATAGATATATAAATATCCTACTGAAACAATAATACAGATAAAATATATTTTCTTTATACTTCATAGATACCGAGGTAGACTTTGTAAAAGTCGTGTTATCGAATGAGGTACCCCAGTCTCACCTATTTTTAATTTTTTCATTTAGTAAGGCAGTGCATGACACCTTAGTCCTCGGTCTCGCAGGCGTCACATGATATTGTGATGTCCGTAGTTCATCTGTGTTGGCTACGGTTATCACTTACCATGAGGTGGACCGTCAGCTTATTTGCTATTTCCTTTTTGACACGCCAAACCATATTGTGGAAACACTTTAAAACAATAGTATTTCCGAACCGATACGATATTGAAACCTTCAAGAGATTATTTCTTTTTAAAAGGCCGACAAAGGCAATTCCCTGTGTTGCGGGCACTCATGGGCGACGGTAAAAACTACTATTAGGTGAGCCGCAAGCACATTTGCCCCCTATGCTATAAAAAAGAACAAAAAAATACTATTTAGTAATTTAGCCAAATATATGAATTTAATAATTTGATATTGTTGCCGATATGTTATATTGTACAAGTACAATAAAAAGTGAGTGTATTTATTATATTATTTTGTGTGTTAGTGTTGTCTCCTATGGTTGTGGTACTTACGAATGTATCAATTAATGCATGTTTAGAATTAGATATTGGCATTTTGTGTGAAAGTATTCTAGCACAATTAATCACTAACTAATACTACTTAAATTTACCTAGGCATTGTGATCTATTCTGAAATATATTTCTAAAATAAGTATGTAATAAAAATTAGAAATAGAGATAAATCAAAGACTACGTGATCGATTCTGAAATGCTAATTTTCAGAAATTTGTGGTTAAATAAATAAATATTATGCAATGATATTTCAGAATCATCTCAATGCTGTAGTCCGTTAAGTTAGTGTACAACCCGCGTACTCGTTTGGTGATGGGTCGCTATATTTCTTCAATATATAGATACTAATAGTAGTTTAGTTAAATGACAGAATCTCGCAGTTAATAATAGCTAACCGAACCACTATCTAATAAATCCTATATTCTTGCTTTTGTCTAATCCCAATTTAAATTGTGTTTTTCATAAAACCATTGTCTTATGTAATAAAAGAAAAATACAGTATTATTAATTTTATGACATTCATTATACTTTAAGGATATATGTGGGTCAAATTGTAACATATTTCCCTCCTTTGGTGATTGTACTACCTATTCATCTTCCTGAATGTATATATAATTATAAATTCTTTTATGTTACTCTTGTTCTACTTAACAAATATTAAATGTACTTAAAGTGCGGGCTTTCTGGTGGATTTATGGTTTTACAAATTATAAAATATTTCTTATCAATTGCAGGAGCAAAAATGGAGACAGAATAAAATGGAAACGAAATCAGACTAGGAAACATTATTCTGGCGTAGCTAGCCTATATGTGATTCTATATTAATATAGGTGATTATTGAATAAATCAATAACATTATTCTTATTAATATTTAAAAAATTAATGAACATACAATTTATATTTTCATATTCCATGGTATTTAAAAGTATTTAATGGTGTTGTTTTATCATATGTAAATATAGTTATTTAATAACTAAAATGTGTCCTTATTTCTCCTACTTTAATCCTAAAAATACTTGTGTATATCATTAGTTATCAAGTATTTAATAATAATAACCCTGGATAATTCACACAGGGCTATCTAATCCCAAGCTATAAGCAGAGCTTGTAATATAGGTACAAAACAACTGATAGAAACATATTTCTTTTGTAAATAAATACATAATATGCATAGAATACATCCAGACTTATACAAACAACCATATTCATGAATACAAATGTTTGCAACATGTGAGGAATAGAAATACTTCTTTAATTACTTTAAGGGGACTATCTATAAAAATAATTCATAGTGATCTTCAATGCCCTGAATACTAACTACCAGATGGACACGACCCTGAAACTTCAGAATGAAGTCATCCTGAGTCGAAACAATTGTCGCGAAAACATAGGGAGTTCATTAAATTGCTGTACATACTTTTAAAATATTATACATAAAAATTTAATTATATTCCAAGTCGATCTGAAACAAATATGATGACAAAAAAGTATGAAAAAAAAAACCAAATATTAAAGATTCACATGTCATTTTATTATTATATAAATCTAGGAACAATATTCCACAAAATTATAACAGAAAATACTAATCACATACAAACTGAAACTCCGCAAACTTCTTGCAATTTAAATATATATAGGTCTCTTATATATATAAATATAAATCTTAAATATAGCTATTTACATGTAGTGTCTATTATATACAACACATACAAAAGTAGGTATTGCAATTAACGAAATTATTAATCTTTTACTACAAATTATTTTTTATTATTCAGTACAAACATTTTTTTAAATATTACTTTATGTGACTGTACAATAACTTCGGTAGATTTGTCGTATTACTCAGTTATATTTCAAAAGCATCACAGATTTGGGTTCAAGACAATTACGTTAATATTTTAACGGCTTTTTACAAGCAGAATAAATTTAAAAGACTCAATGTGTAAAAAAAAAAAATAACCTAACTCTTATTGGTACATTTTTATGAGGTAAGGAAAGCTGACAGTTTTATAGATTATTATGGTGCTAAGTAGACGATAATACATAAACTTGGTGAAGTATAATATAACATAATTGTGGTATTAAGTTAGATTCATATAACCACTAGGTACTGAAAGTATAGTCTAGAATCAATATTTACGTTTTCAAAATATTTAAGTAGCTAGTGTTAAAGACAAAAATATATCTTGAGCAGTCGCCTAATGGTAAGTAGCAATTGTCAACTATAGACATGATGCACCACTATGGATCACCGTACATCGTATCTAAATTGTTAGGCCTCTGCAATCAGTAAATTCGCTACTATACATTCCACGAATCTAGCCCAAATATAAGCATGCAAGCCTGCTAGAAATAAAACGAGCTAGTAAGATATCAATAGAGACGACGCCTCATTTCTCACTCCAGTGAATGTATTTAGGGATTCATCGACATTACAATCTAAGGACTTCAAGTTCGCTCTTAATACAACTGCCTAAAATTCACATGCATTTTTTAGTTTATTGTTGTTGTGTACCTGTAAAAATCTGAAAACGCATGTGAACTTTATTTTAGACCCGCTGCTAAAACTTATGTTGATGACTTTATGGATAAGAAGTAGATAGAATATAGTGACTTTAAATTTTGAACCGTTCATTATTATAAATGAAAAACAAATAATAAATAATTGAAATATCTATAGCAAATACATATCAAAATTAAAACAAAAATAGGCATGAGCATATCAATTCTGTTTTATATATTGAAATCTACAATGATTCCTCATAATCTTATATTTTTAATAATACAATTCAATTTAGAGGAAATATACGCCCAAAACATGTTCACTGTCACCATACATATATTAAATGTCTCGCATTTAAAAGGGTAAATCAAACCCCACAACCTGTTCAATAGTTCACAATATGTACATATTTACATATATTTTTTTTGAAAGCTAAGACTCTAATTCATGTGTACTTGTATTATGGGAGGTTCCTAACATTGTACGGAACGTTTCAGCCGCTTATATTGACGCTGGTTAAGGTATACCTATAATGTATATCTACATCGAATATTCGAATAAGCGGTGTAGCTTTATCATTTGATATTGTATGGTCACTACGCAGTGACGCGTGTTTATAAAATTGTGGCAGATAAATTCGAAGAGGGTACCTAAGGAAACGGTGTCTTCTCATGACAGCAAGAAAACACACAAACTGAAGCAGACATCCAAACAATGTCCGCTTCAAATTTTTACATTCACAAAATATTTTAAAAATTCATATTTATGGTATTAATGTTATAATTTGTTTTCGGTTACATCTTAGATGGTAACAAAAAAGATATTTACAGGAACAAAGAATATAGTTGTCTTCCGTATCATTGTCATTTCTCTAATCACATTAAACTTATTATTGCCACTATGAAAATACAATATTTTCGTAGTGGCAAATAATAAGTTTAACCAGCTACATTCATAACATAACAAATTCTTGTGATTTTCATAGAATAATATCATATGTTAAAAAACTAATCTGTGTAGTCGTCCTCCTCAGTCTCCTGTTTTTGAAAGTTATCACAATCCTTATCAGAATATACACTATTGTTATCATTGTTCTGTTCATCTAAACGAGGTTTTTTCACTAAAACACCATGTTTTTGTAATTTTTCTATTGCTTCTAAGGTAGTCCGTTTTGAAGCACTGGCATCATTGTTATGTTCAATATTAGATTCTTTTTTAATTTGACTAGTTTTTACAATTTTTAATCCACACACATTACTCAGTCTGCTTAGCTGCTGTGAGTTTGAACTGAATTCTGACTTCATTTGTGTTGTGACTGTGTTACCTTTAATATTCTTGGTTACATTCATTGTTTTGCTTACATGTGTCGCTGCTGCATAGTGTACTGTAGACCCATTATCTTGTTCACCACTAAAAACAGGAATATCTGACACAGGGATCAGTGACTCTTTCGGTTTTTTGAAACAACTAAAAGGACCACTTGTCTCCTGTGCTACAGATCTTTTCATAGGACTTGAAGGATTTCTATTTGGCACTTTAGTGCTTGAACTTTGTGCCAAATTAGAACTTACATTTTTATTTACAAGCGACATTCTCGGAGTAACAGCTTTGATTACATTTGACCTTGGTCGTGCGGGAACTAATTGGTTAGAATGTCTAACTGCAGTACCAACAATAGGTCTGACTGGTGTGGTGGCACTTCTAATTTTTGTACCACACACAGGCGATGCATGTCGTACAACAATTCCGTGACCTTTATTACCTAATTGTTGATACGGTTTTACCTCTTGAACTTTTTGTGATCTTATAGCAGATGTGGACGTCGATTGGTTTGCACTTTGAACTTCTTGCTGCACTGTTTGATTTATGGTTTTTATTGTTTTTGTTACAGTTGTTGTGATTTCTTGGATAACAGTTTTACTTTCAAATGTTTTTACTGTAACTTCCTTATTTATTGCACTAACGGGATTGGACGTGTTTCTGTTTATTAACTGATTTATAGGACGCTTGATAATAGTATTTCTTTTATTCACTGATTCATCATTCCAATCTTGAGCCTCCTGATTATTTTGCTTAGGTTTTATAGATAAATCTTTACTAAGATTATTTGGCAAGACAGTTGTTGCTTTTACAGTAACAGGTAATTCTTGTTTTTGTGATTTCTTTTCATTTAAATTTTTAACTGTGACGCTTTTACTAATATTCTTTAATGTTTCAATGTTAGTATTCTCATTCACAGATTTTATATCGTGATTAGTTTTTTTCAGTGTGTTTGTTACCAACTTACTTTCAATATCTATAAATTGGTCATCTTGTTCGCCATCACTGAATGTACCATCTGGGTATTGAATTAAGATGTTGTCATTTACTTTAGTATCATCTATGTTGTCAACATCATCGAGTGGCGCATCATCGTCATTCAATTCAGTGATCTTTACTTTACTTGTACTGGAATCGGAATCACAATCATCATCATCATGTATATTTTTTTCACTGGTATCTTGAGTATTTTGATCTTGAGATTTATTTGATGGACAAGGGGAAGAATTGCCAGATTTTATTGTAATATGTTTACTTAAATTTTTTAAGGTGTTTTGAAGAAATACATTATTTTTCTTTTGCTGAAATACATTATTTAGATTATTTTGCTTAACTTTTTCTTCAGGTTTGCTTTCATCATCAGATTCATAGTTTTTATTAATACAATCATGTTGGGGACTACTTCTATTACTTCCATGGCGAGTTACTTGTTGGTATTTATGATTTTTAATAGTAATATGTTTGCTTAGATTCTTTAATGCATCAATTGATTCATTAGATGGCAAATTCAATTGACATTGTGCAGATTTTGAAGCTGGATTCCCATATGTTTGTTGTTCTTCATCACTATCAGAATCATCGATATTAAATATCTCAATTTCTTCATTGGTCTGCTCTTTTGTAATAGTGTTTCCCATTGGATTATTTTTAACAATATGTGCAGGTTGCCTAAGAATCTTATCAGTTTTTATTTGATGCACATTTTTTATGGCGGGCGTACCTATTGGCTTTGCTGTAATATTTGTCAAGTTTTTTAGAAGATCCGCATTTGACTGTGATTGGGTATTTTCTTCTGAAAAATACTTAGCTTCTTTTCCTGACTGTGGTATATTAATTTTGGATGACGTATTTGGTACTCTTTTACTTGTTTCAGGACTGCTCATTGGGCTCGCAGTTTTCAAACTAGTCAATCTCTCTGATGTCTGAAGTTTTGTTGAAACACTAATTTTATTTTGAGACATATTTTTTACATTTTTGTTTACATTTGCGCACAGGTTTTTATTGGTACTTTCCTCATCTTCATCAACAAATGGTTTGTTTTGTTCAGATAATTCTGGGGATTGAACTGTAGATTTAATTGTAATATTTTTATTCAATATCTTCATAGCATCCAAACATTTGATAACTTCAGTTTTACGTTTTTCATTGTTAGGGACTGAGTTTTTTGTTAAGATTGTTTCTGTTTCTGAATGTTCATCACTATCATTATACTCTAAATGGTTTTGTGATTCTGTTGGGACACAAACATTATTTTCTTTTATTTCTGTTCGTTTAGTAATATTAGTTTGTAAAACTGGCTTAACTGTAAGATGACTCAAATGCTTCAAGGCTTTTAATGAACTGATTTTGGAATTCTCATCTATGAATTCAGAGCTGTTTTCTCTTATGACATCATGCGCAGTTTTTGAAGTATTATTGTCATTATTTAAATTAGCATGTACAGGAGTAGATTGTTCCCTAGCATTATAAACTGATTGAGCTACAAATTTCATTGTTGTATCTTGACTAACATTTGGTAATGATTTTAGAGGATGTGACATTGATTTTTCCGTTTTATCAGGATTTTCTTGTGTTTCACAGCTCTTGTGCAATTCTTGATTAAATATGTTATTATCTGATTTTGTATCACTTTTTGAACTATTACTATTAGTTACAGTTTGTGCATTTTCATTATTCGATATTTTATCAGTCTTATAATAATTGGCATGAACATTGTCATCAATGTCTTCATTCATTTTGGGTTGTGATATTTTACAAGGAGCCTCATTGTTTTTGTCTTCATCTGCATCTATTGACACACCACTTGGTATATCGTCACATTTAACTTCTATATTTTCGTAAATTGACTTTTCAGGAGATGACAGTTCTTGCTCATTTTCTAGTACACTTGTATTAGAAGATTGTGGTTTAGTTAAGATAGCTTGATCACTTGATGACTCGGAAATATTATTCTTTGTAGATTTTTTAACTATTTTTATTTCATTATTGCTTTGACTCATTAATTTTGTTAAAACATCATTAGACATACTTACTTTACTTGACTTAGCTTGAGTAACTGAGTTTGCTTTATTGGATTCTTCTGCTTCAAAGAGGTTTCCAACTTTGTTTTTAATGACTTTCATTCCTACTTTATGTGGCTTTTTCACAGATTTCATTTTGACAACAATTCCTTGCTTTTTCAGTTTTTCTAAGTCTTTAAAAGAGGATGTTTTCGTTCCACTATGTAATACTTGTGGTTGTTTTTTAACTTTTAGGCGTTTCGCTACCACTTGTGATGGAACTTCCTCAACTCCTTGAAAATCTATGCCTTCTCCAAATACATCTTTATTCATATTTAAAAATTCATCAAGTGTAATAGCTGACTTTTTAGACTTTTTATGCTTTTTATGTTTCTTCCCTTTAATTTTTGGGTATTCTTCACCTCTGGGCTGTTCTAAACTTGCTTCATCAACAGGTTGATCCATTGCTAATTGAAGAAAATTTTCCTGAAAAAAATATTCTTTGTCATTAATTTTGTTGGTTACATTAAATAAAAAAAACAATCCAAATAAATATGGAGTAATAATTACGATTTCAGCTGATATATATACTATGAATCTTACACTGTTCACAAATAAAATCAACTGTATTTTGTTTTAAAAAAATTAGTAGTTGTAGTTTAAAAATTTACAATAACAGCTAGTATGTCTAGTTTTACATAAGTATATAAAATATTTATTCATATAGGACACTTTTAAGATATTGAAAGTAACTTGTTGAACAACTAATGCCAAGTAATTAATCGTATCCCAATTAATTGTTTACATGGTGATTTAGCTTTATTCAAGATAAAGTAATAAATAAACAAAATATGCTATAGTAACATACTGTATCATAAATCAAGATGCTTGCGTATATACAAAATATATCATATTGTAAGACTACAGTGGGTTTGTATTTCAAAGTACTTTATTAAAAATTGCTTCCTAAAAATGTTCCCTGCTTAATCACTACATCCAGTAAATTTCGAATTTATTAATACAATATAAACACACTATGTACATGAGCTGCTTTACACCACAATTAAAATTAATATAGATAACTTACTATTCCTAGCGCATTTATTTCACTCTCAGCATCATTATTCACTACTTTTTCTATTACTGGTGGTACACTTTCCAGTGAAAATTCAGTAATTTCGTCCACCCTGCAAAACATTAATTATTATAGACATTAACTAAAATTGGTTTCTATGTAATTAAGACAAGAAGTAATCTTATTACATGTCATTTTTTTCACTGTACATATCCTCTGTGGTGTGGTAAGTTACATGTAGCTCATATGCATCCAAATGATAGAATATTGCATCACATAAAGGGCAGCGTAATGCATCAGGAGTTGGTTCTTCATCACCATGGTCATCACTCATGTGTTTCTGTAAGTATGAAAACAAAATTCTTGCTTTGGTTTATATAGAATGACAGTGTTTGTTATAAAATCTTTCTATGGGTTTTAAATATTTCATTATCAAAATTGTCATCAAATTGTTTATATTCTCGATTGAGTGCTTATAACTCAATCCAGATTATAAACAAATTTGATGAGTGCACTATTATTTTAATAAGTATGTGATCAAGGGCAGATTAAATAAATTAAGATTGATTTAAATTCTGTATAATCACAAACAATTTCGGGACACCTCAATCTCAGCTATTATAGCCACTAAGCAGGTTGCTTTGTAAGTTGAGTTAGGGCAGAAAAATTAGAGCTACAATAAATTTTGCATTACAATAACAAAATAAACTCTTATTGCAGGATCAAATATTTGGACATTAATTAGCTTATTGTGAATAGAAAACAGAGATCACTATAAAAAGGCTGCTTATATTCTCTACATTGATTGTGGTAACAGTAACAGTTAACAGATTGTCACTCTTCATGTATTGTATTGTAAATTCATCCACTAAAAAGGGTGTATTGAAATTTGCACAAAGTTAGTTTGAGAGAATGCAAGGGATGTCGTAGTAAACAGCTAGTAAAATATTTGTATGTAATATGTATAAAAATTTGTGGACGAAGTTCTAGACTCTAACTTGTATTTAAAACTATACCTCCAGTAATACAATTGGACATCAATATAATGGGCAGCTTTTGCTTTGATACTCACATGTAAATTAACCTTGTTATTATATTCCTCTCCACAAAATGCACAGCAATATATATGTAGTGCTTCCTGTAAATAAAAAATTGATATTTCAATTACAGATTTAAATTGTTATACTGATTTGTATCATGCATACATATATAAAAACAAACAGGGATTTAGAAACAATATTCACAAGTAATATAATTTAAGTAAATAATTAAACAGTTTTATGATTGTATGCAAATATATATAATTGGGAAATAAGTAACACCCCTAGTGTTTAAGTTGTCCATAGGCTATGTATTTTTCAGATATATTGTATTTGTATGTCATCATTATAGTATATAAACAAAATGGCTAATACAGGAAAGGTTCAAATACTTCTTATTGCTTTCATGTTTGTATTTTATATAATACTGTATTTAAGAACTGACTAAAATATTTAAAATAATAGTTAATTATTATGCCTGAGGTACCTGGTTAAACATTTTTATTTTCTTTGATTGTCCGAATGAAGGTATATCAGTGTCTTGCCAATGGAAGAACTTGTTGTGGTATAACATTGCAGAAGGGATATAGAAATCAACATTACAAGGATCACAATGGAAATCATTGCCTGTACACACTTCTGTATCTTCATGATTTGCCTTCAAATGTTTGTTGTATAAATGCTGTAATATTTCAAAAGGTTATATTGAATTGAAATTAAATGAATTACATTTCATAATTTTATATAATGTGTGATTGTGAGATTTTCAATCCTGTGCTAAAAAACATTAGGACACTGGCATACAATTTACACATATGATTTCAGAACCATAAGCTTAGTTATTAAATATCTGTTTGATAACAGGTATCATTTATATATATGATGTGGTGGGGAGAGTACATAGGTCATTTTGACATTTATAAGCGCTTGCGGCGAACGACGTCTTACCTTCATAGTGAATAGTTTACCGCACCACGGACAAAAATATTTAGCGTCGTGATCCGGATGCACCTTATGCTTGTGAGTTATCGCTTTTGAAATTGTTGGAAACACATCAGAACACACATCGCAGCTAACCATTTCACCGTCTTCACTCGGCTTCTCATTAGATGTTTCCGTTTCGCTTTGATTCGATACTTTACTCTTGACATTCTGTTTGAATTTTGGATCCCCATGTTTTCTAATAAAATATCATAATTAGATACGGAAAGAAAGAGAACGAAATTGGCGGAATAACAAAATAAATTATTGGCTATTACTCTGTACCTGAAATGTATTTGTAAATCTTCTTTATTTTGAAACGTTTCTTTACAAAATATACACTTAAACTCTGGAATAGTACTCATAGTGGTGCAAATATTATCCGTATATTATTCCTAAATTTTGCAATAATAAAGACTTTTCGGCACCATATACCATAGTCATATTGTTGCTTCAGTTCGTAACGGTGTTGTTTATTTTGTTTACATTTATAGAATACTGTATTTTCACTAGTTAAAGGATTCGCTGAACAACAATATTAAATGCAAACAAAACGATAGCCATTTTATATTTTGTTTTTTTTTTATTTTACCATAGATAAATGATATAAACCGTACACCCACAGATGAACTAAAAAAAATGTGTATGCGTGTATCTTGCTTGTCACTTGTCCCTGTAAGTACTAGACATGCAATAAAGCGATGTTTTAATAGTAATAGTGGTATTATACGTAGCATTGAACCACATCTCGGTTTCAGTTTGGTTTCCGAAGGAAAACCGGAAATTCAAAATAATAAATAAAAATATTTCTAGATATTCATGACTGAGCAAGTAATCACTTCACATTTTCGTTTTTAGTATCATTTTAAGTGTGTTTATGAATTACAATTCAATTTAATTGCAGGTTATATTCAGTTAAGGAGTAATAAAATATTTTATGAATTTTGCGACATGGCTAAACTTTTTGTTCCTTATTATATTACAAGACGTTTATATTCTGGAGGCGGAGGGATAACAGCTCGAAAATATGTTTTAACAAAATATTTTAAAGGGGAACCTAAGATAAGCGACTTTCAAGTTATAGAAGAAAAACTTCCAGATTTAAAAGAAGGCGGTAAGTGAAAATATTTAAAAGACAGAACCTGTTTATAATTCATTATATGAACCAATGTATGAATTTACGCGATTTAGACGAATAATAAAATGGAAATACGTATTTTAAACAGATAATTCATAATTGTACGGTATTATTTACAGAAATTTTAACTGAAGCGGAGTATCTTAGTGTCGATCCTTACATGCGCGCCTATATGATTGGCTACAAGTTACCTACTGACATGATTGGAGGCCAAGTTGCAAAGTACGAAATAGAAAACATTATATAATTTATGGATATTGTGTTTTAATTTTACTGCATTAATCTATTGCAATTATTTTTTCAGAATTATAGCAAGTCGCAACAAAAACTATCCTGTAGGTAAATATGTAGTTGGATCTTTTGGATGGCGCACACATACCGTGTGTGATCCGAAAGTACCGGAAAAACTTGGATTTATACCAATCACTTTGTTGCCTGACATTGACCCACATCCTCGATCTTTAGGTTTGGGTGTATTGGGAATGCCTGGGTATGATATTTATTTGTTAATTAGAGTAAATACTAATAAATAGATAATAATAATAACAACCCAGGACAATATACAGAGCGAGTCATCTAAAGAGACATCTAGTCTCGAGCTACATCTAGTATTGTGGTGACTAGACAACTGATAGAAACATTTAGATACATTACTCATGTTACAGTCCAATTGTTTGTTAGGTTCGAACTCTGGCAATCTGGTACTCCGACCATCGGAATTCATGCGAAGTGCAACCGGTAGGCCATCGGAGGCCTTCATAAATGTACTATTAATATAATGTTATAGAATAACGATTTATCTTCACGCACATATCTTAAAGGGTATGCAGAGAGAGCCAAAGAGCCAAATGCCTATAATATTTCATTATGTAATTTACGCGTAGATACTTCGCTATTTATATGTAGTATAGTTATGCAAGTACTAAAAAATGTATCTTGAAATAAAAAAATCGCATATTTTTTGGCCACGTTTTTCCCTTTACTCACTACTGTAAAGATATTTCTATGCGCTACTAAAAATATATGTAGTCGGTACTGATATCCTGTTCGATATGATAAAAGAGAATCTAAACTTGTAACTAGTTACATTGTAATTATACCTTCACATGTGTGGAACAAAATTACACAATACTCTGGTTCCTTCTATAACTAATATATTGCTATATATAATGTTTAGCATTACCTGTTTTTTTTATTGTGAATTAAATAACTTATGTAATTAATATAACATTCAGCAATACTGCTCATTTCGGCCTAAAAGAGATATGTCGGCCAAAACCAGGGGAAACAATTGCAATTACCGGAGCAGCTGGTGCTGTTGGGTCTCATGTTGGGCAGATTGGTAAAATGCTTGGTCAGTACTCATTTAAAACTACTTCAATGTGTAAACATTTCATTAAATATAATTTGTATTGTATTTATTTTTTTTGTTATATTTATAATAATACACTTAGATTATTGTCAGTAATTAATTTCGATAATATTGTTTTTCTGCGACGGGTTATATAAAAAGATTTTTTTTAAATGAACTGTTTATATAGTAATTATCTATAGATAACTTGCAGGTTAGATCTATTAAATTATATTAAACACAATAACAGTAATTACTTATACTCATATATTGGGTCAAATAGATAAATCTCTAGCATTCTAAGTTTATCATGATTTCATGTTATAAGCTGTATAGACTTAAAATAATTTAATTAATAATTAATATTCTAAAATCGATGAAACATGTAAAACAGATTCGAGATATGTTTGTCTATTATATTTACAATTTCTAATAATTTATGTAATTACATCTTTTTCAGGCTGCAAAGTTATTGGCTTCGCAGGCAGCGATGAAAAATGTCAATATTTAAAAAAAGAATTGGGCTTTGATCACGCTTTTAATTATAAAAGTGCAAATATTAGACAAGCTCTAAAAGAAGGCGCACCTCAACGTATAGATTGTTATTTCGATAATGTAGGTAGTTAAGTAGTACTAATCTATTGCGAACATGAAAATAAATTAATTTTATCTTAATTAGCACTACATTTAAAATCAATAGAATGTATATCTAACCACAGATCATTGAGTTTTTTTTAATGGATGACAACGGAATGGTGCTTTCGCCAGCGCTAATTGAGGCGCACACCAGTGGAGGACCATAAGATGAGCATAAGGACATGTCAGTTAGCCCAGCGTGACAAGTTTACAAAAGGAACTTATCAGAACGGATTCCAGGGAGAATCGCGTGTACTCAGATTGATTGACTTGGTAGATTGCTAGCAATGGGGTTCCAATTCCATATTACTGACAATCCTATTCCCCACAGCGCATTGAGTTGGGTATATAATTAAAACATTTTATAGGTGGGTGGCGAAATTAGTACAGCTATAATGAATCATATGAATAAAAACGGGCGTGTTGCGGTTTGTGGTTCGGTATCATCTTACAATGACGAAAAATTACCTAAAGGTGAGACAAACATTTTATTAATATTATTACCTACTATAATTTCTACATATCAAAATGGTTATAAAATTTCGTCATGTCTGTCTGGATAGCCACCTATTTTTTTATATATTCCAGACTTCTTCCATTTTTTTCATTTCATTCCATGTTATAAGTACCTTTTAGATTAACAACATATGTAATAATACTATAAATAAATATAAATCGTGGTTACGGCACTGGCGACGGCAATCTGTCACGGTAGTGCCATTACACCACTCCCTTCGGCCAGTAGTCTTCCTTCATGAAGATGGACAGCAAGTTGATGCATGACCCATCGTCATGCATGCATCTTTAAACATATCCATGTTCTTTTACAGAAAGATTTTGAAAAGTAACTAACGCGCAAAGTTGTATTTATAAATAATCTTCAAAACCTTAGTAGGTACCTAGTTTAGCAACTATTAGGTACTTTCTTTTTAAAGTAATTTTGTTTTAGTAAATGAGGTAATCCGCGGTTTCATCCTCGTGAAATTTATTAAATTAGCTTATTATTCTAATGTATAAGGTATTGTAAAGTTTAATTAAAATCCATTCATTAGTTTTGCATGAACACAAACTTCCGCGTTTATAATATTAGTAGGATTTCAAAATAATTTGAAATTATCTAATTTCAGTGACAATCTTACAGCCAGCAATCGTTTTTAAGGAACTTGTAGTGGAAGGATTTTTAGTTAATCGATGGGTCGACCGTTGGAATGAAGGTATTACTGCCAATCTCAAATTGTTGAATGAAGGAAAACTTAAATATCAGGAGAAAGTATATCACGGATTTGATAATATGGTTGATGCATTAGTAGGCATGTTACAAGGTGAAAATACTGGAAAGGCGATTGTCAAAGTAAAATAGTTTATTAATCTGTAAGTGATTCATGATTGTTTCAACACTGTTAGATTAGCCACGCAACTGGGCGATATTGCCGGCGACTTGGCCGCAAATAAAGGCGTCAAGGGAATACTTTGTAAGTGCATATGGTACAGAAAGTTTGCAGGGTCTGGCTGCATGGATCTATCATAGTAAATTACAGAAACTTTACTTATTATACCACTTTTCACAAGGCTCGTTTTGCAATCGATTTTCACTTGGAAGAGTGGCTGTTAGCGGTCGACGTTTGAACATACTAATTAGTATATTCCATTAATTACCTGTTTTTTTCATACGTTGATATTGTACTCCGCTACGCGTCGTGCTGTCTCCTATCTATATCTGTCATTACATATAGTTCCTGTACGAAGTAATAGGTGGTGCTATATGATAATTAGCGACTCCGTTATTTGTGTTCATATATATTAATTGTAAGTATCTCCCTGCACTGCCTGAGTCAATTACGGCTTATGATATTCGCTGACAGCCGCTGCTATATAAACATCTGTTAAGTAAAAATCAAATCTTCTGTATTGCAACATTAATGTAAATAAGTTTATATCTTAGTGTTATAACGTCGTCGTAGTAAAGTGCCTTTATGAAAACAGTTAAATATCGATACATGTTTCGAGCATTAATATCGTTCATAATAAATAAATAAAATTAAATACAATTGAATGTTTTATTATTATATTATTACTTACGCAGTACACACCACACGCAGGGCCTTGTATAGTCCACCCAAGTTTCGTTTCAGTTGCGAAGAGATAGTCGTTTACCTGCACTGATCGTCCGGTTAATAAAGTACCTATAAAATCAGAACCAATTGATAAATCTATTTCAGAAACATCATCTATAGGATCTGAAATAAAAACACCTTTTTCTTTTAAAACAGACTAAATATCATTTCCCTTTTTTATCATAGGTATATAACTATATATTGTCGCCTTTTCAATATGTCCCATCTAGATTTTTGACAGCTGTCAAAAATCATTAATTGAAATTTTATGCATTTGTTTTTGAGTCATAGTTCCACCAAACAAGTTTTGACTCTTTTCTTGTATGTCACATGCCTTTAGTTTTAAATTTATAAGCCACGTTCTTAGTGACGAATGTGAGCACCACTGTCTAAAAGAACTCTGACTGTAATATTCTCATTTCCGTTACATATTTTTACTTTCAAAGTCTGCAATAAAACTGTTTTATTAGGAATACCACCCTGATTGAGTACTGACTGAGACTCTTGTGACGTGCCGGCGGTGCTTGTCTCCACATTAGGCTTATTGACATCACTGCACATTATAGGAATTGTCTCTTCGTACATACCACACATTTCGGGTACTTTCTACACCTTTTTGCAGAATGTCCAATGTTAAGACATGATGTTGATGATGACATATGTAACACGCATTTTTTAGTCTTAAGTATTCTTTCCGCTCATCCAAGTTTTTACAAATAGCAGTAGCACATTCTGAGCTGGCATGTGAATTCTTATCGCACCACACACATATCTTTTCTTTACGCTCAAAGTGATTCCTATCAGGGGATATTATCTTTTTATCCTTACTATTTGTCATATTCAAACATGCAGCAGAAGACATAGAAATATTCTGTCCCATATAATTATTAGACGTTTTAAAACGAGACAAACGTATCCTTTCATCAGATTCAACCTCCGACTTGACAAAATTCAAAAGCCTGGATAATGGACTAATATTTCCATTATTTCGTTCATTAATAGGTATGTGACCTATGCCAAGCTTTCAATACATCTTCAGGTAATGAGGATTCGACTAATGGTAATAAAGAAGATGAGTATTTCTACTGGGTTACTCCCATAGATTCGAGTGCCAAAATTTGTGTCGTCAGACCGTCATATAATGTACGAATTGACCCTTTCTGTACACGTTTTGCCTGCGCTAGAACCAGATTAAGTACCTCTCTCACATAGTATTCTATTATCATTTCATCTTTAGCAAACCGATACTTAAGTTATTCTATAACTACATTATAATGCTCGCCTTATGGTGGAAAACTTTCTAAGAATTCACTCGTTACTGACACTATTTCCATGCATTGAAGCAGGTAGTGAAATTTGTCATCATTATTAATCTGGTCATCAAGGTGTATCTTTTTGAACTGGGACAAGAACCTCAACCAATTCCTGATCTCCCCATTGTACTTCGGAAGTTCCAGCTTTGAAAGGTGAAAGTGTCTATTGCCATTTGTTTTTGACGAAAACTGACTTTCTTCTATTTCATTGACAGCTAACTTCGGCGGAGAAATAGAAAATTTACTCGCCCTTTGCTTCAACATGTAGTAACGTAAGTCATAGATATCCGCCTCATCGTTGTCTTTATTGAATTGTTTCTCATCACAATTATCATCATCGAGCCGAATAGTATGTCGAATAATTTATTCAGTTACTTTCCAATAGCCCTTCCAACCTTTGGCCACACAATGAGAATCTACAACGCGCTAATGTCCTCTGTGCCTTAATCCTTTCCCCGTTTAAATACCAGTATACCGTCCTGTCACGGTCGCCAGTATGTGGACGGCTCGTTTTAGGAAAAGAAAATACTAATAGAAAAGCTGAATAGAAAAAAATGTTTATTGCAAAAATGTCTAAATATCTAATTGACAAAAAATACAACATTCTCTTTTTTAAAATATTGATATAAAACCTCAACAATGATAGTAAATTCGCTACACATCAATATAGTATAGAAAAAGGACATCGATGTTTCTCATGCGATGTCTTATTTTATACTGACTGGAAAGACATGGATGTCAAGTAATGTCAACACATTGACGTCGCCGTATAAACCTCTTCCATGAAAAGGGAAACCCCGAACCAAAAAAAATTCTGAGAAACCATAGATGTGAAACGTAGAAGGATTATGACGTCAGAGCCGAAGAAAAATAAATATTGTTTTGACAGTTGATCGACTGACTTTGAAATTGAATCACTTCTCTAAGTTTCTAAAGTAGATAACAAACAGATTTAAAGCAACATTATTAATTATTACTGTTTTATTTCATTATTTGGTTAAATATTTTTGTATTTGTATTAGAAAGCTTGTAGACAGTCATATAGCGTGCCGTGCAGTGTTATATTTTTTAAGATTTTGTCGTTTCCTTTTTTACCGTCAATAAACTGAAGTCTTATTTTGGAAATATGCCGATTTTCAATATGATTTCTAAGTATTCTAATGGGTCCGCATTAACAGTTAATATTATCAGTTTTGAATCTCCTGTGGGGAAAATTGTTGCAGCAGCAGATGACGATTTCTTATACTTTGTATGTTTTGAAGATTCAAAAAAAATCGAAAAGAAGATACAGTCCTTGTCTGAGGAACTTTCTTGTAATTTTCTGGAAGGAACAAATAAAGTTTTAGAAAGTCTAAAGTACGAACTCTCTGAATATTTTGAGGGAAATCTTAAGACTTTTTCTGTGCAGATAAAGACAACAGGGTCAGATTTTCAAAAGGTATGTATAAGAAATTTATTTAAGACCATCTATGTCAGTAATATATTTAAATTTATGTCAGTTATCTGTTAAAGTTATCTTGTAAAAATAGGTTTTCGTGGAGTATTTAACGCTGACATAGAATGAGAAGACTACACCCTATAGACAGCATAATGCATAGAGAAATATTTATCAAAAACCAGAAGATCGAAACTGCCATACAACATGCTTAACTATATGTCCGGAGATAACATAATAATTCCCCAAACAAATTTTGAATATACAGTGAAAATTTTACATGTTACATGCTTGTTACACAAAGTAAACTTATTATCAGGTGTAACTTCATTAAAATTTTTTATGATGATTAAGAATTCATGAAACATTTAATTATAGTTCGAATGTGGTGAAAGAATAATAAACATCTGTCATATTTTTTATGTTAAATCAATTTGTAAAATGGTATGCTTCTCAGATTCCTGCGAGAAAGAGAGTTTCAATCCATTTCTATTTTTTGTAGTGTACATTCATCATCAATTTGTTCTCTAAAATGCATATTAGAGATATATTTAGAGTGTATTCATATTATTATTATTTTAACATCTCATGTTGCAGCAAGTTTGGGCCAAACTTCACCAATTACCCTATGGTACATGTCAAACTTATAGTGACCTTGCCAAGTCAATTGGTCTCTCAGGAAGCTATTCCAGAGCAGTGGGTGCTGCATGCGGAGCTAATTCTCACCTACTTGTAGTACCTTGTCATAGAATTGTGGCTGTTGGTTCTAGAGGTGGCTTCAGCAGTGGTATTGATAGAAAAGAATGGTTACTGGAGCATGAGAAAAAACATACATTATAAATAGAACTATATTTCTTTAATTTTTATTTCATAATAACAGAATATCAGTTAATTGTTAACATATTCTCAGTTTTATTATATTACTTAATAATCTTGAATTACATGTATAAGCTACTGTGCACAATTAATTAGTGTACCTACCTCATTAACAATTATTAGGTTAGCTGATAATGATCAGATCAAATCTGTTGTCTGTTGTTGTTTTTGTGTCTATAGACTAGTGAAGATTTTGATTGTGATAGTATGATTGTTTGTTATAAATATATATATGTTGCTATATTGGATAGATATAAATATATACAGAAAAACATCAAATAAACGTAAAAATAGAATAATTCAAGTAAAATGTATGTATTAAAAAGGATTTTGTTCCATCAAATATTTAAAATAAATAGTTTCTATATATAAAAATATTACTTAGGTTGTATATATAATAAGTATCTGAAAAATTTGCACATTTAAAATATAAAGATGAGTGTAAATAAAATGAGAAAAAAATCCATCCTCTGAGACCTGTACAAGTACTGTTAAGGATTACACGAAGATAATGATGGACTTTTATCTGTTTAATTTCTAAAAAGGTATATTACTTTTATATGGAAGCCTTTAAGTTGTCGTTGGTATATAATAAAAATCAATTACAGATAGGATCTGAATTTATTTAGTGAATATCTACTTAATACCTATTTGTACCAATTTTTTTATCAATAAATTTTTCAAAAAATTATATTGCTGCTTTATTTAAATCGTAGTAGAGTCCCTTGAGCTGCATGAGCTGTGCGTGCGTGCCGGTCTCGTGCATTCGCCCGCTGCTGAGCACGCAGATGCGGTCCGCGTCCCGCACCGTGCTCAGCCGGTGCGCTATCGTCACGCACGTGCGACCCGCGCTCGCAGCCAACAGCGCTTCCTGCACCACCTACATAATCAAGACGCAAACAGGTATTAATATATAAAATTCTAATGATCACAGACCCACAATAAGGGAAAACATGTGCCTTTTCTAATGTCTTACGATATTTTACAGGTGTTTCAGTTTTTGGTTTTATTTTTCCATTCATTCCTATGTTATTGAGCAATTAACGGAATTGCTCAATAACATCGGAATGAACAATATATGCACGAAATCTAGGTGAAATCGTTTCGGTGAGAGGTCGGGAAAAAGATGCACTGTAGCAATCCTTTCTTGAGCATGTCACATACACGTCAGTTTCAATGTATGATTTTCTCTGAGTGCGAATAAGTTAGGAAATATTTTTCTTTTTAAATGTAATACGAATAAAGGTAGGAGAATTGATTTTGTATATGTACGCTTGCAATTTCAAAATGAATATAAAATATCCTTTACCTTTTCACTCTCTGTGTCAAGAGCACTGGTAGCTTCATCAAGTATTAGTATTTGTGGATGTCTTATTAGCGCTCTCGCTATGGCCACACGCTGCTTTTGACCACCTGATAACTGAGAACCTTTTGACCCGACATTCGTATCATAACCCTAAAAAATACATTGTTGACCGTGAAATTGCTTTATTTCAGCATATTATGTTATCTGTGATTTCAGTAATGTTTAACTAAACATGACTACTACTTACTGAAGGCAATGATATAATGAAGTTGTGTATATTTGCTTGTTTAGCCGCTTCAATGATTTCATCCATAGATGGCTGACGCGAGTTGTCACCATATGCAATGTTTTCACCAATAGTTCGATCGAAGAGTATTGGTTCTTGTTGGACGAAACCGATCGTTTTTCTCGCATCTGCGAGGGTTAAGTTTTTAATGGGTATGTCATTTTGGGTCTGAAAAAATATTGAATATATATGAAGGAACTCGAGGTGGAATCATCAATTTATTTGAACAGAATAACAGATTTATATCGGTCATGTCACCTAACGAATTCTATCAGATTGTGTTTCGATTGATTGATTCGGTTTAGGAAACTTAAAAAATGTAAACAATTATAATTTATTTCTTAGCCTCAAAATTGACCTATAATATAAAAAAGCTTTATTTTGCTACCTTAATAAATTAATGTAATTTTGCGAAGACATTGCTTTCGATACTATCTAAACTATACAAAATTGAATTAGTGTCAAATAATGTTCACATTGTACGTTACGCTACGATTCAAATACAAAGCTATATACTAACCACTACTCCCATATCTGGATCATAGTATCTTTCAAGTAGTTGAATAACTGTGCTTTTACCACACCCGCTAGCGCCGACCAACGCCACGGTTTTACCCTTATTTATTTCAAGATCCATATGTTTTAGTACTTCCACGTCAGGTCTAGAAGGGTATTTGAAATGAATATTCTTTAGAGCTGCGGTGCCATTTCCATTCTGAAAAAAAAAGAGAAATTAAATCGTGCTTTTTATAAGCATATTTCGATTATCGTATGTCACTCGGTTAGAACAATTATTGTTCTTAGCCGAATTGTTACCAAAGTTTCTGTTTAAATTATATTATTTATAATATAAAAATACTGATAATGAAAATACTGGAACCAAAATCAGGAACATAGTACTCAAAAAATAATTATCCAAGAATGGCAAAAATCTCAAGAAAAGAATAAAAATAAAGTACGCAGTGCGAATATGTGGTATTCGCACTGCGTACTTTATTTTTATTATGCCACAGTTTATATTTTCGTAGAGAACTGTAGGTATCATGAGCAATAAGTAAATAAACACCATGTTTTAATCACGAACATTAGATACAATAGAATATTAGATACATTATTAAAAATAATATTATCGAAACTTACAAATTCTTGATTAGGTTCTGCTGGATCTATGATTTTTGACTTAAGATTGAGCAATACTACAACACGTCCTGCTGCTTTTATTCCTTTATGGAAGTTCGGTGCGAACGCAAAAGCTTGTGCAGCTGTGCCGGCACTTATTAGGATTGCTTGTGCTGCTCTGTAATTGAAAACAAATGATAATATTTTGTAGTATTATTTTTGTTCTCAATGTTATATTCTTTAATCTAAGATTTAAAGAAATCCTGCTTATAAATAAAATTGTTGCTTACGTACTACATACTTACTTCATTATAATTGCGTAATCTATATGTTCGTTTATAATTAACGTTCCACCGTAATACAAAGCTATGGCATTAGTGAAATTCATAAGACCTCTAGAGAGACCAAACACTATTCCTCGCCAGTGCGATGCTCGTTTTGCGATTTGCAAACCGGGTAGAAGTAGTATAGAGTAACAGTTCAAAAACATTTTCTCCTTCCCTAGGGATGCTACAGTACGTACGTTGGATACCGCGTCTACAGCCAACTAAAACATACCAATAAAATATAAATATATCAGTAACGTACTATGTATGTTGTGTTTTTGTCCCAATCTTATAGCATACTTGCTGACCACGCAAACGTTGTTTTGCCATATAAATTAAAATCGCAATTAAAATGTTGTATGTATTTTTTAATGATACATTATAAACAAATATTAAAAATTGACCATTAAATAAAAAAAAACATATTCGGGGTGGACAACTCGTATCACATAGTAGTATGAAAAGATAGTAGCTGATTCTCTGACGTACTGAATAGAATTTCATAAAAATCAGTCAAACCGGTTCAGAGGAGTATGGTAACTCACATTATGACACAAGAATTTTATATATACGGAGATAGATAAATAGTAGCTAGATCGTCTAGGAGGATAAGGAGTAGCTGTATGCTAATTCTTGCTTGACGAATATCGAAGCCAACGCTAGTTATGTTACGATTCAATGAGGAATCGAACTTAGGGATTTGTAACATTAATACAAATACAAAGGGCATAATGTAGACTAATATTAAATCTCGTAGTAATAAAAAAAAAACCATACCTTTGAGCTCGCTTCCATAGCTTTTGCTGTTCCTGAAGATTCATCGCCTGCCATTTGACGTTCTTTATAAAATACGCCAGCTATTATGGGCACAAAAACAAGTGCAACAAGTCCCACACGATATTCATAATACAGTGAAATCACTAGAGCAAGTATTAACGTGCCTGCTGCTTGTAGTAATGTACCGATTCGCTGTCCAGTAGCCTGAAATAGAAAGGACAATAATAATGATTAGGTACTTTATCATAAATCAAAGTACTGCCTCTGTTTTATTAGTAGTACTTAGAGTAGTAGTACTTCTGTTTCATTAAACACGAAGAATAGAAGTAAATTGAATAGATGTAACATTATTTATCTATTGCAGAGATTATTCAATATATCTAACCTGTATTTGACGATATAGAATGTATTTGGGTTGGCGGTCCATCGAGGAAATTTCACCAGGATTTAACGACAATGGTTGTCAGGACAGGAGTGGATGTTGACTGTTAGGATACATTGCTAGTACTGGCCACTTCTCCCTTAGTAATAATCCATTGTATTTCTATATATTACTATAATTAATGATTTAAATATAAGCTTACGGCTTGCACTGCAGCCGCCTCTCCAGCTAATCTCGCACACAGAGCACCCGTCGAATTGTCCTTGTTATCGTAGTAGGCTACATCTTGCTGTAGAAGGGTCCCGAACATGCGTTTCCTTAGCCTTTCTGTCAAGTACTCTCCAGCAACGCCGTAGAAGTGTATCTTGGAAACAGTTCCAGTTATTTAACAGCCTAATTGTTGAAAATTTATAAATGTTGCTTTTCAAGTTCAAATAACTAGGTTTATTACTGGTGTGTGATTTACACGCCAGATACACACACACACGCCTTGACCGATCGGACTTTTTTTGAGTAAACGATGAGTCGATGGTCGATGAATCTTGGTCTCGATCGGTCAAACCGTTTCGGAGGAGTATCGTTATAATGAGTGCAAATATCTAAGATCGCTTCGCGCTTCGCGCTCATAAGTAATATTGCACATGAAGTGATATTTTTTAATAAATTTAATAAGCCGTAGCTTATATACATAAACAGCGTCACGGAGATGAGCTTATCATGCATTACTATTGGGACTGAGATGTCATGCTTTCGTATCCTGTAATTTTACTGCCCTTCGATTGAAGGGCGAGATAAGCATTGCTGGTGAAGCCACCAGCAATACAGCTTAGAAAAAGCGACTTTTACAAAGTCTACCTTAGTATGTAAGTACCATAAAACCTCGTTCCAGTGACATAATTATGTAAATATATGTGTACATTCGTATTAGGAAAACTATGAAATCAAGTTAGATATTTACTGTAATGAAATTGGCGAAACCCGAAAGTACTCCTATGATGATAAATGTGAACACAAGTCTGCGCACCTCAAGCAACATTTCATCTTCATCAGCATTTGAAAATACCTGAGAATTATAAAACAAAAATTTTATGTAGTATTTCCGCTGCATTATTTTTTTCTTTAAATAACAGACTACATATTTTAACAGATTTTAATTTAACCGGTAAGCTACTGATGAAGGTTTACTAGTTACCTAGGTAAGCGATTATACTGGTAGGGATATAACTCTACGTAAATATCACCTAAATCAGTTACAGTCACATATGGAGTCATAGCGTAAGAGACATCTAAACAAATTCAATTTAGTACCTAATCATAATTGATATTAGTAGATAAGAGTGATATTATTACCCCTATATAGTCACCGATTATAACACCAAACATTGGCATGGCGAATCCACTAAACAATGAAGAAATGCTAGCTAAAGTGACAGATTTCCACTCTGGTCCATTCAGTCGTAGGATCTCCCAAAAAGATGTCTCCTGCTCAGTTTCCTCTGGTTCCTTTTCTTCTTGCTGTAGGTAAAGAATGTATAGAGATATGTAAAAGTAGTTACAGTTCTCACCATAGAAACCAAAAATTTCTAGTAGGTACCTAATATATGGAAAACCCAAAATATGGGATCTAATAATATATTGTCGTTTATAAATGGTCTTACATTTATATTTTCATTAATAGCTAATGCAGAAGATATTTTATAATCTGTTTTTTTAGTAATAGTTAGTTACCTATCTATTAATATAATAATAATGAATGTAATACATCTATACGTATAAATAAAATCGGAGCGTCTGATTATAATATTGAAATAACCGTTTTTTACTACATGCATATGCATATGAATTTAAATACGGTACATACACCAAAAAAACATTTTTTACAATTTTTGTCTGTCGGTCTGTTTGTTCCGGCTAATCTCTGCAATGGCTGGACCGATTTTGATGGGGCTTTTATTGGCAGGTAGCTGATGTAATAAGGAATAACTTAGGCTACTTTTATTTCGGAAAAATAAAGTTTAATTCCACGCTGGCGAAGTCGCGGGTGCAGCTAGTAATGAATAGATATAATTGAACTAGCGATTGAAGATTTATTATATAAATTGGTAACGTTACAAATGCCCAAATGTATGGGTTTGACATAGTATTTCGAAATTGACCTTATATATTCTTTATTTTGATTTATAATATTATCTCAAATCATTCTTAAAATGACTAACGTAATTACTCACTACAGTTATAATGTCCTTGAGTTCGTCTTCATCAAGGTTATTACTTATTTCTGATTGCTGACGATTGATAACTGGCTTATCTAGAAATATAAATTTAATATAATTTCATTACAGTCATTATTTTTTTTATTTTATTTGATTACCAAACGCCAATAGATATCTGCAAAGCATCAAAACTATTTTCATTACCATTATCCTGAGCTTCAGGGTCAGAAGTTTGTATCATCACCATATCATAGTAATGCCCTTTCTTTTTCATTAAGTCGTTGTGATTCCCTGATTCAATTATTTCTCCATTTTTGAATACGTATATAATATCTACGTGTCGTATCGTTGAAAGTCGATGAGCTACTATAATAGTTGTGCGGCCTTCTTGCGCCTAGAAATAGTTTAATAATAAAACATATATATTTAAATAGTCGTTTAGTTTGCAATCTTCAATCAGATTGAAGATTTATTTTTGAAGATGATAGCACTTAAGTTCGTCAAATCATCAGCGTCTTCCTTATCCCATTTATTTGGGATCGGCGTAATATGTTTTTCTCTTCCATTCATCCCTGTTCGCAGTCATCTCGTTATTTATTTCCTTTCATACCATATCATCATTCACACAGTCCATTCATCTCTTTTTCGGCCTTCCTCTTATAACCATCCACATTCATATGTAACACCTTCCTTAAAATATTATGTTAATTCCTACGCATTATATATCCATACCACGATAGACAATTACTCTTCAACCTCTCTGACACCGGCGTCACTTTCATACTTCCTCTAATGTATTCATTCCTTATCTTATCCATTCTTGTCATACCACACATCCACTTCAACATTCGCATTTCAGTTGCATGCAGTTAATTAATAAATTAAGTTTTAAGATATGTTCAGTTTACCTTGTCAAGTGCTTTTTGTACTTTAGCTTCAGAAGAGATATCAAGTGCACTAGTGGCTTCATCGAGGAGGAGTACGCGAGGATTACGTATTAGAGCTCGAGCTATAGCAACCCGTTGTTTTTGTCCACCTGATAGAGATGCTCCCCTTTCGCCTACAACCGTGTCATATCCCTATAACATACAGGTTTCTAGTATATAAATATTCATTAAATTATTAAATGGTACTAAAGGTTTAAAAGACTGCTAACTTTAAAGCACTAGAATAAAGACTGCTGATACATAGTCTGACTGATACACGTCAGTCAGTTCAGTCGTTAAGCCGTTTGCGTTCCTGTAGGCTGCCTTTAGCGCATTTCTGAAGAATATGGATATCAACCAAAAGCAGTAATAAATATGTCAACAACCTAACTTGGCAAACGACGACGACAATTATTTAGGTTCAACTATTATTTGATCTTTAAATTTAAAAATTAATTATAATGTAAATATCTAGATTAGTAAACCTTAGGCAACTTTATGATAAAGTGATGAGCATTAGCCTGTCTGGCGCAGGATTCAATCTGAGCTTCTGTTGCATCTTCTCTTCCATATCGTATGTTTTCTCGAATTGTCGTATTGAATAGTACAGGCTCTTGGCTCACCAGACCTATTTGTTCACGCAACCAGCGCACAGATAGGTCACGGACATCGTTACCATCTAACGTAACCTGTAATGGAAAACTGACTATTAGACACTGCTTAAAAATATATATAAGTATGTCTACAATACACAAGGTATTTAATACAAAAATGTAATTCGGACATTTTTTTATTTGTATTGTTGGTAAACGATTTGCTTAATATCGTAAATAATGGACATAAGTTATGGTATGACTTATTGTCTCTAGTCCACTAATAGCCTCAGTAAGTATATGGGCCTACTTCAGTAGCTACTACTACTCTAAAAGTAGTTTGCAATAGACGAAAGTAGTCTATTCGCAATTAATATATTTCAAGATAGAAGTGATTTCTTTGAATTGGTCACTTTGTTCATCAGGTGATGGTCAGCCTCTTTGAGAGACACCAGTGATGTTCATATTCTCTTAATCAGATGAGATTTAAAAATATAACTAATAAGAATCTTACTAATATAATAATCGCGAAAGTTTGTGAGTATGGGCGGATGTTTATTACTCTTTCACGCAAAAACTACAGAACTGATTTTGATGAAATTTTATAGTAATATATCTTATACATCAGAATATCAGACTATAAATTTCATGCATGTGAAACCGCGGGCGCAGCTAGTGTAACTATAGATGGTAATAAGTAATAAGCTGATAAGGTAATATTCCAAAAGTACAGTTGTAATTAAATGAACCCATACAAAACAAACATAAAAAAATATTTCGTTTTTATGAAATATATTTTTTTGTGATACTTACGGTTCCTTTCGCAACGTCATAGTATCGCGATATGAGTTGTATGACAGTGGACTTGCCGCATCCAGAGTGTCCAACCAGCGCCGCTGACTGGCCATGATTCACCTTAAGACTTACTCCTTTCAAAACCTGTTTTAAATATTACAGTCATATTTAATAAATGCTTCACACTAGTATTATAATTATAGGTATTATACATACGGATGGATTCTGTCGCTATATTGAAGATTGGTGGCAGCCGACAGCAGTCTCTAGTACACTATTCTCAGCGGTTTATTTTTGGTTTGATATAGGTGTTTCCCTCACCAGAGAGTCGGACAGTTACATTTGTTTATGTAGTGTGGTTTAATCCTGTCTTTAACCCTATGTTTAATAGCAAACTGTTCTTACTTGTTTTAAGATCCTGTATTAAAGTCTAGTATTCGAACCGGTTACTTGTTATGGTTATTTCAATCACCTGGCCTATAAGATTTCTATTTTAGATTTTATGTAGATAACTAATTGACTTTACGAGCATTTATGCCAAGAGTGACGTGGCTTATTGGTTATCTCTCCTAAATTAGACTCCAAAGGAAATTATCATGAATTTGAATTTGGCTCGTTACAAAAAACTTGTTTTATTGTATATTTTTGATGGTTTTCTCTCTGGTGATGGAAACACCGATAACAACACACCGGTAGGTACAACATAGCTATTTACGTTGTATTTCATTTAACTCCCGCGTCGACAAATAATCTTATTAATATTTTGTGAGTGGAATATATTATGGATGGATGTTTGTTACTCTTTCACGCAAAAACTACTGAACGGATTTTGATGAAATTTTACAGTAGCTTATACATCAGAATAACATATTGAAGTAATTCAAATTATTAGTATTAAGTAAGTAAATATCGTTACTTACAGGTACATCTGGTTTCGAAGGATAGTTGAATACAACGTTTTTGAATTCTATATTCCCTTCGGAACTTTTAGGTGTAACACCTACACTTTTCAATGGATTTATAGTAGGTACGTTATCGATTAGATTGAATATTTGTGCACCAGCACCGCTGGCCACCCCAAACACTACAATAAGGGTTTGTAACATTGCAAAATTCTCGGATGCCATCAACACGCCCAAGAAAACCTGCATTAAAGAAAAGAGTTAGATTTAGTTTGAGTAAAATTCAACATTATTTATAAACTAATAAGGTTTGTTAATTACTCACTGAGAGCATAGTTGAGACGTCATATGTTTCGGGATCATTTACGATAAGGACATATCCAAACCAGAAGGCAAGAGCGTATGAACTGAAGATGCAGAGGAACAATAGTCCCATAGTTAGGGCATTGTAGAAACCTAAAATATAAAAATACACCTACAAGGTTTGAACGACAAAAATTTAACAACCAATTAAACAACGCTTCAATTCAATACGACCTAAAAATAGTAGTATCAAGTTATTTTTTCTCACCACGTACAGAAATTCTATAAACTTATAATATGTTTCCGTACAGTGCGAGGCGAGACGCTGCAAAAAATGTACGCTGTAAAAAATACTTATTGTATACTGGAATTTAACAAAAATAACCCTGGACAATTCACACAGAGTCATCTAGTCCCAAACTAAGCAGAGCTTGTGTTATAGGTATTAAACAACTAATACAAATACTTATATGCATATTTGGTATATATTTTTGTAAATACATACATAATATATATAGAAAATACCCAGACCAATAAACAATGTTCATATACAGCATAAGGAACCGAACTTGCAACCATCCAATGAAAGGTGGTCTGCTAAACCGCTAGATCACCGAGGCCGTCAATATAGGTACATATAATAGTTATAAAATATTGGTCCAAACTAATACAATGTATAATATTTATCTATATTGCTTGATATTTTAAACTGTTTTACTGTTTTTTACCCATATACCTATTTTATAAGCATTGCTATTCAATTTAATAAAATACAAACTCAAACTACAGTACTGTTACCTACTACTGACAGGTAGCTATCATTTTACCTTTCTTTATGTTAATTTTTCGTATGACTTTCAGGAGGCTTTGATATCTTTCTATTTCTTTTTCTTGTCCGTTGAATGCATAGACTGTACGGATTGATGATAAAACTTCTTCAGCTACAGCACCAGCTTTACCTGTAGCTTCTGTTTCTTTAACGGATAATTTAGCAGATATCTATAGGAAAAACAGCATAATAAAAAATCAACTGACCATATAAATGACAGAATTTAGAACCTATTCTAGAATAAATACGTTTTATATTTACAATTCCTCGGACAAAATATAAAAGAAATGTGGGAGCCTTGGCATCACTCACGTGTGAGTTTTATATATATATATATATGTATATATCAATATACATAATGGATCTTTCAAATAGTAAAAGAATTAGTAGTTAAATAGTATAAGAAAAATCGGTGTGCGGCACGTGTAGCGATTCCGATCTTTACTGACAGTCAAGTGTATACCTATAATATGAATAATGTCTGTGCTAGTCATTGTTTACATTAATTATTACTACAATCCAATATACGAGTATATATATTTTTTAATTTGCACTAACTAACTTCTGCTGGATTACATAGCGCCAAGAATATAGAAATCGAATCAAGAAGATACCTATACATATATATTACATATTGAATGAATGAATGCTCACCCATCCCGATAGTCCGAGTACAGCGTATTGTATAGGGAAAGATATTAAACACAATAACGCCAGTTTCCAGCCTAAAGCCAGAGCCATTAGAAATGTACTGACTGAGCCTGTCAAATAATAAACACATGTCGCTACTTTTTCACCAATCCCATCTTCAACTTTCATAGCATCGCTGAAATTAAAGAAATAATATATGTTATAACGATAATTCCGGATAATTCACGCAGCGCCACAAGTCCCGAGTTAAGCAGAGCTTAAGTACTTACTAAACAACTGATAGAAGTACATTAATATATATCAGGACGAATACAAACAATCGGGCTCATAAAAATAATATAAATAGGTATATATACTTATCAAAGTATCTGTTGTTAGAGTACAGTTTTATAATAGGCAATTTTACAATAGACACTCGTGACGACACTTACTAAATTTCTACTTAAACTATTTTAAGAGGACTAATAAAACTTTATCAATTCGAGATATGAACAATCCTGAGAAAATGTGTTGCTAATCGTTGAAACTCAGTATTAAAATAATTTACGTACTTTACTAATAGTGGTTAATATTGCAAAAGTTAAATGAAGTATGATTATAATCATGAAATAATAAAATATAGATATAAAATTACCTCGTCATCTTTTCCGCGAAGTCACCCATTTGATGGGTATCAAAGTATGCAAAATCTTGATTTAACACTGCTTTAAAATATTCTTGCCGAATACGATAAACCTGAAAATGTTTACAAAGACAATTACCTACATTCTAAATATATTTACCTACGATATTAATTAGATTATATGGTAAGTATACATTATAGTACAGATATTTTCGCATGTAGGTAAGTATAATGTTTACATGTAAATATTTAGTCCTAAATTAGACACTGTAGTGCCTAATTATCTTTTACTAAATTTTGTCTTGCATTCTAGATACAATATACTCTGAAAATAATACGTAGGACTAATGAAATCAGCATTATAGGGATCTATCCAATATCTATAAATACCAGTTCTTATAACATGAACAGAACTTCCATTCATAATTAGTGGCGACTTGCGTTATTTCTCTGAATCGGTAGGTTTATCAATAAAAATGAGTTTCATTTCAAATATTTTTTTTAATAGGTTTAATTTAAATCGATTCATTTACTGACCTGATTGTATGCTGCTACATTCATGAGGACGGTTGCTACATAAGTAAAAAAAACGAAAGTTACAGCAACTAGGGTATTACTTATTGCGTAATAAAATAGTGCTTTATAGAAAGCTTCATCGTTTGGCTTTCCTTCATTTAATGATATCCCATATGAGACCATGTTTTGGGATAAGTATGAGAAAAGTAATACGCATACCGGCGTAGTACAACCGCATATTACTGAGCTTAATAATGCTATTGTTATGAAGATCTTGTCCTTAATACTCGCAAATCGGAACTGTAAAAAAATGCAGAATAAACATGTTTTTTAGTGGCTGATAATGGTTTTGTGCACCCACGTGAGCTAACGGTGAAAGCTGGCTGAGAACCAATGGAAGATAATACTGCTAGCTATTTACTAATATCTTATTAACTATCGCACATTACTATCAAACTTTTATTAGACAGTAAAATTATAGGATACAATTATGTCATAGTCTTCCGGAATGCCAACGCATGACTAGTATTACGGGTGTTACATGATGTTCGTATTCTACTCGTGTATATAGGTGATGGTTACCACTTATCATCAGGAGGGGTCATCAGCTTAGTTATTATTGTACTAAGTCGTATTTGACGACTCTTACCTAAAACAGTAGGTATCATATCATGCCGTACAACTATTGTGGCAGTCTAGGAGGAGTTTGCGGCGAATTCGGTTCTTGTTGATTGGTTTCGTTTAATCACAGATAACATAATATTACATAAAAAAAGTTAACGTTAAATGGAAATCCTTCTATCCAGCTAGTATTAACTATTACTAACTATATGCTTACGGTGTCGCTGTGTTTGTTATAACAATAAATCTTGCTTTAAAACGTGTATACTTTTAGTAAAAAAATAAGGATTCTTTATTTCCTCACGGAATCAGAGAGTAACTCTTTCTGCGTGGGCGAAGGTGTGGTATTCCCTCTAGCTCAGTACAAAAACAACAGTAATTCCAAATTTGTTTATAGCGATGACTCGTTCGTAGTTCTTTCCGCATTTATGTCGAGATTAAGACTAAATTGATAAAAAATACTCACCAATGTAAAAAAAGATATGCTAGGTATGTCGTGCTTCGTATCCTCCTCGACCTCTTCAGATTTACTGCAAGTGTAATTAGATTTGAAGATATAACAAAAACACAGCAAGGTGTGGTTTGTGTATATACTTCGGCTTTTGATTTGTGTATGTAGCTCAAATAGATAAATGTTTATTAAATTAATATTTACTATTAGTAGACCGTTAATGTAGAGTCTAATTATTAATAAATATTAGACTACAGATTATTTTTTTAGCATCAAAGTTGATATTTAATAACTAACTTGAGCTTTAATTTTATGTGTGGTATGTATATGCTTGAATAAGAACATTTTCCTTATATTGAATTTTACTTGGATTACAAATGTTTAGAATTAATTTTAGATTTGCCTATAATATTTTGCGTTCTTTGTGCAAGCTGTGTTGCTTGTATGTATATCTAATATGTATGATGTTCAGGGATCATGCTTATTTATGGATAGGTATATACCTACAGAAATAAATTGCAAAAACATACATATTCAGCCCTTCGAGCTTCATTTATTTTGGCATTAACTATCACATTGTATTTGTAAACTAATTTAAAATAAAAGATGCATTTGTTCACAAATATATTTATTATATAACAAGTATCTATAGCCTACCTTAATATGTATAGCTTATATTGATTCTTGGTAGGTAAGCAACATTTTAGTCTGCAGTTTTATTATATAATAAGATCTAAAGAATAATTACATTGTTATATGTATAAAAACAATTTATTTCCGCCTTTAGTACGTAATCCTAATCATATGATCACACGTGAGATTACAGAGTGTAAATTGACTTCTGGGTTCCGTAGTAATTGTAATGCTAATTACTTATATAATTTACACACACACAATATAATATTTTAAACTGAATTCAGATTATATTAATTTATAATTAATTGAGATTATTGATATGATGACAACATTAAGTACTAGTACGGCACTTTGTACAAGGCAATCTAATTGGCCCTCCGACGGGAAGACTCCGTTGAAATCTACCTACAAATTTCGATTATTCCCGTTCCCAACCAATCTCTGTGGCACTGCATTGTGGAGGTCCTTGCAATGTAAAAGCCACTTTCAATATATTATAATAAATATAATTATTTCCAATGAATAAATTATTAAAAAGTACGTTCCATTTTCTTTATTTGTATCAATCATCAAATAATGGGTTTATTTTATTTTTTAATTAATTAATAACATGACAATAAGGCAAACTTTATACTTACTATATCTGTAAATGATTTGTGGTTTTGTAATCACAGATGAGGATTGAATGTAACAAATATTTCAAGAGATTATACCATTGTGTACCTGGGTGACATGGTGTACATATTTATTTATTAAAAAATTAAGTACGTTCTTTAGCACCCATGTTCCACTTATAGTTTGGAACTACTTATCATAACGTAAAAAAATAAGTAACAATAGAGTTCTTATTATATTCGGCTAAGAAATTCTATTTTAGTAAAAAGACACTAGTTTATATCTTTAGTTAGTCGGTATGGTATGATACCATACCGACAAACTATGTCATGTCATTAGGCGATGGTAACATAAAAAAATAGTCAAAATATTTTGTATTTTCGACCATACTTAGTTACAAGTATGACAAATTTAATTTGGGTATATTGTTATTAAGTACTAGTACTATAATCATAATACTATATTTAATAATCATAATAACTTACATCAACTTATGGCATTTATGAAGACTACGTTATTAATGTAGACTACAAGAATAACAAATTTGATCGTAAATACGATCAAGCAACGGAAGAATGTTCTTAGAATACTACTTATATATTCTTTACTAGTTTAATTTAAATTTAAAGAAGCAGAAGTAAAATGGAGATATATCTATATTCACTTTGTTCAGAATATAGTACACTATATACTCATAACCTACTATGTAAAAGAGAATAATATAATAATCCTTCGAATTCTACTTGAGACGTTAGAAAATTAGAAATTCACACATTTTTATTTACCGTAGAAATCGTAAGAGCACCTAGGTGAGATGGGCCATAATTTTACAACTTTTTTGCTTACTTTAGCTCTAACAAAATTGCTACACTTTTTACTAGCCAGAAATAGACTGTGTTTTTAATTTTTGTCTATACCTATGATTTTTTCTGTAAACATTTCGTATATTCTTTTCATAAAAGCATCTTACGATAGGTGCTTTATTTTAAGAGTAGCATATTTTAAATAGCTTTTGATTATTAAGGCTAATACTTTACTAGGTATATGTGTCATACACATAGTTTTAATATACATATATTTGAGGTAGTTTTATCTATCCTATCTGAACTTTGTATATTTTATATACATATATTAACGTGGTGAATATCGAAGTATATTTTTATGCACCAATATTTTAAGATCTGGATAATTTGCATTGATTATTAAAATATGTTAAATTATGTGGCGGTAGTGACCAGACGTTAGAAATAGCTTATATTGTCTACATACCTACACATACAAATCTGTTGACATACATGTTTTTAATATATTAAAGATTATGAATGAACGGCGAGAATTCTATTGTTATTACTTATCAGTATGGCATATATAGCCTATTTTATTAAGTACTAGCTATGCTCGTTATTTCAGTCGTGTATACTTGTAAAAATTGTGCATTAATGTATAAATAAATTATAGGTTTGAAAGAAAAAGAAATTTCTTATTCCTCTTCGTATTAAGCATCCATACTAATATTATAAACGCCAAAGTGTTAGCAGAAAAAACAGTTGCGGGTAAAAAGTATTAAATAGTTTTAGTTAGTTTGTTCCTACCTTGTAGGTGTTATTTTTATATTATCACTTTTATCCACGAGTAACGATTCCATTTCATGTTTGTTTGTTCCATCATTAGATGTATATTTCTCTTTCGTTTTATTTAATTTAGTCCCACACGAGTCATCCGCGTCGTCCATGTTTTTATAAACAACTTCGCCTCCGGACACTACGAAACAACTTTTCTAACTGGAGATGTTTCAATAAAATAATAAGATCCATACCAGAACCGGTAAATATGCTACAGACCATGTTCGACCGCAGATACTGCATTGAAAGAAAAAAAAACTCTAAAAAAAAACCTGTTTCGTACTTGATAGATATGGGTAGAACTTGAATCCACTTAAATTCTCAATTAAGAAGGAAACAAATAAAGAAATATGGTGGCTTCGTAGTCTCGATGACCTTAAGTCCGGTGATCGCGGGTTCGATTCTCGCTTGACATTTGTTTTTATAATATAATTATTTTTATTGATCCAGTTATTTTCTGCGTTCGTCTTGTAAGCATTTACAAAAGAAAAATAACAATTCCTATCTTCTGTTTTGTAGCCAGTTCTGTTCTGCTAAGTTTGGCACTTGATGGCGCTAGGTGAAATATCCTGAGCATTTCTTTTAAATTACTTCCCGCGATCTCTTTACTAGTTAAGCTTATTGCCATGAAAACAGACAGACAGATACTTGCGCATTTGTAATATTAATATGGATTTTATATCTACAAAAGCCTCAACACCAATCGCATGAATCCATTTACATATTGATCAGGAACTGACATTTTTTAAGTAGATTCAATACGATAGAGCTAAAAACATCGTGAAATAAATAGAAATATTATAATAAACTAAATATAATGATTCTGATATTTTTAAAACAGGTTTATTAAGATATTAGATGGCCCAGCGGACGTACTGTCAAGGTGTTTAGTAAAATGTAGAGACCTTCACATAGTCGAAATCATAGAGTCAAGGCCTTTGAACACTTGGACTTGGTAATGACAGCATTAATTGACGTAGACATTATAGCTACAAAGTTTAATAATACCACAGATAACATAATATAATACTTTTTTATACCACAATGGTAGCAGACTTGTACATTTGAATAAATGGCTCAAGTTAAAAACGTTGTCTACTTCACAAGTTGCATACTAAATACGCGAATTGATCTATTTTTTTACATTTAAGATATACTAAGCCCGTCCTCGTGATATAATCTATGTTCATATAAAATTTCATTAATTTCCGTTGATCCGTTTAAAAGCTGATTAAAAGCTGATAGACAAATTACATGGAGTACTAATATTACGTATATAAATGTAAAAGTTTATAAGTATGCATTGATGTTTGTTACTTTTACGCAAAAACTACGGAACGGAATTTGATGAAACTTTATAGTATATAGCTTATTTATACATCAGAATAACACATAGGCTATAATTTGAAGACATTACGTAAATTGGAAAAGTGTGTCGGTCACTTTGGCAATTATAATAATATATAATAATAATAATATTTATTTTAAACCTTCATCATTAGAGTTTGATGCATAATAATAATAATATTAGTGAGGATTTTATTTTTATTATTGAACGGGTGTGTATAATACTATACAGTAAAAAAATATTTAAGTTTGTTTACATCCGTGCATTAGGTTTATCTACATAAAACGGAAATATATAGGACAGATAAGAGAATATTACATACATAATTAATAGACAGGTAGATACCAGTTTTCCCCGATACTTTGTCGGTGTGATCGGGAGAAATTGATTGCGTATTGATGGTGATTATTGGTATAAATAACTCCGACTACTATGAGTAGGTTTTATGTAGATACATATAGAGATCTATATGACTATGATTTGTTAAATCGTACTTGCAGGCATTATTCGATACTTAATTGTACAAACAGTCAGACAGACATACTTTTGTATTTAAGACATTTAAGTTGTAATTTTGGATGGGCCTAAGTTATAGAAAATATAATGCTAAAAAGTATACGTCTATTTATATTGCACAAGTGCCAACGATTGTCTGTCTGTGAAAAAATATAAAACGTATAAGTAGGTACATGTACACCTAACAATCTGTACTTGTAAGTTGTATTTATATTACCTAGTACACTAACAATTTTTTAAGACATAGTTGTATCAAACCACAATTAATTTAAATGGGACTGGCATTATCATATTATGATAAAAGTCCCTAAATAAATGTAAGAATAAAAAAAAAATTAATATCATACAAATATTTCTGAGGTTTTCTGAAAGAATGTGGTACTGTATACATGATTATGTGGTAATGAAAACGCTCTAGTTTACAACAAATAAAGACAATTTGTCTTCAGGTAACAGTTAACAGTTAACAGGTAAAAAAAATACTTAAAATCAAGAAACTTACCTACATTTATTATTATCGCTAATAAGTCATGTTTTACATTATTACAAACTCCGTTTTTTTTTAAATCTAAAAGTTGTAATATTATACCATTAATAAATATAATACAATTTTGGTAGGATAATTAGTGGAACTAGAGAATTTGATTCTCGAAATTATAAAAATATTTTTTTTATGAAGTAATAAGATCGAGTTAAACGTTTGTCTAAGAGATTTTTTTATCATGTTAACTATTTCCAGTCCTGTAAAGATTGTAGTAGAGCCCCTTGAGTTGCATAAGTTCTGAGTGCATGCCAGCCTCGTGCAGTCGCCCGTCGCTGAGCACGCAGATGCGGTCTGCGTCCCGCACCGTGCTCAGGCGGTGTGCGATCGTCACGCACGTGCGACCCGCGCTTGCAGCCGACAACGCCTCCTGCACCACCTGAACACAAGGAAGTTCAAAGATTGTAATTCAGCCATCCAATAAATCTCTACTTAGTATAATTTAACTTTAATTTACTAATTAAAGATTTGCAAAATTTTACATTACACACATGTTTTAACTACTAAAACGGCTAAGTGCAAGTCGTTTTAGTAACTAAAAACATGCATATTTTTTTTACTTATCGCAACATTGTTAATTTTGTTTTTTACTATAATAATAACGACTTAGTAAACTAGGTACTGTAAATGACTATTAAGTGTGTTGTGTTACTATATATATTATTTTATTTAGAATGGAATTGAATTAGAAATTTATATTACCTTTTCACTCTCTGTGTCCAGAGCACTGGTAGCTTCGTCAAGTAGCAGTATCTGAGGATTTCTCAACAAAGCCCTTGCTATAGCCACCCGCTGCTTTTGTCCTCCAGATAATTGAGCCCCTTTCGAACCAATGCTTGAGTCGTAACCCTAAAATACATAGCCAAGAATATTCTTACACCAATAGAATATCTTCCGCCTTAATACGTTGTTTTGAATTATTAAAGATTGTTTTGTCAGTATTATTTTATTTGGTTTTTTTTTGGTACACTAACGGTATATTTGTGGACTTTAAGTCCTTTAGAGTACGTTTCTTTTATATTATGAACTGAAACTAGATTCTCTCTTCTAGTAAGGCTAACTAGTGTTTTTAACTGTATAATATAACTGTAATATAGTTACTTACTAAAGGTAATGACTTAATGAAGTTGTGAATGTTTGCTTGTTTCGCAGCTTCAATGATTTCATCCATACTCGGTTGACGCGAGTTGTCTCCATAAGCAATGTTTTCACCAATAGTCCGGTCGAACAGTATAGGCTCTTGTTGTACGAAGCCTATTGATCGTCTAGCATCCGCTAGGCTTAATTTCGGTAAGGGTATACCACTTTGTGTCTAAAAAATGTGTTTTGTAATTTATTAACGTTTTCTATATGTATACTAAGGTTCCCAAAGTTCAATTTAATTCTGATTCTTTTTAGATTTCTTACATCATTAGAAATTGAAGAAAAATATCCACTGAAAAGAATTATTTGTCTATTACTTACCACAATTCCTACATCTGGATCGTAGTATCTCTGGAGGAGCTGTATAACAGTGCTTTTCCCACAGCCGCTCGCTCCGACCAGCGCTAGTGTTTGACCCTGATCTATTGTAAGGTTCATATCTTTAAGAACTTGTATATTGGGCCTAGTTGGATATTTGAAATATACACCTTGTAAAGTAGCGGATCCGGTAGAATTCTGTAAGATATTGTCTATTACTAAACCTGTCAATCTAAAGGTAATGATACTGAAATAATTTACTTACAAATCCTTGTTCAGGTATCGGTGGGTCTGTGATTTTAGACTGTAGTTTCAGTAATGTTATTACACGTCCCGCTGCCTTTATTCCTTTATGAAAGTTGGGAGCAAAGGCAAAAGCTTGTGCTGCCGATGCAACGCCGAGTATAAGTGAGTCCACTGATCTATAATAAAATATAGTTTTTCATCTCTAAGTACAGAAGGCGACAAACTTAACTTAAACTAGTGTTAGGTAGACTTACTTGATAATAATGGAATAATTAATATGTTCGTTTACAATAAGTATTCCTCCATAATACATGGCTGCTGCGTAAATGAAATTAAAGAGACCTCTTGATAGACCGAATACAATCCCGCGCCAGTGGGCGGAACGTTTAGCAATTATAAGAGCCGGCAAGAGTTCTACAGCGTATTTATTTAGAAACATTTTTTCTTTGCCAAGTGATGCTACTGTGCGCATATTTGCAACTGCCTCAACAGCTAACTAAAATAAAAAAAAAACTCTTGTCAGAATAGGTGAAGTTTTGTAACACTAAGTTTCTAAGTCTTAGACTTTAAAGTATTTTATTTCTGTATGAAACTATATTTATTAAGTATAGTTTCGTATTTCGTATGAAGATTTCAATTGCAGTTTCTATTAGTATGTCCTTTTCTGTAAACATTTTATTTATTTACTTATTCATTTCAATGTTATTATACAACACCATTACAGTATATCCAAATCGGTGTTGCAACTTAGTACAGTATACATATATATATAAATATATAGGTATATTACTTTACATAACATATTTTATTACACAATATAAACATTATAATATTTCTAGATACTTAACATATATATGTATATAAGATATAGACAACTGACTTTAATTTTTGTATAGTTCATATAAAGTATCATTATCGCCCTTAATATGTATAATAGAAAAGTGGCTTTTGTAACAAACCTTTGAACTGGCTTCCATAGTCTTTGCAGTTCCAAAGGAATCAGCGCTCACCATTCTGCCTTCTTTATAAACGATAGCAGCCATCAAAGGAACGGAAGTGAATGCAACTAATCCTACACGCCATTCAAAATAAAGTGAAAGGACTAGAGCAAAAATGAATGTTCCTGCTGCCTGTAAAACGGTGCCAATTCTTTGCCCTGTTGCCTAAAATTTGTAAGACAATTAGTATTTCAATACATCTACAACTGATTACACTCATTTAATGATAATATCTTACAGCCTGAACTTGTGCAGCTTCTCCAGCTAATTTTGCGCAAAGTGCACCTGTGGAATTATTTTTGTCGTCATAGTATGCTACTTCTTGTTGCAAAAGTTTTCCAAACAAAAGTTTGCGCAATCTCTCCGTCAAGTACTCTCCAGCTACACCGTAAAAGTAAACCTGGAAACAAATTATGGCGTTCATAAATGTTTATTGTTATTATTCATAAATGTACATTTTAAATAGTTACATGAAAGCATAGTAAAACAATAATTTGAAACAATCAATATAATATTAAAATTAATATTTACCGTACAGAAATTACCAATCCCTGAAAATATTCCAGCAATAACAAATATAATTACGAATCTTTGTACTTCAGATAATACTTCATCGCTGTTTGGATTGGAAAATACCTGAAAAATTAATTCATTTATCATTGAAAATCTATTTGAGTCGTTAGGTAATCATTAAATAAAGAGATTTCGTATATAGGCTTGCGTTAACGTAAAGTCTAAGCTCTAATTGCTACCGTGTTGTCTATTGTAAAGCTGTATTATTAGATTATTCTCATATGTGTAGAAAACACTGTAGGAATGTAACCAACAAAATAACAGAGCGGAAGTCATAAGGATGGACTTTTTCACAATTAAAATACTCACTCTCTATTGGTGTTTCAGATTAGATGCTACGGAAATTAAATTAAAGTGACTAGTTACATAAAATCTTTATGTCATAAGAAGATGTGGACTTGCTTCTAGTCTCATGACTTATAAACCATTGAACGTAAAATCGAAATCGGGTATTCTCCATTAAATATTATCTTACCCCCACAAAATCACCAAAAACAACTGCTAACACTGGCATTGCGAAGCCGCTAATGACTGAACAGGCGCTGGCAACGGTAATAGATCTCCATTCCGGAGAATTAAGTCTTACTACTTCCCAGAAGGATATATCTCTTTCTGTTTCTTCAACCTCGTTGTTTACCTGTAATAAATTTAAATACTGTACTCTTCCTTACTATAACTCCATCTACTTCTCATGCGGAGAAAAAAATAATAGCAATAGTAAGATCGTTAGAATTAATCTTTATACTTCCGTTTCAAAAACTTACAATAGTTTTGGGTACTACAATTTCATCTTCGTCTTTCTCACTTGTTTCCATTGAATGACTGTATTGTGGTTTATCTATAGAAAATAAATTAATTGTATTAATAACATACAATAAGAGTATGCATATTAAGATTTCAACAATCGAATTCTTACCTTTATATTCATCTGTTGTAGGTGGCGCTTGTATCATTACCATATCATAATAATGTCCTTTCTTTTTCATCAATTCATCATGATTACCATATTCTAGAATTTCTCCACTTTTAAATACGTATATCACATCTACATTCCTTATAGTCGATAGTCTATGTGCAACTATAATTGTAGTACGCCCTTCTTGTGCCTGTTGATAAAAATCAAGTAATTACTATTAATTTTTATACGGGTCGCTATGGTACATTATTTATTTCTAGAACAAACATGTGTCTACGTTATACTACCATTAGATAGATACGTCATAGTATAACGTAGATATATATGGAAGGATATTTTAACATGTATGAACTTGATTAATTGTTTATCTTACCTTGTCAAGAGCTTTTTGCACCTTAGCTTCAGATGATGTGTCAAGTGCACTAGTAGCTTCATCGAGAAGAAGAATATGTGGATTACGTATGAGTGCTCGCGCTATTGCGATTCGTTGCTTTTGTCCTCCTGATAAGGATGCTCCACGCTCGCCTACCAGTGTATCGTATCCCTGTAACATCATATAATAATAATATCATAGGACCACTTACAGAGCGCCATCTAGTCCAAAGCAGAGCTTGCGTTATGGGTATTAGACAACTGATATAAATACATAGATTTTTTTTTATAATACATACATAATATACATGAAAACACCCAGATCGATACAAATAAGCATACTTATGTTTGTTTGTATCATGCGGGGAGTCGAACCCGCGCCCATCGGAAGTAATAACATAATAACAACATTAAAAAAACTGTACCAATTGAGTTACTTGCCAATTCTTATCAACTGAAGTTACTAGCCGAAGTAGAGGGCAGAGATATTCATAAGTGGTCAAAAGGTCGTATTTGAATCAATAATTTTGAGTTTGATGACAAGTTTTGATTATTTGTCATACCTTACCGCAGGTAATTTTATGATGAATTCATGCGCATTGGCTTGTTTGGCGCAGGCTTCGATCTCAGAATCCTTAGCGTTTTCGCGACCATAGCGGATGTTCTCTCTGATGGTAGTGTTGAAAAGCACAGGCTCTTGTCCCACGAGACCGATCTGATCACGCAACCACCGCACTGATAACTCGCGGACATCATTATCGTCTACGCAAACCTGTTGATTTATATAGTTTAAATATTTATTCTAGCAATTTTATTCATAACTAGGAATATTATAATATTAAGAAAAAGTATAGGTAAGCTATTTAAAACTGTTTTTATTCAAATTTATCTTAAACTGGGTTAAGCAACATTGTATTATATTGTCTACCTTATTTATATTTTTATTATATAAATACTAACTTTTTTCCATAACTTGGTCTTATACCTACTACTTATACATATTTTTTAGTTAAATGATAGCCTATATCTGTTCACGTGGTACACTATATCTTCAAACATTAAGATCTATTCAGCAGTTACGCGTGAAACAAATAGAGAGACAGTCAGACAGACACATTTTCGAATATGTAATACTAAGTATGAATAGTTATGTATTGTAATTTATATGGCATCATCCATTGACGATGCCGAACAACAGGTACTTACACTTCCATCTATGACATCGTAATACCGCGATATCAGCTGTATGATGGTTGACTTGCCACACCCAGAATGTCCAACCAGAGCCACCGATTGTCCGCGTTTTACACTCAGACTTATGCCTTTCAGAACCTGGTTAAATATAATTAATACAAACTATATGACGGATTTCCCGATTAATATATGAAGATTATGGAGGTAAATGGATTAGTTCCTTTAATCTTTAAATTTCGGTTAGAGGAAATATACACGTAAAAGTTTCGTTTTCAATATTTATTTTACAGTTAGTTTAAAAAAACTCTCGAGTGTTTACTTATGAGCAAACATTATTCGGATACGAAAACAATATCTAAAATATTTTTATATTTTTTTGTAACAGGACTTGTAAACACACTAATGGCCAATATGATAGTAAGTGGTAACGGTCGCCTATACACGGTTAGTCGGAAAAGGTATACTAAGCTGCTAGCACTGTAATATATAATTATACTGTACTTAGCACTGTAATACTAATAACTAATTGACCCTGTGTGATATTATTTGTATTATAAAACATTTATTACAAAGAATCGACAACGTTCTTTGGTATTCAAACCGTGGTATTCTGGAAAACTATGTAAATGTTGGATATTTTATTAGGTAGATACTTACGGGCACGTCCGGTTTTGAAGGATAATGAAAAACTACATTTTTCAATTCAATACTCCCATCAACATGATCAGGGACCACACCCTGGTTTAATAACGGGTTGATGGTTGGTACATTGTCGATCAAATTGAAAATCTGTGCTCCAGCGCCGCAGGCAACCCCGAACACCTCCACTAGTGATGATAATATGCTAAAGTTCTCGGAGGCCATAATGATGTTCATGAATACCTGGAAATATGACAAAAAATTAAATATTTAATAAAATTTTGAATAAATTCATATTTATACAGATTGAAAATCTAACATAACTATCAAATGTTAGTTCATATTTTTTTTTTTATAGGAGTTATAATTTATAGGAGTTACTTATTTTTGTATTCTTCCATATATTTAGGCTATCTGAATTCAATTGTTTTGTGTTCTAATTAATACAGTACTACCTTTGTTTTTCCCGCTTGCTCTCTCTCTTTCTTTTGTACACATCTCTCTTTTCATTTCCTTTCACACACCGTTCCACATCACGCATTAACCTATCCAATCGCACAATGAACGTGTTGGCTATATCAAGTCGAATAAAGGATGACAAAGTTCAAGGTAAACTTAATTATGTAACGGTATTTGAAAGCAATGCCGATTTGAAATGTAAACCCTGTACGAAAAGTTCGCAACAGAACATTTTACTGTGACCCAATTTCTAATACCGAGTTTCAAGGTCTTCTGGCATATTTTTGACATGTGTATAAATAAATAACTATAATTTGGCTATCAAAGTTGTGTACTTTTTTAATTATCATATTATTTATAATGTACTTTGCTTTCATTTTTTATATACATGTGTCTATGACAATGTATTTAGATAGATGCGACGTTAGAAATGTCATATACATACAATTAGTACATTATATGATTAAAAATAATACAGCATACTTTTTACAATGTTAAAAATTTTAAATTATTACCCTTGAAAAATTATTTTTCAATTTTTTTTATTTATTCACATTAGAATGCACCGATTTGTTCGCTGATATTTAGATATCATGGTTTTAGTCATTTAAAAATGTCTAGGTATCTCAGTTTTTTTTTTAAATTTTATATTATAGTGGTGTTAAACATGTGGTATTTTCAAGTCAAGTTGAATAAAGGTTATTTGAATCCTAGTAGGTGTCTACATAGCGCTGTTACGTGATCTAGTTTTTTTGATCTTGAGTCCTCACTTATTTACTTATATATATTTGTTATTTGTGCTGTGTATTAGGCTAAATTGTAAATTGTAACAGCATTAAACTTTGAATATATTTAATTATTCAGTATGTGACGTATGGGTTTATCATAAGGGGACAACCAATGAGTACATAAAAGCCTTGCTTTTTTGTACTCATGAAAATTAATTTCACCGAGCACAAAGATGAAATTTGTTCATTTTAACTATATAAAGATGTATCAAGTTCACTTACGGCAATCATGGTAGCCACGTTGTATATATCCGGCTCATCCACAGTTAACTTGTATCCAAACCAGAAAGAGAGAGCATATGAGCCGAATATACAGAAGAATAGTATTCCCATCGACAGGCCATTGTAAAAACCTGAAATGTAACGTTGCTTTTAATTATTACGAGTAATCGAACTCGCGATCATTGGAAGTAAGGCTTGCTTTGTATAATATAAGCTATCTTTCGATTGTAAACAGAGATATGGAAATGAAACGACATGGCGAGATATCTTACTATGAATTGTAAGCATGATGGGTACGGTGGTTGTCGCCTGATTAAGCCTAATTTTTTACCTTCGATATTATTATTTTTTAAATGGTCTGCCCACATTAATCTATGTTTGCCTTATGGTTGACTGGGAGATAAATGCCTTAAGGTGTTAAGTGTGTTCTGATTGAAGACACATATGAAGAAAACAGGCATATGTACTTAATATTAATTTGATAGAAATAACTTTACTATTTTTGATTTAAACCTACCTCATAACCAAGTAGTTTTATAAATAGATATTAATTTACCTTTCTTAATGTTAATTTTTCTAACATTATTTAGATGAATTTCGTATCTTTCCATTTCTTTCTGTTGCCCGCTGAATGCGTACACTGTACGGATTGAAGATAAAACTTCTTCGGCTACAGCACCAGCTTTACCCGATGCCAAAGCTTCGTCTTTGGATAATCTGGATGATAACTGTAAATAGTAAGGAACTGTAAATAAATGTATGCTTATCTATACATTAAATAAATATAGTGTCATGACTGTTACCAGATGGGGCCAGGTGTGATATATAGAGGCATTATCTACTGTCAATGTGGTGAACAGAACGTTTGATATGATCATTTTCCTGGGTATATTCGAATCCAACGTAGCAGAGGTTTCATATCAGTGTTTATTTCAGTGGAGGTATTCAGAATTATAAATTGGTACACGAAGTTTTTGGTGTCGGCCAGATTCATACTTGCAACTTTACTGCGTCAGTCAGAGAGTAGTAATGACTTATGTGCGACGCTTTTCTTTACACAAAACAAACAGGCCATCAATGTCTAAGCGTAGATCGTTTATATTATGCAACTGATTATTATGCAGTTTTCACTAATAGATAAAGTGATTGATGAGGAAGGTTTATATGTATGATACATATAAAAAATATAGAAAACCCTTGAAAATCAAATATTTGTTATGCACCTGTACGAAACCAGAGCGGTTTGCTAGTAAATACCAAGGATACTACTTAAAATGAATAAATAAGTAAATAATAAAATAACTACCCATCCCGAAATTCCAAGTAGACCAAATGTGACAGGAAATGATATCAAACATAACAATGCCAGCTTCCAACCCAATATTAGAGCTGTGATTATGGAACTAAGAGAGCACGATAGATAGAAAACACTAGTTGCCACTTTTTCGCCGATACCGTCTTCTAATTTTATGACATCACTGTGAAATAATAAAAACAAATAAAACACTAGAACACTTCATAAAGTAGGTTTCTGATATAACACATCATCTACAGTTATATCATAATTAACTATATGTATATATATACAATGATTAAACATTTTTATGTTCAGGCATCTCAATATTGAACTCAAAGTCTGAAAGTTCCTTTAAATGAGAATGTGCGTTAGCTTGCTCAAGCGTCGAATCAAACATCATTTAGTACAGCGAATCTAAGACGAATTATAGCTACATTTTTACTATACCATAAACTATTTATAACTAAGACCCCGCTTATTAGTAATAATCTGTGGTTCATTAAAACCAATATAAAAACGAGATTTAGACATGAAGAATTATTATAACATATAATGCATATAGTTATCGGCGTTTGTAGGGTTCAGGAATCTGGAGCTAAAAATTATTTTTGTATGATTGTTTAGTATTATTAATATTGAGAGTTATTTTTATTCACTATTATGATCTAATTGTAATGTAATTACTACCTGCTCATTTTTGCAGCGAAATCTCCCATTTGATGCATATCGACATATCCAAAGTCTTGATTTAACGCTGCTTTCAAATATTCTTGTCTTATTTTGTATATCTGTCAGATAAAATATATATTATATTTATTTTTGGAATAGAAACATGTGTACAATATTACTGAAAGAGATTACTAAAAAATAAATAATATAGAAATAGGTATAATGACCTTGAATAGGTAAGGTTTAGGTTAATTGGGTATAATTAATTGACCTAGATAGGAATTTAGCGAAAGCAGTTCCTATATGTACTTATTTTCTGTATAGGTGAATCGATCGTTTACCACCTGTTAAAGTTCCATACAAATATTTGATGATATAATGTGATAATTGCAATGATATAAAAGCAATATAATTATTTCCCTGTAATAAATAGTGAAGAGTGACGGAATAAGAACACAATTTGTCACCACTAAAGAGAAACACAAACACAGCAGTAAATTTAATAATTTTTAATGACGATGATGATGAAGGCTCTATAAAAAGGGTGATGATCTGATGATGACAACCTCAAAATATTATGATTAATGTTGTTTTTTCAAGAGGTCTAAGATGTTATACCTCTATTTTGTACGTATTTATTTATTATATTTTGTACATATTTACAAAAAACAGATTCACTTTTAAGTTCAAAATTAGGCAGAATAGAGACATTCAGCTATATGTAGGTATTTATAAACACAGGAGAAGATATAAATTCATGTCTCGTTTTACACTAACCATTGTTATAACAGTTTATACCCATACAAGAGTATGTGTATATACATCAATATAATGTTGTTTCAATTCGAAGTATTCATTAATCCTATACAATTGTTTCCTAATGATGAATTTTAATGGGAGACACGTGTATGTTTTCTAAGAATTGTGAAACAGAGATAAGGACGGCATATATATTAATGTGCCCTTGAAAAACATTTCATTCCACGGATTTTTACCAACTTAGAAACTATAGAGGTTAAATTCTACAAACTATCAATTCTAGTGAAGGAATTTTTAAAATTGTTTCTACCTAATACTTTTATGTAGACATACCATTGGATAAGAATAACTAAATTTTATTTATGTGTTGGTATCCTTATTAAATACTATACAAATTTATAATTAGTATAAATTTGTTTTGTTTGTTTGAAAATTTTCTAGGCTAATTAAAGATATAGTTTCGACTATGTTGACTCGTGTTTACGACGAGTACAACCTAGTCTAAATGTCAAGAGGTAAATACCGTATATACTATAAAATTATACGCGTTAAGACTCGTTTAACAATATTAATAATGTAATTAAAGCAATAGTTTACAAATAAGTATTTTCTGAAAAAAAAATCTCATAAAGAGTTACTGGCGGTCTGAAGGAAAAGAGAGAATATAGATACACCAACACATACACAATTTAGTTTAATTACAATTTAATTTATAAGTTCTCACTAAAAATCAATGACTCACTTGGTTAAATGCTGCAATGTTCATTAATACTGTGGCGATATATGATAAAACCATGAATACCAAGCCGGCCACAGAATTCCATAATGCAAAGAATCGCAGTGATTTCAGAAACACGTCGTCCTCTGGCGTTCCCTTTTTAAATGAGATATCATAGTCTACCATACTTTGAGAGATATTTGAAAATAAGATCACAGTAACCGGCATCATACATCCGCTTACAATGGAACACAGCAGTGCTGTAATTATGTAGAATATATCTTTACAGCTGGCAAATCTGTACTGTAAGTAAAAAAATCATACATATAATAGTAATAACAACAATTCACAAAGCACAATCACGCTAAGCAGAGCTCATGTTATGGGTTTAGACAATTGATAGAAATATATAAATACATGTTTTTGTATATATATATATAATATACACAAGGAACACCCTGACTAATACAAATAATAATATATACTTATGGAATCAAATATTTGCATCGTGCGAGGAATCGAACCCGCGAGCAACGGAAATAAGGCGGTATGCTAAACCATTAGACAACCACTGAGGCCGTCAAATTGAGAGATTAAAAATAATTTCATAGTTTAAAACTGGTATATTTCATTACTTATTCCTAGATAGAACTTGCCTAACGCTCTATATTACGTAAGGAAGTTTAAAGAGACAAACATGAAAAAGAATTTAGACTTATTTACTTATTTTAACTCATGTTAAGATTCTTAGAAGGTTTTATTAAAGTTCTGGCTAGCTATGGGATTGCTATTCCTTTTTTCTATTGTCACGCCGAGGTCAGAATAGAAATAAAATTTAATAACCAAAAAAAAAATCAATGCTCGCGTACCAGTTAACCGCCTTCCCACGTTCCTAAAAAACGTAATCGTTTTGTGACAGAATTAGAATGAGATTAACGCGTAGTTTTGTGCGTAGTTATTCCGGATTACTAAAATGGAATGATTGTGTACCCTGCAGTTTTACTACCATCTCTCACTCTTCAACTGAAACATGAACAGCAGTAGCTTGCACTGCTGTTCATGTTTCAGTTGAAGAGTGCTTGGCAGCTGAAATAGTAAAGACAGAGCCAGACTAGTTTGTACACAAGTAGTATCCGAAATGGTAACGTGTATGAATGGTAGAGGGGCGTCACTTGATAGCGAAATATCCGTGATGCTGTTCAGTCGTGGACAGTCAGCTTGTTTACCATACCTAAACTTTAATTACATTAAAAAAATAATGTGTCAAAATAAACATGTTTCATTGATAACAATCTAGTAATTATTGAAAACAAAAATGTATTTGTTTTGTTTGGTTATATAGGGTTACTATGGATACCTTTGTACTATGGACATGTACTAAACAACTGATGCTCTAAAGTAAACTTCCTGATGGTGTTTGATTTTAATGACACCATTAGTAGAGCCAATTGAGAGAGAGACTAGAACAATAAACTGGCCAATTACTTTCATGTAAAGAAATTTCCGCTAAAGATTGTGTGCCAAATAGTGTGTTAACATTGTAGTTTTTGTTTTTACGGTATCAATCAAAATTTATGGTACAATATGTTTCATATTGTGAACTCGTATTTAACACATTATGTGTTTGTCTTGCTTTATCAAGGACATAGTATCATTCATTTAAAATTGTACAATGGAGTTTATGTGTAACATATGAATGAACGGGATCACAAATTTATATTAAAGCTACCTATGTTCAATATATATGTAGCCTATCTGTAAAATGAGTTACGTAGCCATGACCTTGCCCATCCCATCCCATTATTAGGTTTGTTCTATTCATCCTTGTTAAAGGTCACTTGAGATAATTTAGGTAACCAGTAATACCTAATATTATAGATAGACTATCTAGCTGATTTGCATTTTTGCCCGACGTTTTATTTAAAAAATGGCGACTAACTCCGCCCGTGTTCTAACATTTTTACTTAGTATTCATTGTAATATTTTTCTGTTTATGTACATCATAGCATCACGTTTAGTAGTTAGTTTTAAAAACTAGCTCAAGAATTGGGCTAACAATGCATAATTTTAGAGACTAGTAAGTTCAAACAAACAAACTCAGGCTTTATACATTAGTATAAACTTGCATATCAAAATTTACTTATATACCTACCGTTTAAAAAATATATAAGAATAACAATATATAGGAAAATCCATCCAATAATTCGAATGCACGTGACCCATCACCAAACTTTGTAATGACGACAGAAATGCCTCAATACAAAGTTTATGACTTTATTTGTTTATGAGTTTATTCATGTGCATTCGAATTAATTATTGGATGGATTTTTCTATATATATTGTTATTATTATTTTTTTTTTAAAACGGAATTTGAGTAAGTTTTTAGTTCTACCTTGACCATTTTAAACCAAATATCTATTTATATACTTACTAAGGTGAAAAATGATATACTGGGAACATCTGGTTTTGAGTCTGTCTCTTCCTCTTTTCTGTAACAATTGAAATCAACTATTAGTTAGGTATAATTGTTAGCAATTAATGGATTCCTTGCGCTGAATTTCTTGTGAATCAACTAAACTGGGTTAAGTGATCCAAATTCATGTTTATCCTTTTACTCTGGTTACTGGTACCCCTTCACCATACGTAGCCGGGATCACTATTAAGTCAACAATAAATTGAAGTCAATAATATCCGAGTTATTTATATAAATAACAAAACATGTAGTATATACCCAATATAGTTTATGCGAGCCTGCCAATATATGTCGGGGCTTGTATAGCCAAATAATTCATGGGCCTCTACCTGTTTAAAAAAGTATTGAAGGAGGTCACTGAATGCTATATATTGATAGAATATTTTTAAATAGTCAGGCCTTAAATCAGTGGTTTTTTTTATAAAATATACCTAATATTAAAACAAAAACTGATTAACTATAAATTTTATTGTATGGGAATCGAACCCACGAGTGTCAGAAGCAGATGGTTAGGCAGTCGATTAAACCGCTACATCACCAAGGTCATGGGTTATTAGCATCGCAAATGGAAGCCATGCTTCGATGCTCAGAGCGTTTCCGGGACAAATCAAGATCAAGGTAAGTAATGTTAAAAAGCAAACCGACATGTAGTCTGAGATGAAATAGCTGCACCTTTAAGTTATTTTCAACATTATCTGAGTAAATTTGTAAGATTATAGTTATATTAAAACTACTACACCCCTGTCTCGCCGACAATAAGCAGATTGTTGTGCATAGTTTATAATGAAATTAAAATTCACAAAGAGTATAATGAAATTAAAAAAAGAAACATTTTCTTTAAATTGTGAACTTTACTGTCTTGCTTGCATGCTTCTACGGTTTAGTCTACCGAACCGTAAACCGTAGAAACATCTATTGTTTGGTCTGTTCAGATAACTATATCTGATTTATTTTTGTTACTACCAGAGTAAGTTTAATATATCTATAATATTTAATTTATATATATATATATAGTCTATTTATTATATTTACTTTTGTCTATCCTGCTATTTAGTAGTAAAATTAATTAAAATTGATTTAAAAGAGGAACATGCTCGTTCTTCTTGAGATTAGTCTGCTTTCCGAATGAGCCGTAGAATAAGAAATATTATATGACTATTCAAAGTGCCTATATCAAGTTTATTTCTATTGTATTCTACAATTAGCTTTGTTTATGCTCATAAAAATATATGACAACGTATGAGAAGTACCTACTCCTCATTCGTTGTCATATGTTTTACGAAGGGCGTAAAGTCAGGCCAGGATGTCAGTATATTTACCTTGTACTTATTATTTATTCTTATTATATACCTACCTACACGACGTTCACCACTTTCCATGGGATTGGCTCTGAGCTTGTTGGTCATTCTGTTTACCTACTTAAAAAGTTGTTATACATATTGTTAGGTGTATATACGACCTCCATCAATTACGATTTGATATATAGTTTTAGTGTCAAATACAGATTGACATAGTTGTAAAAAAATATTAAAAAGCAATACAATTCTGCAAACGTACATAAGTATTATTATTAGTTAACATATCATCTCAACACAAAAAGAACCCCACCACAACACATATACAGCTAGTTGTCTAGATATAGGTACTATTCAGGTCATATCACAAACCTTCTGCTATTTCCAAACTAAGCAGATTCATATTATTTACTTATAATTCAGAGTTAATAATGTATCAGTTAATTATTTAAATAAATTCCGATTTTTTTTATGTTACACACTTATTCATGACAAAACCGATTCTCTTCCAAAGGAGTTAGTAATATGGATAATAAATAACTAATAGACATAAGTAAATATTTTGCCAAATATATTTATAGATATACAAAAAAAGTTTAGCCATAGTCATATTCATGAACAAAAAAACATATGTTTGCATTGAGCGGGGATTGAAACTGCGACCGTTGAAAGTTGATGCGTATGTGTCAAACCGCTATATCAACAAGGTCAGCGTCTAAAAAGACTGATAGACAACTTTATGTGATATGATGATATTATTATATGATATGGTAGTCAACTTTAGATAAAAACTAATAGACTGATGGGCTTTTCTGCTATAATTAATTCACAAATTACTTTTATGTATTTACCAAGTAACTACCTAAACATATTTAATATAGTAATTATTATGCAATTAAAACATTATATCCACCACCAATTCTTTATCTATGCCCTAATTAATATATTTTTTTGTATTCTGGATAATTACTCCATATAAGGTACATATTTTAAAATGAAATCTGGTCATGCCTGATAGTTTTCTCATCACCTTGCGGCCGAAGACAGACAGACTGATGTAATATTAATAGACATGTAACTATGTAAATACACCTCTCGTAAGTAGATACCTACATATACGACGGTCAAGGTGATTCTATTTTCGTCTACTTTTTTCATGGTGTAATTCTGATATAGAATAGTTTTAAACGAAGCAAGAGATAACCCGCGACTTCTTTTCATTTTTTTGGAGTTACTAGCGTCTAGCTATGTATATATCCGTCCTCGTGATACAATCTACTTTCACGTCAAATTTCATCAAGATCCATTCAGCCATTTTGTTAAGAAACAGACAGACATTCTTTCTCATTAATAATATTAGTATGGGTAATTTAAGTATATATTATATTCAGAGTTAAAGTGGCTAAGCCTAAATACCCAGTAGTTAATCATATGGCACAATATTATGCAACATCATTCAACGGCCTGTATTTATGAGTATTGTTGTAATTCAGTTAATAAGCTATAAACTTCAGGTATCTATTACGGGAAAATATGTAACGATTTGATATACTTAAAATTACTTTAAAATGAAAAGCAGATTTTAAATTTCCGGAGTTAGTGTGTAATAATTTTGCTGACGAGAAACTCCATCTTATTGAAGAAACATTTAAATTATCAAAGTATTATCAAGGTAAGGTCTTGATTAATCCATTTATAATTTAATATTAAAATAAAATAACTATCTCGTAATAAAATTATAAGTGTACATTTAATTATTACAAGATATGTTGTATGTTCTATTTTCTCAACTTAAGGACACATAATGAATGATACACAAAACAAATCTGTGTTTAATCTATTCTGAAAGCATTAGGTAGATACATTTGAGAATTTCATCCTCTTACCTTTTTTTTGATACTATACTGGGCTTAATTTGTTCTTTAAGTAAAGATTCACTTTCATATTCGCCATTTCCTTCGCAGTAGTCAACTTTTGTTTTATTTAATTTAATGTTACGATTTTCTTCAAATTTCTTATTTACACTTTCACTGGAGTGGCTGTTGTGTTTAAAACTGTTTTCATCTTCGGAAAACACCATTATTATTATTTAATATAAGTTACTTAACACAATGGAAGTTAACAGGAAAATACGAATTATAAATTTGCAATTGCTAAGACGTCGCGAAAAAACCCGTCCCGCACAACATTGCTATCATTACTAACCAAGCTAAGCTATAGTAACTCGAACGAAATGAGAAACGATGCCAATATGAGGGTCAGTGTTGCCAATATTGAGTAAAAGGGATTTACAATTAAATTTTGAAGGTCGAATTGGTAGAATATACCGTAATATAAACTTAAATTTAAATGTTTACCGTAAGACACAGTGTTTTTCATCTGTGATATATGTGTTAATTAAGAAAAATTAAATAATAAAGTATTTACTATACGATTAAAATTCGATCGAATTATCAATGCCACTGACGATGCCACGTGACACATCATTTTAGTTAATAGATATTTAAAAATGCATTTAGGTAGCAAGAGGACAAAGTCGAAATACTATATTGAAAATTAATATTTCTTATTATATATTATCTCTGTGTTATATAAAAACGAATATTAGAATTTATTTCAACTAAATGTAGTAGGTAGGTACCTACAATATTTATTTAGTACTAGCTGTACCAGCGACTTCGTCCGCGTGGAATTTAACTTTATTTTTCTAAAATAAAAGTAGCCTAAGTTATTATTACATCAGCTACCTGCCTAAAAAAGTTCCGTCAATTTCGTTCAGCCATTTCAGAGATTACCCGGAACAAACAGACAGAAAAAAATTGTAAAAAATGTTATTTTGGTGTATGTACCGTATTTATATTTATATGCATGTAGTTATTTCAATATTACAAACAGTTCAATATTAACTCCAATTTCATTTATATATGTATAGATTTACTATTTCATTTACCGACAAAAACAAAATTATCCCCAACATTATTTGGTATGGGTCAGGTAAACATCGTCTAGGACGGTCAGGTTACTTAGCTATTGATGGTACATAGAGCCTGAAATTTATGGATCACTATATCAAATCCTAACTAATATTATGTTATCTGTGCTAATATGTAGGTATCCTGTATATGCCCATAGTATTAATATCCCCACAAAAACATTTTTGGCTAATGTTGAATTATGAGATTAAACATTTAGAAGATAAATATTGCGAAATTTTTAACCGAACTGTATAGGTACCTAGATGTATGTAAGTGTAAGTATACTATATCATGAAGGACGTTACTATAGCAACCAATAGCTAACCTTATAATTAAAGATAAAAATCGAGAAAAGAATTATTAGCACTAATGTAGGTAATGAAGTAATGTAGGTAAAGAAGTGAAATGAAGAAAACCTCAAAAACTATTAAAAATAAAAATACTGTAATAGACGTTACGTTAAAAAAACTAATCAACAAAAAAGGCAATTTCTATGTAAAGTTTAAAAATAGAAGTAGTTTAGTCAATTGGATATTTTTATAATGCTTATTATGCAATTCTATAAAATTTCATTGACCTTTTGATGTTCAGGGGTTCAATCATTACTATATATTATATTAGTATGGATGTTGTCTATAGTATTATTTTAATTATATAATAAGAAAAAACTGATATATTCAAGTTTGAGCATTAGATATAGGTATATGTATTGTTACTGGCAGCTCGTTTACCATTATTTTTATAAATTTTATATTTTTGATATCTTTTTTTATATGTCACTTTTGACTAATTGTTTTGTTACTTCTCGCTGTAAGCCCTTTTGGGCACACAGCGAGAAGTAACAACACATTTATACTAGTATTTGGTTTTTATTAAAATAGTAGTTGTGTTCCCGCTCCAGTAACGTGTATATTACTAGGGGAAGAACATGGTAACTAGTAACTAAGTAGTTAAAGTTAAGTAAAAGAATTATTTACTTTTTTTGCTAGTAATGTCAGGTCCACCGCTACAGCCTTTTTAAATCAGAATGAAGGTTTAACGGGCCTGATTTCATCCTCACGATTTCGTGCCCCGTCAGCGAATATCCCAAGGCGCAGAAGAAATCGCCATTCTACCATAATCACTATAATACATACTCGCTTATTGGTATATACTTACTTGCTTGTTATCGTGGATTCGGCGTTATTAGTGGATACAATTTTAACATTTTCGGATTCCATTACTGTTTACTATAGCTAGTATTCAACAAACTGTTCTTAAAAAGCTTTCTTTTTTGTATTATAAATGTATTTTGTTACTTTTCAAACATATGGTAATACGGATGGTAAAAAGATATATTTGTCAAAAATAAATACTGAAATAGAACTTTATTAGACAAATGTACCTACTGTTATTTTATTTATCTATGTATTTTTATGTATAAATATTTAGAAAGTAATACAATTTAATCGTATTTTAATCTAAATTAATGTGCTTGCCTATGTAGTTCAAATTATATATTTATTTGAAAATATCATATTTGATATTAGGTACATTTAGTTTATCGCGAGGTCATGACTTTTTTGGATATGATATTGTGCTAGTCTCCGAAGTACGAATTATATCATCAGTATTTACAAATATTTACATTAAAAATAATTAGATATGTTAATTATACTTAGAACGTGTTACACTAACCCTAAAATTTACGTACAAAATACCATACTTTCCAAATTGGTATCACAATTTTTTTACAGTACAGGTTTTATCTCTTTAGTTTTTTATTTACGTAATATTTTCTTTTATTTAAAATAATGTGTTGAATTACTTGCTATTGCATAATGATTATCACCCCTATGAGTTTTGTTTTTATGCCGTATTACAAATACACACACCATTTATTATATGTACGTCTTTATGAAATAAATGTATTCTAAATTTTTAAAACTATATTAGTACTATTTATTTTATATTTTCACGCACTAACAACGCGACGTCTCTTGACCTTTCTAATTCTGTTACTAGTAACAACATACAATGAAGAAAAGTCAATCGTCACGGGGTAGCGTGCGCGCGTTCTATGCCCTATAGACACCACCTGATTCATGAAATTGTAGACAGTAGGTAAGGGTGTTACGACAGGTACTGTTTTATGAATAGTTACTATATTTTGTGATATGTAATCTTACATTTTTATGTGTGTTTTAATAAGTCTTTACATAGTATAAAAGTAAATTTTCAATTATTTTAATTCATGAACTAACCGAAGTATTTGTTACATGAATTTAATAATGAAGAAAATGAAAATGAAGTTGCGGAATATATATACTATTCTTATACAGACAATAATTAGACACTATTAATTTTGCATGCCAGATTCTAGTGAACAGTGTGATTCAAATATCATAATTTTTTTCATCTTGTAAACCACTTTTTTAGGCAAAATAAATATATTTGTATTCGTCGCCGCCGCTGTTTGTTCGCTATTACACAACATATTTTAATATTGTTTTCAGCAATGGATAGAGTGATTCAAGAAAGGAAGGTTTATATCTATGTATAATACATGCGTGCTATGATATAGAACAAGCGGAGAAATTCCAAGATTTGTAATGCATCCGTGCGAAGCCGGGTCGGGTCGCTAGTAAATAAATAATAATTGGCAATGGTTTCCGAAATTATAAAAGCATATGAAATGCATATCCTATATTGGTAATTTCGTCGGATTATTATGAGTTAAATTACATAAAAAGTATTTTCTAGCCGCAATATTGCGCAATTCTGCGTTTATCTATGAAATTCGTATCGACATTAAGAGACGATATTTATTTTCAGAACTTCGGGCACGCTATTGGCGATGATGTCATTTCATGAGAATTGTTTGAAATTAGGTATAGTCGAAATATAACAGATGCATTACCGATTTTCGACTGTAGGCTCGTTCTTGGTGATAGCAGTGTTATTAGATATTATACATATTAGGTGTAATATTTATATACTCGTAAATATTACTTATGATTGTTTATGTGTATACTTACTATATAGGGAGCTAGGCTCTCGGCTTTGTATACGATTAAAATTAAATTGAAAAATAAAATTATAACTCATCTGGCGTTATAAAATAATATCGGCTTGGAGTCTTAGTACCCAGTTTTGGGTGTTAAGTCAAAACAATTTCATAGGTCAATGTCAGTAAAGTACTGCTATTTTAATGACCTACCCAACATTAAAATTTAGTGTTATAATAAAAGTTGTCGTACATTCATCAGTTGACCCATATTAACAAAGTCAACAAGCAATGTGTGGATTCTATTGAAACGCGTATTAACTGTGAGACTGGATTAATATTAACTAGGAGGTTACTATTGGGGACTAGTCGAGTAGTTACTTCAATTATATCTACACATGATGGTGATAGACTGGACATACGATGAGGAGGCAGCAAACTTCATGGACTACATCACTGACGGAATGGTATCCGGTATTCAAAGATACGAAATAGAGAACGTCAGAAAAGACGGTGAGAAGATGACATAAGGAGAACAGAGGAAAGGTACGGCACAGAATAATAAAAAATAGATGATAATGCAAAGGATATATACTTTATGTTTGTATGAATTGTAAAATTGTCATTATAATATACAATATGGGTATTTGGATTGATGATTATAAAATGGTGCACAACTATGCCAACATTACCAATAGAGTTTGATATGAGAATTGAGTCAGGTCAGTTACATCATTATGGTGAATTCACCACGATGGTTTCCAGGTGTGATCGCATGGATGATATGTCATCATCCATTGAACTAAAATTAAACATTAACATTAACATTGAATTAAAATTAATTGTTAGTAATGAACTGATATATCCCCATTACTAATAATCCTTTCTCCCCCGAAATATAGGTAGTCTTGAGGGTTGTATGTATTAGATTGCATGAAACATGAAATGATTGCATGAAAACAGCTTCCTATCTACCCTCTCGCCCTACACGGCGGAGTGTAGTAGTACATATATGTAATCCGCATAGTTTTTAATGTTTATGCTGTCTTATACAACTATAGTAATGATTGAATTTGTTTTTTTTTCTTTCATAATGTAAGTATATTTTAAAATTTTATGATTAAAATCCTAAAACGATAATCGAAATGGTTTTAATAATAAATTTAATAGTCAAAGGGTAAGGATTCTTCTTGGAAGAATCTGCAATATGAATAGGTACGATAACAAAGATTATATATTATCTTATAATCCATTATATAAATTTATTCAATCAATTATTATATATAACGCCATCTATAGATAAACATAAGTAACTCTACATATAATATTATGCTAACATACAATGCTTTAGACAGTCAACAAAAAAGTCAGTCTGAGATTTTTCGTTTATAAGCAGGTCATAAAAACTCTGGCTATAACATGTACGCTCTACTAAACAAACTTTAGTTATGTTCAATAGATGTCGCCGTTTAAGACTCAATCTGCTTTCATCTGTAAACTCAGACGGAGTCGTCAAATTCATTATTCAGGAATTAATTAGGTATACATCGCACGCAAATTTGCTATTGAAAATATGAACGTTGATTGATTGCCAGCCTATAAAAATAAAGAATATTATTATATGTATATATGTATATTTGACGGCCTCGGTTTAATTCACCGCTTCACATCTGATGGTCGCGAGTTCGATTTCTCGCACGATGCAACATTTGTATTCATGATCGTTTGTGTCAGTCTGGGTGTTTACTAGTGTATATTATGTATGTATTAAAAAAAAAACTAAGTATTTAGATCAGTTGTCAAGTATCCATAAGCTCTGCTTACCGTGGGACTAGATGGCGTTGTGTTAATTGTCCAGGGTTATTTATTTCTTATTCGTTTATTGAGTGATGTGAGGAAGTAATAAAATGATAGAAGTTGCTTCAAGTATAAAATGTATTTTAATTAGAGTGCATTGGTAACTGTTCGTCCTCTTAAAATTTGAAACGTACAAAATTCAGGTACTGTTATGTCACATTCATATTTAATATATTTTTATGTTACAATATTATTTTTAATGCACAACAAGTTAGATACAGGTATACCAAACATTGAATATATAGTAGAGCAAATTATCTATATTCCCTTACAGGATATAGCAACTATGTTTAACATCTTAACATCTAGAAGCATTTTAAAATATCAATATATATTGTAACACCATGATAGTAACTAATTAACTTGTAATCATTTTAAAAAAAAAATTAAATATCGAATTGAAGAACAATGTAGGAATAATGTAACTAATACTTACAACTATAATTATTACTATGACGTATAAAGTTTGTACTAACGTTAGGTACTTTTCAAATTACAGTTGAACAAACGAGTCGTGCATAAATTCGTTTCTTGATCAATTCTGTTATTTAATTTCGATATTAAGTTAGTATTTTCACGAAGTAAAATCTTTGTTTAAATGTTATGTATTTAATAAACATGTTTAAATCATTAATATTACAAAAAGATATTTTGAAATGAACTTAGACAAAAAAATATTGAACTTTTGGAACCTACTTGGTAAAAAGGATCTGTTAACTCAGTAATACTTCATCTCTGTCTCTCAATCAATCTCTGTAACACCTCAGTAGTATTTTTGTGTACAAAATGTAATTCGAATTCCACCAGTAGATTTGTGTTAAATTATATATATATTTACATATCTATTCATCCTCCTATGATTAGACTTTTATATTAATTACGAAAGAAATACAAGGCGCCACAGTATATTTTGTAATGTCCATGGTACCTATATATATATATAAGTATATATATGTATATTATTGTGATTAATTGTTTGAATTATTATAATAGATAATGAAAAAGCAGTTGTATAGTATCTACAGTATATATGAAAACAAAAAAAAAATTGCTTCACCTATTATTATTTTTTGTTCATTTATTATGTAAATAAGTACATTTAAGATAAGATTAGGTCAGTAATGTATGTACATATTTATGTAAATTTTGTTATTGTAATTATATTATAATTCTTTGTTCTTTTACCCCAATTTCATCTATTTCAGCCGTGAAGCAGCTTATTTTGTAAGATGTGTTACGGTTGAAAAGGTTGTAAGATATGGTAGTAAATTTATAGATTCTTATATAAGCTCTTAGCATGACGTAGTCCACTGGAATAACGAACTATGAGCATGATGTCCGTATTCATGTATATAGACGACATACCAATGTACCAAAGGTACCAAAGGTAGTTTCAAAATTTTCTTAGTTAAACATGTTATGTTAATAGTTGTCCAAACTGTGCAGAATTTTAATTTGCAAATAATTATAATATCTCGCGACAAAAACTGTGTACGCGAAGTGCATTTATTCGGATAAGTATCATGGTTCACTTATATTGTACATACTTATGTTATGTTCCATAGTGTTGTTTTGTTGATCTGAGTTTAGTAAAATTATTAAAAAATAGTCAGGTGGAAGGTCAGTGGAAGTTAGTTTTTTTTTGGACTACTATGATACTGTTGGCCGCAGCTGACCTTTACAGCTTCTAAGGCCAACTCCCGCCTGACGGAAGTTATAATAATTAATTTACACTTTCCTAATTTACTTAGATAATTTCAATTTTATAATTACCTAACTGGTATCCTAGAACTGGTATTTCTTTTTAAATACTAACCTTATACACATTACAATCGTATAGTAAAACATTTTATTATAAATACAGCACGTTAAACTTCACAAAGTTATTCCTCGAAATACGAAACTCACAATTACATAAATTAATACATAGAGAAGCATTATCTTATAGTTACACATGCATACTCAAATATAACAATACGAAAATATAAATCTAGTTTCATCTATGAAAAATATAAGTATTAAGTAAGAAACTTCTCACACGTTATTATATTTCCTCCCAATTTACATAATATCTTATTAAATTATAACCTACATATATGATGTATAAGTTATATTACTGTAAAATTTTATCAAAATTCGTACAGTAGTTTATGCGTGAACGAGCAATACACATCCATCCACCCGTCCATACCAACAAATTTTTGCATTTATAATATTAGCAGAAATATTTTAATTCTATTTGCAATCGTAGTTAGAATTTAAATATTTAAGTATGTAAACGACTAAATAAAGCTAAACAACTGAATACAATATTTTATGTGTTAGTTATTTTTAAACTTTCGTGTTTTATATATACTATTTATATTATTAACTGGGTCTGAACACGATTACTCCGGTCAACTCGTGACCACGGCTAGTGCAACCTAGTTGAAACGTTTGTCATAAAATTATTCGTGTTAAGACCCGATTAATAACAATATTTTATGCATAATGATAAATTAATACTTTCATCAAATTATGGTAAATGACCTGATAATATCTATAAAATTTAATGATAGTAATGCTATTTTGCAAGTAGTCGATATGAACTCGGACTCGATATTTGTTTGGGCTAGATAAATACAACGAAATGTTCTAAACTGACATTTGTATCGTCTTGTTATATGAATAACAGAAAAAAATGCTTTATCTTGTAACTCTGGCTACAGCAGAATTTACGATACCATGCATCTGAAAAGTTTTTGCAATTATTGAATATTGTTATACTGTCCAAATTGTGATGTTCAACATATTGCATTACATGCAATGTAATTATATTACAAATATATTGTAAACTACAAAATGAGAATTTTACTTCATCACAAACAATTTGTGATTTATGTAAAATTCACATTCTCTAGTGTCTCAAGGATTTTGATATACTTAATGTGAAGGCAGCTACTTAGAAATTGGACATATATGACACACAAAACTTTTAGTCAGAGTGATAGATTTATAGAATTCATCATTATAGCGATAAAAAAAGTGCTATTTATTATCAGAAAAAGAAAACACACTTCGTACTGCATTAAAAATAAAGTTAATATAACTTTATTATTAATTAAGTTTTTTTTCTTATAATAAAAAAATATTTTTAATGCTACAATAATGAATTTTGTAAATTTCTATAATTCTAATTACAGATAATCACTAAACAGTCAAAATTATTTACTACTTAAATGATAAATTCATGACACGCAAAGTTTTAAAAAATATCTTAACAGTTTGTAAAATCTTAAGATAACTTATATATGTATATACGAACTAAAAGCATTTGTTGCGAAACTGACTAGCAAATATTTGACAACACTTATGCTGTGCTTTCTTATTGATGAGGATTCTTTGGTCCGAATATGTTATGGTCCGTAATCTGAAAAAAAAAAAATATCATTTCAATTGAAACATGATGACGGCCTCGGCGATTTAGCGGTTTAGCACATCGCTTTACTTCCGATGGTAGTGGGTTAGATCCCTCGCACGGCAAAAACATTTGTATTCATGAGTATAATTGTTTGTATAGGTCTGGGCGTTTTCTATGTATAATATTACATATATATCTATGTATAGGTATCAATTATCCATAACACAAGCTTTAGCTAACTTAACTTGGATCTAGATGGCGCTATGTGAATTGTCCTGAGATTATTATTATTATTATCATTTTAGTCGCGACATTGTCTGTACAAACTTTCACCCCTTATTTCAACCCTTACAGTTTACATTTTGAAATAAAAGATAGTCTTATTTCCGGCCTTATGTTACTATTTATCTCCATTACAAATATTAAGATCCGTTCAATTTAGTTGTGAAAAGGTAACAGACAGACATGCTTTCTTGTTTATAATATTAGTATGGATTAACGAATTTCGTGTAAAAATAGATATCGTCCGAAGGTCCGAAGTGACTCTTGTATTGACAAGAGTCACTTCGGATCGTGACAGATGAAGTTAAGTAAGCAATTTAATTTATTTCTGTTAATTATGAATTTTACATCCTAATAACGTTAAGCAGTTTTATATTGTTTTGGTAACTAAAAAATATAATAACTATATAAATACATAATACTTTTCGATTACCCACATATAATATTAAATTAAAAACAATATTTAGTACAATATCTTCTAACTGATAAATACGAAAGTAATTAAATTATTTGTAACTATTTTCAGGAAAGTACCTTGTTCAGTGTAAATCCTTTAATCTTATACCGGGGTCTTCTGAGGACAGCCTGCTTTCTTCTGTGACGGCTGTGCTGGTCATGTTGGCACTCTTTCTGGAGTCAGTAGGAATGTAAGGCAGACCACGGATGCTACGGTACCTAGAAGATTTATATTAAATGTTAGAGCAGGCTATGAGAATATGAGAGAATATGCTTTATTTACACTAAAATAAAAGTAACGGAGCGTCATGGCTAGTGGTTTACTACCCCAACTTAGATCCCAAAGGTTGTTAGTTCGAATCTAACCGAGGTAAATAATCTTTCAGACAATTTTTTTTTGATAGCACCTCCAATGATGGGCTATTGATAAAAACCAAAATAATTCCGATAAAATAATTCCCTGTAAAGTTGGATTCAAATATACCCAACGAAATGTTAACATATCGTGTTACGTTTACAATTACGCCGTCAGTTTGTAATGGCTCTAACTACTCCATATTAGATAATAGTCTTGAAGGTCTATAAAAGTAACAAATATTAATAATTTTGTCTGAAACCAATATTTACCATCCCTGAACACATCTAAAGACTTGAGTTATGTACGAAATTCCTCTGATATCACAATATTGTTGTCCTAATATTTGAAACAGATGTACTGGCATATTCCATTGTCATGACAACATCCTACATCTCGGGTCGCTAGCTAACCATTCGGACAGCTGCTGAACACATGTATCACCGTAACCACACCTCTGTCTTTTGCCTTTAGAACTACTGTCTTACTATTGCACTGTATCTAGTTGAATTTATAAGATGCAATAGTTAATAAAGAATTGTACTGGATGATGGAATAGTACATTTATTACAAATGGCGCCCAAAGTGGTGCGGTAATATAATGAATATTAAAAAGAGCTTTTTTACTTCGTAACGAGGATAAAAGAAAATCCATATATCTAAGGTTGTATTTTAATTGTAAGTTATTAGAGATTTCTATTGTTATTAAAGTATTGCTAATAGGTATATAAAAAGTATGCCTACTATACCATATCCTTGGACAGATATTTGGTAACATGTTTTTTACAATATTTATGCCAATATCTGTTATTAAAGACACAACGAGACAATGTACTATTCTTCATAATAATGAGATATGATTATGAAGATATTATGATAAAATTGCCAAAATATCAATATTTATAAGTTGTGATTGAAAAATATGGTTAAATTTTAACTAAAATGTAATTAAATTAATATAATAAACGTACAATAATTATTAACATAAATTAATGTTACCTTCTGACAATTAAATTCCGCACTTTCTTCTTCCAAACGAATATCATAAAGATGAAGAAGCCAAGCATTATGTTGGAGATGTCGATAACGACCCAGTACCAATTCGAGCCACCGACCATGAAGCTGATCAGTTCTACAGACCAGTTTATGCCCATCACCATGAATAACTTCAGGTATAAGGAATATCTGGAATATAGGACAAATGTACATATAAATTTCATTACATATTTATCAATTTAAAAAAAAATCCGCCCAAGGAGAGTTAAGGCATCGACTTCAGGGGAAACAATCCCGGGTTGCTGGATTTAAGCCTCTTAGAGCGGGTTACTTATAAACTAACAGAAATTAAAGTATACTTATCCTAACTTAAGAAATATGTAGTTAGAAGATTTATAAATAAAAGTTACATAAATGTACCTTTGTTTGTCATTCTTCATCTTATCTTTTGACGTTGACTTTGATCCTTTTAAAATGGAGGTCTCCTGTTTGATGGAGCGTATACGATGTGCAGTCACTGAGAAGAATACTGTATTACATACAACCAGCACAAGAACTGGCGCGAAGAAGTACAGTAGCTCACTCAGCCAATCTAATGATGGAGAATGGTAATCAGAGATTAATATCTTTATTCAGAACAAAGTATATATGTAGTAGTAAAATTTATATAGTATAAGATGCATATTAAAAATATTTGTATTAAAATAGTAATATGGAGTGTCGTGGCCAAATGGTTTACTAATCTGCCGTAGCCCTCAAAGGTCGTCCGTTCGAATAAAATTATTTGCTAGCATGTTGACATTGTGAAAAATGTGACAACAAAAGTTGTGTTATATTTTTTTCACTGGCTGTTCAGTGAAGAAAAAAAAATTGTTCCTCTTTTTATAAGTATTACGCGGACGGAAGTGTATAACATTTCGTACACTTTATATAGAGAAAGAGTGCAGGTAACTAATATTTTAATAAATTATATATAAAAATACATTAAATCAATAAAAACATTACACACATTACCATATATTTAACATACACACGCATACAGATACACTTTTTTTATTGTTAAAGTCTTTGGTCAAATTAAGAATAGATGATGATGATGAAGAATATTGATCGTCTTTAAAATTATTTTTCTTTCTGAATGTTAAATTAATTATGGTCGCGTCTCGGCCACTGGGCGCCCACTACTCAAAATTAATACGGAAGACTGTAAGCCTAATCACTGCCACATAGGATTCAAATACATCTATAAGTCTGTGGGTATGTTATTTATGTCAAGTATACATCCATTACGACGGCGACATTACTGTTGACAATATCTTTGAGTACCCCATTTGAGAATTTTGACGTGAAGTTATTATTATTAATAGTGTTTGTTATGGCCTTGTGATCTACATCAAAAATATAACGAATACTCGTTATTTTGTAGTCATAAAAATATCTACGTATTTAAAATAATTTTACAATATTATGGTTGAACCATGGTCACACAAATATAACACATATATTAAAAACTTAAAGTGTAACCTTCATCATCATTTGCTTTGCTATATATATAAATTGTATATGCGTATACCATGTGTTACATAATTATGTACCCAATACAAACTAACAGATAAACAAATATACTATTATTATATCCCTGCTGTTTGCCATCTTTACCGATATCAATAACTATGAGAAACGTTCGTCCTTGTGCGTCGTAAACAGCCCAAGATACACCGCAAGTTAACTAGTACGAATAAATATTATGACAGATTATTGTAGAGTAGACAAATATAAGTATATGTCTGAATACTAACAAGTTCTAAAATTCATTCATTCACTTTCAGCAGCCGGTTTTAAGTTTTGTTACGGTTGTAGGATGAGAAAACACAGTATAAATACAGATTAAGAAGCGTAAAGACTAGCTGCAGCCAACAGCTTTAGAGTAGTCCGAAAAAAAATACATTTTAGTCCTCTCACATGGCAATGCATGAGCGGTATCACCGGGGTCAATTAATGACGTGATGTGCGATATATTGGTATAAGTAATATGTAAAATATATATAATAGATATGTATAAAAGTTTATATAAAAGATTACCATCAATCTTACCATCAAATGGTCCGTTTAATTACCATACCTATTAAACAAAAAACTTTTAGGGTAGATAGGAAGAAAGGGTAGATACTCTGTGCTTTAAGTATAGCATAAAGTACATGTATAAGATGTACTTTATGCGTCCCCGTAACGTAAAAAAATAAACAAGGTATACGTACTGTCAAACCAACATCTCTTGTCTCCAAACCCTGGCTTGATGACACCTGGTGGCAAGTTCGCGTACTGCATGCTGGCAGTAACCGCCGTCAACAACAAAGGGATACCCCATGCGTAAAAACTGTACATGGTGAAACGTCTCGTTTCCCGACGTTTAGACGTACTGCTGCCGCGGTAGCCGCTATGTAATAAAAAAATATATTAATATCACAAATAGCTAACATTTTGTAATTGTTTCTTGAAATTATTTTTAAATTTATTAATGAGAGGAAATCTAAATCGGAATTCTTAAATAATATTATGATGATAAATACCTCGCAATGTATACAATATGAAAATATCCTTTACCGATAACTAAATTAATTTAAATATCCATCTTTTTAAAATGTAAAACAATTTTGTAAAACAAGCATTCAGAAACAGGAACTATTTCGGTTTCTTAAGTGATTCCGCTTCCATCAACACTGACATATAATCAATAAGTTTTATTTCCTTACTAGTATCATTTATTAGTAATAATATTTATCTAGTACTAATCATAATTCTTACAAAATTTATACATCTTCAATGAAAATTAATCACCCAATACATACGAAGTGGCAATCGTCACCTTTAGATAAGTAGTACCATGAAAATTGTAGAATATATTGATGTCCATGGTGTGGTCATGATTGGGCTATACTTAAGGATTAAGTCGATATACTCCATTCCAATAACATATTGCCTTTTTCTTCAAAGCGAACATTTTTAAAGTTATATGTTCGGTTTGAAGTGCTATGAATTCAAATAACAATGATTTGAAGAGTCATAAATTAAAAAAACTAAAATAACAATTTATGCTAGTTATAACTATTAAAGATTGATTATACTAACGTCACGAATCAACATTAAAAATATTAGACACATTTATTTATAGTACCAGAAATATGCGACAGCATCCTTAATAGACATTCATGCATTTGTAAAGTTTGTATTACGGAGGTTAATCGTCATTATAAATAATTAAATGGTGTTTATATTACAATATCAACATGTAATTTATTTAATATAATATACAATGAAATGTTTGTCTTGTCTAGGCAATAAGAGATTATGAATAGCAATAAATGATGCTGAAATATAAGTAATAAAAACTATATGGCGTGTAAAAATACACTATCTTGTTTGCAATTCCACGTAGAATATTCAGGACCATTTAATATAGGAATTAGATACATTCCGTGGCTCATTGATGATTGTCTTTCTGGTTCATGAGTATATTTGTTTATATTGGTAGATATCTTTAATCATGTATATGTATTAAGTAAAAAATTTGACTTTGCTATATAAATTGTAACATAAAAATATACAATCAGATATGTAGCGAGCCTACTAACGCTACATACTTTGATTTCAGAAATTAATATATGTAATTATTTTTGTTAATTATATAAATAGATTTACCAACGAAATCTTCGATGTGTTGCTTCTGCTAGATAAGCCTACTACTAAGCCTAAGTGCTGATACTATGTGTATTTATTTTATTTTTGTTATTTGTACTTCGTAGTAATTTTATATATATAAGGTATATTATACATAAGGCAGGTTGATGTCACACCAAATAACTTTTATTTCTGGAATACAACCTATCTAGACGGACACTTACATTATTCCTACATATTACCGTAGCTTTTTACATCAAACTTTTGAATCAGTTAGGATGACGATAAATGAAAAAAATGTCCTATATGATTAATTAATTACTTTAAATTTTACGTAGTCGTAATCATGATAGAGATAATAATAAAAGTAATAAGAAAAAAAACAGATACTGCTTAAGAAAAATAATATTGTTATCAATAGAGTACCTACACTTATTGCAAATGTAGCGCCAACTAGCGGTTGCATTTCCCTGAAAGCTATCATTCTGACGAGTTTCCAATCTCTTACCATTGCAGTTGCTGAGAGGCCATCCTGTCGGATCTTATTCCGAAAGAAAGCAAGAAACAAAATAAGAATTTACATATGTTACTTATAAAAAAAATATGATAATGATATTGTAATTATAAGGTATAGTATCGAATAGTTATCAGGAATGACAACGCATGAGGTATCTTAGGTGTTATTGTGTATTTGTCATGCCCATTATGAGACATAGTTACCTAGATACATGAATATAATACTTACAATTAATAATAGTTAGTAAAATCACAGATAATATAGTAAAATAAACTAAATATTGTCAACTAAGCACTACCATGTCTAAACTGTGTCACCTTACGTATATTTTTACTATTATTCTTTAGTATATAAGATCAATACATATTATTATGTACATTTTGTCAGTCCATTATCATCTGTATACTGTATACACCCTCTCAACAGACAGCATCGCATTATTGCCCCGCAACACCTATGATGTTGCTAATGTATATGGTCACCCTTTTCTATCAGGTGAGACGTTAGCTTGTTTAACAAATCAATTAAAAAAAATTAGGTAGAATAGGTTCTAATCCTTACCAAAATCCATGTCAGAAAACATTATACATTTGCAGTATGTCATTTTATAATAAAACTCTCACCAATTCTAATTATTACAAAATGAATCATAGAAATGAATAAACATTAAACACATTGGTTATATATTAAGCATATTGTCACATCCAATCGTAACGTTATTTGCGTCACGCTTTTGTTTTGTCACAATTAATTATAAGTGTATATCAAATTGCTTTTTTATTTGTTATCTGTACTTAAATGGAAGTATGAATGTATAATATTCATTCGAATTTAACATCTTACTCATACATCCATTCAGTTTATAATTCATTAATACATCGGTTTATCAACCTATACCTAATATACTATTATAAGTTGAATTTTAAAGCTCATTTTATTGGCTCTACCTAGTCCTACGTCCAAGTGGACGTAGTATGGACGTAGAGCCGTAGAGCTAATATGAGGAGGACCAAAATGACGCTAGTTTTACCTTGAAACATTTTATATAAGTACGGTATCATAAATTTGAAAATCGATTATAACATGATGGAATCGATTTATTAGCTAGTCTGTACTTAAACATATAATTTTACGTAATATATTTACAGAACGGTGGACGGAAATGTAATTGTTTTATAAATCAGTTATCTACTTTTTTAAGTAAGTTTTAAGTGTTATGGCACTATCTTATAAGAACTATTGTTTTATTTAAGTAACTGAGGCTGTTTATGAAGATAAAACTTTCAACTTTCTCTCTATACAACTGATTGCTCCTAAATGAAATTAAAGAAATGGTAAATTCATTATGAATATGTCACGATGGCTTCCAGATAGCACCTGACATGGGACATTGCTAGCAATAGGGTTATTAGTCCACATTACTAACAAGACCGTGTTAGATGTCGACATAAGTGCCTACTATATCTATGATTATTCGTTTGCCCGATTTAATATGTTAAGTACATCGAAGTGACAATATAAATTAAATACAAGGTCAACTATAATAATCACGACACAAAAATTAATGACGGACATGAGCATTGTGAGCATGATAACATTAGATACAGCTACATACAGTACATACAACAGTACAAGCATATAGACCTACAGGCGCATACTGCAATCTTGGGACGTGGGTATGACCGATCTGCAATTCAGTCACAAGGCTAAAATATACGAAATTTTAATAAAATAACAAGTAAAAAAAAGAAAATAAATAAATTTTGAATTTGGAATACCGTTGAACATTTTATGAAAATTATATGTTCTTTGTATAAATATACATTATAATATTGATGTATATCTATAATTATTCTTGTGTATGTAACATATTTATATATCTTTACTATTTATGTTCACATGCATGATTTTGTATCTTATCAATTGTTTATTTATAAGTAAGACTAATTACGTATATATCGGATATACTTTATAATAATAAAAACAAAAATTAGATAGAATTCTTCTTACCTACTCCTATTTATATGTTCTGTATTAATTTAATATTGTCTTAAATTGGTATAATTTAGATATAGGTAGGAGGAAACAAAAGAGAGAATAATCCTGATAGTAATAATAATATCTGTCATTAATGAGGATATAAGAATTTAGTATCTAATAATGAATAATACAGAGGATCCGTGAATAATCTATTTATAAATCCTCATAAGATTATATTATCTGGTATTGTGAATGAAATTCAGCTGTAAGTATTACTGTACTTGACAAAATTATTAATTTTAGATATGACTATATTAAAACATTATGAAAGTAGGATTTCTGCTATCTCATAAAGCAGTGACAGATAAAACTGTATCATTTTTTGTATCTACATGTGGTTTTGGTGCGTGTTCGTGTTTTGCACTTATTATCATTATATTAAAACTTTTTACAAAATTTTTGGGGACGGAGGAATATGATTCGCATATATAGTTTATTCCGAGAAGAAGTAAAAACGCCTGATATCATTTTAAATTATACATAAAAATACATTAAATCAATAAAAAACATAACATACACGGCCATATATTTGACACACACACGCATATATACTATTTCGTTTATTGCCTGTGCGACTGCCAGTGTCAAAACAACAACAGAACCTTAATAATGTCTCAAACTTAAATTTTTAATTAATTATGGTGGTACTAAAAAAATCTATGTATTTTATACAATCCGTTTCAGAGTAGAGACAAGGAAGGAGTACAGGCATCTATTATTAAAGAGATTTGTAAGAAAATGAATGTAAACAATAACAATGTATTACCTGAACGTCCTCCAGATATCGAAGCACATGACGTTGAGCCAGAAAAAGCTCGACTGGAATGCGTAGTACACGATGAAAGCTGAAACAAACTGCACTTTATAATTTGCATTTTATTCCTAGGGGCAATTTATCTTGTTACGTGTAAGTGGAAACACTATGCAATCATCATTATAAAAAAATACAACCTACAGGTTCTATAAACAAGTTAAATTAATTACAGGTGTCCCTGTGATATGACAATGATAAAAACAAATTCATATCAGTTAATCCATTAATTTAATAATTTTTTTAAATTAAACGTTTGCCACGTTTAATTTACATAAAGAATTAATCACGATGTTTCTAGAACGAAGACCACGTGGAGGTCTGCCATGGTACAGCGTCTGTATCGTGAACAACGGAGTCACTGTTTCTTTCATAGTAGGGGGAAAATGAGCTTGCGGCTTACCTGATGGTAATTACCGCCGCCGATGAGCGAGCGAGATGAGGCAGGGGAATTGTAAATACGTTACCGGCTTTTAGGAACTGGTGGGTAAGGGAAGTAATTAGGAAAGGGATAGAGGAGAAAAGGATGAGCGTCTAGAACTATACGAAACGAGAGGACATTTAAAGGTCGTATTTTGATAATGTTTGGTATTTCCCGGTTCGAGGGGGCTTATTACTGTTCAACCATGAGTGGTAATAGAGCGTGCTCTTCTTTCACTTAAAAACTAGTGTCAATAAAAGATAATCCCTTCTTCTCAAACTTGTACGTATTGGTTGGTCAAATATTAAGTATAACATATACCTATAGAAATTTAGTAACATTATGGAAGTACTGGGTATAAAATAACCGTAGTCCATTATATGCCTCTATGGAAAGTTTAATCTACCACGTTTTGTAACATATTGAAATGAATTTCATCTAAATCTATGTACACAATTAAGAAGTTAATTTGCTATCAAAGCAAAATAACATAAATTGCACGAATCGGAATATAAAAATATTTTTTGTAATAAGTTGAATAATTTTCATGTATATTTTTATAGAGTTCTTTATAAAAAGTTGTTCAGTAATGCTCTCATTGGCTTTTGCTATGGTATATCTATTATGAATAACCTTGTTTACGTTATTGTATCTAAAAAAATATGAGTAACGAGTAATATTAAGCTGATGAGACATTCTTATATATATAGATATTAAAGATTCGTTTACTTGTAGGCATGTACTATACAGCCGTAAAATGTTACTTTATGCAAATTGTATATTAGCTTGCGCGCCACCTAATGGTAAGTGGTGATCGTCGATTATAGACATGAACAGTACTATGAGTATCACGTCGACAGGTGACTACCGTGATCAATGAGGTATTGGTTATCATTTCTGAGATTTAGTGTGTCAAGTCTTGGTTCTAATAATTTCACTGCCATATCTCACCCTTAAAATAGAAACAATCAGTAACGCAAATTGCTTAGCGGGAGAATTAGGTGAGGTATTCACTCAGACGGTAAAATATTTTTACAAACAAAATTCAAATTAGTTAAAGGGATATTTTTAATAGCTGAATATAACGGATGGAATGTTTATGAATAATGTTAAAAATCAAAGGTTTACAGAAGTCAGATTGCTTGCAGGATACGAGATCAATTTCAGATGAAAGAAAACAAACGAAGTGAGGGAACGCAAATAGCTACAGTTAGGCATTTAAAGAGGTGTTACTGAAATGGAATTAAACTTTTATATACGAATTATATACAAATAACTCGCATTTTTAGGGAATGTAAGTTATTGGCTTGTTTGTTTTCATATTTTTTTGCAACACAACAATTCCATGGAAGCTGTTTGCAATTATATTGTAGGAATTTTAAAGACAACCTACCTATATATTTTTATAGATATGACCATTTTTGATAATTCATTACTATAATTAAAAATTAAATAAATGTTTAAAAGTACTAGTATAATAATGAACATAGAATAGCGGTTTTTTTCTTTTAGTTAGTGCGTAGATATAGGTTAGACTCAGGTTTTTAGATTTTTTATAGATTTGTATGAATCTATCACGAGCATCATATGGATTTTGCTTATATATATTTTTCTAATTATAATTTCTCTCTCAAATATATTTTAAATGCTTTCGACATAACGGTACGCTACCAAAGAATTCGAAGAACACTAAAAATAAAGCAAAAGAAATTAAATTGTAGTAAAATTGTTCTGAAGAACTAGGTATAGATAAAAATGATTATGATATGTTATTATTTTCATAACATTTCATCGCTTCATTACACTCAATTGTAACTTGTTTGTGTAACGACCGGCCGCCTTTCATCTTTATGCCCTACTTACCATGTTTATTGTATAAATACAATTTTCCCAAAGTATATTGGCCATTTGTCCCCTATAGGCTTAATATAGTTCAGGGTTCAATAGGTATATTACCCAACATTATAGTTATGTATAATCTATACTTTGATCTATAATCTATAATCTATATGTCGATCTAACATAGTACATAGTTAAGCAATGGGGTCACTAGACCCTTTAATAACAATCCTTCACCCTGGGTTGTTCTTTAAATAGACCAAATACATATATTGATAATTTAACCTATTAACCCGTAGTGAGACGAAATTGGAGAGGACGGACTTTATGTGGGTGGCCTGCTTTATAGCGCATTCATTCTCGCTTGTGTATCTATCGGCTAACTGACGTTTCGTGTAGTAAAATTAGACTAAACATTTCGCTGAGAAGATAAAGAGTTTATACTTAAAATAGCACTAACCATAAACTTGTGGATCAATAATAATACTCTTTTAAACTTTCGCTTTTAGATATAGTTTGTTATTTGGCAAATAAAGTACCTACGTATTTACTTCATTCAATGCGTACGAGAAGAATAAATTAGAGCGATTTTATTGTGGTAAAAAAATATTACTATAAGGAGACATTATACAAAATTGTTTGGTAATTCTACTATTTTATCTAATAGCTAATTCATATAATTTTGATAAAATTGGTAGTTTTCCTACATCATGGATATACCTACTAATGACATATTTCTCAAAATTCTCTCGAAGATCAGACTTGACACGAAAAACTGTTAAATTAATAAATTGCCTATCAAAACTGTGGTGTGGTGGTGGTAAAATTTTCATTAAATGATTAATTTGAATAAATTGTTTTTAAGTAGATACTATACGCATATCTTTAGGTATGTGTTATATGTAGATATACATATAATCATCTCTTACGCGATATTTTCTCAAAAACGGATCTAATTTGTAGGATTCTTTCGCAAACTAATACTGTACTTAACATTAATTATATGTAGGTACATACTAATGATATGTGTCCAGATTTTGTACTTTGTTGGTTCCATAAAATAATCTACTTTCTACGGAAATATAAAACCCAACATTAATGTTTGCTAAATTATGGTAATTAATCAAAGTGGACATATATTCATGTGACATATCCGTGTCATTCATTTTACACCACACCCGAAAAAATACTTCCTAATTGAATTAACTAATATCAGAGCTAATTAATTTTGGAGAACACATTTCGTTTGGACACCGAGGAGGAGGGGATAATGGTGGTGGGCGCGCGCGTTGATTAGGTGTAATATAGATAAAATAGTGATTGACTATGTTTTATATAGATGAGAACCTGCGTTAAATATTAGTTTATCAATGAATACACATGAAATTTGGTATACAAATATATATTGTTTTATCTTATGAAAAATAAAATTTCTTAATTCAGGGCGTAAAATCCAAGTGAAGCTCTTAGAGGTAAAAGCGACAACAGGATTTATTTTTTCAAACGATAGTAATGCTAGTCACAACTACCTTTTACAGTTTCTCTGAACGAAAATGGGAATATATAGAGTAAACCCAAGAACGAATTTATGGAGCGGATGCAGATCAATTTCTGATGGATACGATTAGATTTTGGAAACCGCTAGGAGTTGGAACTACGGCTCTGCCAGAAATTACAGTATAAGAGTCATAAAATCTTAGTCCTCTGGAACAGCTACGCATGAGTAGTAGTACTGTTCAACCGATTACAATCAGGTTGGCCATCAGCTTATTTACCATTCAAATTACATAAACATAGACTATCGCAATTTCGATCTCCATTGAAATAGGGCTGAGGATCGATCGCAGAGGCCACAGATGCTAGCACAAACTCATCAAATTATGTGATGAACAAAATTTAATTTAATAAATTATAAATGTCCGCAGTTCACTATATTCACCAAGATGGACTTTATACAAAGTCGTTTGCATGATTGGCACGGTGTCATTTATTTCTTGCATCACGTTCCATCATCGTTATCAACTTATCTTTTTTTTTAAAGTGTGGAAAACTTTCAAAATATATCACCACGGAGGGAGGCGAGAGAGTATATAGGATTTTTACCCCTCAAAACCCACACGGTATGCCTACGAGCGCCTACGCCGAAGCCGCAGAGGAGGCATGTGTATTTTACACCGACTCTAACGGTTCGTCACCTTGTCTGCCATGTCACATACATAAAATACATAATACTAAATTAGAGTGACTAATAAAAAAAATCAAGTACACACTTACCACTGACTACACAGCCCGTCATGGCTATATTCATTTGACCAGACTGAACCTTCAGGTACGCCAGGAATATGTAGGCCACAATCAAACCTGCACAGTATGCCATCAGGCACAAGCCGTGCAGGTTCCGCAGTTCAGGTATGAAGGCATACACTATAAAAGTTACGAGCAGGAATGGTACGGATAGCATAAGACCTGGAAAAAAAATTGTACATGGTAGATTTTTTTTATTTCAGAAATGAAACCATCTTTTACATGTATATACAAATAAATAAAATAGAAATGTCTGTTTGTATATTTATTTAATTTGTAATATTAATTAACTGCTTGTCACTAAATGCATATAAAAGTATATACTTTACCTACAAAAAATAATTCAAGCCTTTTTGTTTGTCCCTGCCTATTTGTTTTTGCTAATCATTGAAAATAGATAGCTAATATTATAACGATATAAAATTGCTGTATTTAAAAATTGTTAAAATTTACGCATACGAAGACAGCTAGTTGATATATAAAAATATAACATAAATTTTGGAATGAGAATTTGTGTTTTTGTTAACACTTTGATATGTTTTAATAATAATTTAAATTTCTGAGGAATTCAGTGGTAATGGAAATTATTGTTTCGCGCTTACTTCATTTATACGCAATAAGTTTTGATACAATTTTTCACTAGCATTTAGAAAAGAAAGAAAGCACAGTCAAATGGTTTATATTTAAAACATCCTTTAGAGATATAGGTAATGCGAAGCAAGGGCGGGTCATTCGTATAAAATTACAAAACATGTTATCCGAAACCTGGTAGATTTTGCCTCTGACATGTTAAACTCAAATACGCTCAGTAAAAGCATTCTGGTGTTATTTTAGCCGCAACGTCGACAACCGACAATACCATTGACGGAGGTAGTAATCTGGGTTTACAGTCATGACATGTAACAGACATAATATAACAGTCATGTGAAGGCCCTTAAGTTCTCCCCCTCTTTCAATTAGCTTTGGGATAAATACTGTAGTAAGTTTTATTATATTCCACAATAAACGTTTAATATGTTCGATGAAACACATAATATTTTGCCAACACCAAACATGAAATGGGCCTAATAAAAGTTTATTAGCCCATCAACGTAAGAGGTAGGCTATTATTAAAAGCGATGGTAAAATTAACAATAGATCTGATATGATAGTCCTCGGTCCTCGTATTATATTAACTCAGAATGATAGTACTGATGTAGTATGAAACGAATAAGTTAATCGAATATATAGCCTGCTACAAAATTATCTCATTTTCTTTCTACAGAATAGATAGAACATTAGACTATCGTAATTATGGGATTTCGTGACCCAAATGTCCTTACATTATATAAATGTAATGATATAAATATCCGTTAGATTAATTATAATTGTCCCATAAGGACAATGGAATATTCGCGGAAAGGAATATTGGTTATAATGACCAATAGTCCGTTCCGCGAATATTCCGTTTCGTTAAATTAAACTTTAAATACAGTGTTGCTGCTTTGGTTATAATATTAGGTTTATCAGATACTATATAATAATAAGAAAATAGTAAGTACCTAAATAAACATCTTTTACTGCATGTACGTCGTGAACTCGTGATGAAATTTTATTATGAAATGATTTAATTTGCTACGGAGCATGAAATGCCTTTATTATCTCTGAAAATTCTTCTGAAATGTGTAATAATTAAAACACCAGTTTAGATGTGACCATTACAAAAAACCTAGTAGCCATCTATAGTAGAATATTGCTATTAGCTACCCAATGTCAATATTTATAACTAACCCTATATATGTATTCTGTAGCAGGGACTATATATAATTTAGTAGCACCTTGTATACCTATGCGTTTTATTTTTATCATTATGATAATATCTATTCACCAGATATCAGATAAGAGGACGTTCTCCCGTTAATACTCGTGACGAAGAGCGGATTTATTTGTTTTAGATTGTACAGTACAGATCAACTGGGTATTAAAGGAGGAAAGGCCATTGCTAGCAATGTACTACGTCAGGTTGGCCTCCACGTGGTTCCCTCTGGAAACCATCGTGATAAATCTAAGGTGAATTTATCACGATGGGCTAACTGGCCTAACAATGAGTATGGGGCTCTTATCAGTATGATAAGATGAGCCATAAATCGTTAGCGCAGACGTATTCCATTATTATCCAAAAGAAAAAAACATTATTAAGGCCTTATTTAAAAGAATACTACTGTCAAAGAATGACCACTGTCTCATCTTGGTATATTAGTTGCCAAACAGAATTTAGTAAAAGGTAAAAGATATTTGTGTTTTTTTAAACTATTCTAATGCTGTTGGCCGCAGTTGGCCTTTACAACTTCACCGAACGATAGTGGGCGAGTGCAGCAGCAGCAGAATGCAGATGGCACTCGAAAACTGCGAGAAACTTATGGGTTGGAACCTCGGTCCTGGCTTTCGTAATTTCAATCCCTTTTGAATTAGACGAGTTTTCTATAATGTATCTGTATTCTAATTAAACTGTATTCCATAACCGCAAGTATAATAAATATCTACAAATATTAGTCAAATGTATAAAAAATATGTTTTTCTAAACAAAGAAGATATGTTTTTATCTCAGATAATAATTTATATATTTCGTAGATCTTTCATTGTTTTAGAATGATAATGGTTTATTTAGAATACAGATTATAATTACAGAATACAACATTTAATATATGACAAAACAAGTGTGTGGTTTTCGTGCGATATTTGTTTAATTGTTTAATTAATAATACTAATAGCCACTTTTTAAATCTAATAATATTATAAATGCGAAAGTTTGTATGGAGAGTATGGATAGATAGATGTTTCTTACACTTTCACCCAAAAAATACTGAACAGTTTTCAGAATGGGCTATAATTTAAAAAGAAATTATGTAAATTGGGAGAAATATAAATAAATGTCAAGTAAGCGTGATGGACACGAAGTTGCGCGTGTCAGGTAGTGGATAATAATGGTGCACCCGCCTACACTAACGGTATTCGCTGGCGGGGCACCATTGGAGTATAGTAAGACGCACATGGGGTCCGGTCAGTAAATACATCGTAACAAATTCGAAATAAGCACGATTATTTCCAAGGGGAACCATGTGAGGCCAAACTGACATGATACATTACTAGCAATGGAGCCATTACATAGTTATATTGATATTCCCTTCATTAACAAGTAACATGCGTATTCTATGCTACCTGGGTTAACAGATGAAGTTAATAAAAAAAACAAAGTAATCTCACCTACGGCGTAGGCAATGTAGAGTGCACTGCTGTCGTCTATAGTTGTTTCATCCGGGTAGCAGACTGCAGCCATCAATCTCAGGTTGTCTGTAGAATTGTCCATCATCATATCCACGCAATACTCTTTACTATACAGCCACTGCGGCCGACCTTGTACTACCTCAACAAGAGTGCCGTTCTGAAAAAGAGATCGTATTTATTTATTGTCGATACTACCCTATCCACCTTTGTTTATTAACTTTGCTATTAGGTACTCTATATAATTTTAAATTGCGTTTTTTTTACGTCTGACGAAAAAAGATTGTTTTTGGTGACGCAATCGCAATTTTAGCTATAATTATGAAAATCTTATGAAGCATTTTAAGACTATCAATTGATTTTCTGGTCTCTCCAACCTTTTCACTAACTTTTTATGTCTCAGCCTTTTTAACTTGTAATTTATTTGTACAACAGTGTTGTTTGATATTTAATCTTGTGTTTTTATAAATGTTCATAGATATATTTTTAATTTATTTCGATTGTAACGTATTTACGTCCTGCGCTTTTGCCAACTTCCTACCTAATATGACATTCTGACTTTCTAGTATATTTTATACGTTTAATAGCATTCAGTAGCTATTTCTAAATAAATGTCAGATATATAAGTAGACTAACTTTGTTTGCATGTAGTGCTTGGATATTGTGTGGTACCTAATTTGTACGGCTACTGCATAATAAATGAACACAATACATAATTTGTCCATTTGATTGATAATTTCAATACTTTAGGCAAATATATTCAAATGTATACTGGGTTAATGGAATTTGTTATTTGTACTGCGTTCTTAACTCTTCATAATAATAAATTATCTAAGTTGTAAAACTACAAGATGCGTAGGCAGAGCATCTACAGAAACGTAACAAATTTATTTTATGTACTTAGGCATTGTGGAACACGTGCGCGTTAAGAAATAATCACTATAGTTATCTCAGATCTTACCGTAAATGATACAATAACTTATTCATTTACAACTTTTTCTATTACTTATGACATTATTATATCACTATACATACATAGCTACTGTACTTAAAAAATACTGGCAAGAAATTCGAGTGGTACAGTTATTTTATTGTTTCTAATTATTTTCTTAACATAGTTTCTGGAATATATATATCTGGTCCTAGGTTAAACAGAGCTGGTGTTATGGGTACTAGACAACTGTCAGAATAACTTGGATACATTTTTTTAAAATACCGTGATAATATACTAATATAATAATATATTAATTCAGTTGAATACAAATGTTTGCATCACGCGTCAAATCGAACCCGTAACCAAAGGAGAGCATGCCAGTGTGGTAAACTGGTAGACCAACAAGGCCGTCAATAAATTCTTATAGGACATTTCAGCTATTTTATACACCGTTTGGTGTTTGAGATTTCAGAGTTTATTAAAATATAGTTAAAATTACTAGAATAAAAAAAATATATTCTAGTAACTTTAAGCACTTTTGAATATTGTTTTATCAGAATCAAATAAGTTCTGTAAAGAGGACGGATGTTTTACGGATGGAATTATGTATGGTACGCACATTATATCTATCTAATTTTAATTCTGCAGCCTACCATACTGATTTGTAATCTATGATGTATTAAGTATACAATTACAGATACATTATGGTTCTTACAAAAAAATAAAATGTTAATTGACTTGTGACTAGATTTTTAATTAGTTTAATCAATTCTTATTAATATACATCACATGTGAAAATGTTATATTATTTATTAGTTGCGTAGATATATGTATGAGTGGAAGAGAATGCTTCTATCTAGCATTTAAATTGCCTTCTGTATCATATTTCCGTTGGTTATTTAAATAAATAAATACTCTAATCCTACATGGTATAAAACAAAGTCATCTCTGTTTGTTCTATTATATCTCTGAAATTATGCAACGGATTTTAATACAGTTTTCAGTGATTCAAGTGGAATTTTATATGTATATTACATGCGTGTTGTAGTGTAGAACAATCTGAGAAATTTAAAGATTTGTAGTGCAGACAGGACGGGTCGTACACATAAATATAATAATTTCTAAGTATATGAAGTTAAAAATTAATTTAATTATTGAATTTGAAATGTTTGATTGACGTTCACTATACTTTGTGAAAATTTTTGTATTATTAACTAGACGCTATTTTGAAGATTATGTTAAAAATCACCTTAATGTAAAGTACGTATATCGTTTTCAAACATATGGATGTTCTCATGGAACCCGCAAGCGAGGAATAACAAATGGTGTTAACAGCATAATAAACAAAACACAATCCACTGTGTATGGACCCAATGTTTGTTAGCATTCCACTCTAAAAACAATAATAATAAGTATTTTAAAATACGTAAGTTTGTTTTAAACATATTTGTAAATGAAAAACATTGTTCTTGTACTCGTAAGTGTTTACAACTGGTATACTAGTACATAGTCATTTAGGTAAATAACTTTATATTTTAGATATAAACATAATAAAAGAGACGAAATACTTTCCAGAAGTTAAAGTTAAAATTGTCTGCGTAGGGACTTCACAATTTTCAGACAACCGTACACAATTTCTTTGTAAGCTATGTTGGAAGGTGAGATATGGTAGTAAAATAACAGGATATGAAGGCATAAAATTAATAAGGCAGGCAATAAAGCCGTAATATCGTCCCACATAATAATAATACTTGATATACATGACGGGTTATACAGACGTCATATTATGAAATTACCGCCGCGTTAGAATATGTCTTCAAGCCTCTGGACTGGAGCTGACTGCGAATAGGTACATCAATCACCTTCAATTTGCCGACGATATCGTGATAATTACTGAGACCCTGGAAAACCTTACCAAAATAATCAAAGACCTCAGTAGCGTCTCACAAGGAGTAGGTCTTAAGATGAACATGGACAAGGCGAAAATTATGTGAAAACGCCCATTTTTTATCTACTCTCGTAAAAATCAGGGATTCTGTACTCGAAATTGTCTATCACTATATATATTTAGTGCAAAATTGTCCAACTATTTGGGTCTAAGTTTGAGAAAGAGGTCAATCGTCAAATCCAACTCGGATGGGCAGCGTTCGGACAACTCCAATATATCTTTTCGTCTAAATTACCGCAATATTTCAAGACGAAATATTATAGGTACTGTATGATTAGGGATTATAAGTAACATATAATAAGTAGTGTGTAATAAATAATAATATAAGAAGAGTAAAAAGAGTAATATTTATATATAAAAACTGAGAAAAACACACCCAAGACTATATAAAAAAAATCCTTTAACCCCGGAACCGAACCGAATGTGTTTTAAAATATAAAAATTATATAATAATAAATTTAAAATATAAACTGTTAAATACCGCCGAAGGCAAGCGGTTCACTAGTAGTTCATTATGTTTGAGGTATTCATAAGAGCTCACCGCGCGCCCGCCCAATTCTCGCATTAAACTACTAACATCACTGTTTTATATTCTATGATGATACTTAACACGTTGAATGTGTATATACATGCAAATACATTACAATGTTTTTGTGTAGTAAACACTTATTACTACGACAAGGCAGTATATATATATATGTGCGTATATGTAATCTCTTAACAAAAAAAAACAACGACTAATAATTTGATCTTCAAATTTCTAATGCGTACAGAAATTTGAAATTTGGGATAAATCCAACTATACTCATGCCAATTTTAAAAATTATTTAAATAAGACTTATGTTTCAGTAAAGTTGATCTTAACGATGTAGTGGTGTGGTTGGTGTAAGTCTGCCTACTCTTTTTATATTTGTCATGAGTAATCTGTACATAGTATAAAATGAAGTCGCTTCCGCTGCCAGCTCGCTTAGATCTTTTAAACTACGATTTTAATGAAGTTTTAAAGCAATAGATAGTGATTCAAGAGGAAGGTATGTGTAATACACTCGTGCGAAACCGAGACGAGTAGGTAAAAAATAAAACAAGACATTTTTAACGCTGCGCCGTCTAAATCTAAAGTAAATTGAGGTAATACTATGGGAACTAAATAACTGATAGATATATTATATATAAACATTACAGTACACGTAAATGCACCTATAAAAAAACCTTTTATACACAAATAAGAACAGTAGGTAATATTTATAAACAGGTACATTTCTTTGTATTCCGCAGGAAATGAACTTACAAATAAGAAAAGGTTTGAGGATAATTTTAACCTCGGGACAAGGACAATTTGACCTCAAATTAGGACTTTGTCTAATGATGAAACAAAACAAAAATATTAATGGGTCAGAAGTTGAAATCAGAATCAGGAAACGACGACCCAAACAAAGAAGCAAAATTAGGAAGCTGTGTTTTTTAAAATGCTAATAAATGATGCAACAACCAATCGTATTTATAACTGTGCTAGCATGTATTCCTCTAAAATATACATATGTGTATTCTTATGTATATGTTTTGTACGAAATATTGATAACTATACCCCTGTGCTTATTTTTTAACATAAACGGCCGCGACCGCGACCTGTTCCCGCGACAAACTTGGCAAGTAAACATATGGTTTTACTGAGAACGCCTGAACAAACAAATGTACGGTTCTCAAGGATCTGCCGACCATGAAATAGAAACCGAGGTATCTGTGACACATGATGTTGCCACAATAACGGCCTACGTGGATAAGTGGGAGAATATTATAAAAACTCATTATATTATATGTACCTATTACTAGCTGTTCCCGCGACTTCGTCCGCATGGAAATTAACTTTATTTTTTTATAATAAAAGTATTTTCTAAAATATTTTGTAGCCTAAGTTACTCATTATTACATCAGCTACTTGTCAAAAAAAGTCTCGTTAAAATCGATCCAGACATTTCAGAGATTAGCCGGAACAAACAAGCCGACAGACAGACAGACAAAAATTTTAAAAAGTGGTTTTTTGATGTATATTTTATGTAGCCAGACAGAATTTTCTCCCTTCAGGGTATTTGTGCTTTATTCTTATCATGGTTTCTTTGACCGATGCTGACCGTGTTATAACAAAAAATAAAGAAAATAGAACAGACAAGATAATTGACAAAAGACTTGGCCTATTCAATATAATAAAACAATAATCTTTAAATGAATAAATGAAGAACTCTTTATTGTTCCTCTCATACAGTTACATACATTAATATGT